GGGATTCAAATAATTTAACAACTGGTTCTCTGCCCTAATGACTGGCTGGGTGGGCGTGACCATGGTGGGCGTGGCCAGGGGGTGTGGCAAGCAGCACTTTGGGAGTACTCTGGGAGCAAAAATGGGCTGGGGGCGGGGGGGGGATGCACCATTCCTCCCATGCCCCATTTTGGGCCAAGTAGGCCTCCCTGAAGCCTCCTGGGAGCAAAAACGGGCTGTGGGTGGAGGCGCCTTGCACCCCTCCGCGCCATGTTTTGGGCCTAGGAGGCCTCCCTGCACTTACCTGGGAGCCAAAATGGGGTGCATGGGGACTCCTGGAAGAGGCGGGGTGGAGAGGGGCCAGCCAGAAATTTAACTACCGGTTGGCTCAAACCGGCCTAAACCAGTTGAATCCCACCACTGCATGTAGGGTATTATTTATATATATGTTATTATTTTGTTCTTAGTATTTAACTTACTCTGTTGGTGCAATGGAAGCTCTCTTCCAGGACTGAAAAGCGGAAACAAGCTTGGATTAAGAATATTCAGATAATAGCATAAGTATCTCATAAATGCCCCACATTTCATCTTTCTCAAGCTGTTATTTCTTGGCTCTATTCGTGTGGTAAACTAAGTATATAAGCCATATTAACATGCCTGCCACCATCTTAATTCTATCACCACCCATTCCTTGGTCTTCTTTAGGCTTTGAGCCTCATCAAGTCATTCCAATCTGGACCGATTGCTATTTTGGGCTTATAAAAAAGTGGATTTAAAAACAAAAACAAAAAACTTACAATTAGTTACAAATTCTGTTTTCCATGAACGCAATATGTTGACTTTTGGGGGACACAGGCAGCCTTAGACATCTTGGTATCATACCTGAACAAAAAGGGAAAAAAGGGATTAAAATAATACCGTATGGGTATCTATTATCTGGTTGTGGCGTTTAGAGTTTTGTGCAATTATTTTGAATTTTAAAAAATGTATCATGGTACAATGGTGTGACTAATTTGATTCCTTGTCCCGGTGAATAAGCTTCTCTTATCTTCCAGTTTCTGTCCTAGAAGCCCCAGAAAACTCATTTAATTGGATGGAAGGATTTGATCAATCAAAGAAAGCTGTGGGTGTAGATTTTTTTTTTGAATTTTTATTTTTATTTTTAAACAAAACATAAAATATAAATCCATCATCCATTACAATTGCAAACAGTGTGTCGGTCGATTACAAATCTTTTGTGCTTCATCCCCATATTCAAAATTTACTTATTATCTAATTTCTCATATTGTCAAACAAATAAACATCCTCATTTATCATTTATTTAACTATGGCTTTATCGCTTCATAAAAATTATTTTCAAATATTATAACATCCATTTCATATTTCATATTTCATTTCCATGTTTTACTATCTAGCCATTGATAAAATAAATCCCATATCTTATAATATTCTTTATCTTCTTGTTCTCTAATTTCAAATGTCAATTTACTCATTTCAGCACATTCCATGATTTTCTTAATAACGTCATCCTGCGTTGGTATTTTTTCAGTTTTCCAGTTTTTAGCAAACACAATTCTAGCCGCTGTTAAAACATTCACAATCAAATGTCTCAATTCTCTATTGTATATTTCTGGCACAATCCCTAATAAAAAAAAATCTCTGGCTTAAAGTCTATGTGTTTTTTTGTCATTTTTTCCAACCATGTGTGGATTTTAGTCCAGTATCTTTTTGCTTCTACACATGTCCACTGCTGTGGGTGTAGATTAAGCTTCCAGTTCTAGTAACACAAGCAACTTTCTGTCTTTTATTTTGTTACAGAGCTGACCACAAGCCACCATTTCCCATTTTAGCCTAGCCGAAGCATGTGCTAACTCAGCTAACTTCGTGGAAGAGCAATCCACCCAAAAGGAATTGAGGTCATGAGCCAGCTGACAAGGAACATCTCCTCCTCCTGCTAAATAAATATTTAAACATGTTTTTACTTGATAAGAAAATTGGACTGTTTGGGAGAGGTTTATGCCAAATGACTGGACATTTTGCTTTGCTTATGAAATTTGGCCCTTGAATCTCTTTTGCTTTGATAGAGAATGAATCTAGCAAAAAAGGGCTGCTTTTCTTGAACAAAAGAATTATTCATGAGTAAATGGAGAATTACCATGTTTCCCCAAAAATAAGACCCTGTCTTATATTTTTTTGAACCGCGAAATAAGTGCTTGGCCTTATTTTCGGGGAGGACTTATTATTTTGGAGCACGTGGAGCAAGACGGGGCTCCTCTTGCCGTCTTACCTGATTTCCAGCTCTGTCTCCCTAACTCTAACCAGAGGAAATGGCGGGGACGGGCTGTGCATGCTTTTAAATATTTTTGAGGTGGGCTTATTTTCGAGGGGGGGGCTATTTTAGCGCATGCGCTCAAAAGCCCAATTTGGCTTATTATCAGAGGATGTCTTATTTTAGGGGAAACAGAGTATTAAATAAGAGGAAAATTTCAGCACCCCTGATTTGGAGAAAGATAATACACCAGTGTTTCTCAACCTTAGCGACTTTTAAGATATGTCGACTTCAATTCCCAGAATCCCCCAGTCAGCTTTTCCACCAAGCACTAGGCCAGGATGGGGGAGGGTTGAGCTGGGAGGACGTTTGGTCTGGTGCCACAATGCTTTAAATCATCTTTAATAGATTGTTGTGAGCCACCCATAGTCGTTGCATGAGATAGGCACTCATATAAACCCAATAAATGAATAAATAAATAATCGGGCCAGAGTACGTAATTGCCTTCACAACTTATTTCTGGGGAAATGTATCCTTCCTTCCTTCCTTCCTTCCTTCCTTCCTTCCTTCCTTCCTTCCTTCCTTCCTTCCTTGGGAAGCCCCCCCCCCAAAAGAATGAAATATTTTGAGGAATATTAAAAAAGGCAGATTATTATGTTTCCCAAAGGGAGAAGTGGAGAAAACATGTTTTTAGAGGCAGAAAGCAACCCCCCCTTTCCTTAATAGTCCACAGCAGATGTCAATACTTAAGAGATAAAGAGCTTATTGAAAGAAGACAAGTATCTAGATAGCTCTATTCATAAGCAAATACCCTCACCCAAGAGCCAAAACAGGATGGAAGCCATTAAGCCACAATAGGAATTACTCAACACCCTTTCAGAACACAAGACCCTTCATTGCATCACCCTCAGAGCAGTTCAAACCTCAACCAAATATAGCTCAGACAAACACCTAGGATTTTTACTTTGCCTATAGAACCAGCTATGACCCCTACATAACCCCTACATGGTTCCATGGGAAATCTGACAAGAGCCAATAGAATATCTGTTCTTGCACAGGAACAGGAAGCTCAAGTGCAAAGCCCAAGAGAAGGTATAAAACCCCCCACTCTCAACTCCCAATTTTGTCAGCTGCCCAGAACCACAAACCCATGTGGTTCTGCTTCATCTTTCCAATCAGCCTCCATGTTTCCAGTGTCTTCCTCCTGGCTTGGAACTGAACCAGATGGATATTTCTTCCTTCTTCTCTTTCTCCCTTAACAGATTAACAGAGTTGGAAGGGACCTTGTAGGTCATCTAGTCCAACCCCCACCTCCGTCCAAGCAGGAAACCCTACACCATTTCTGACAAATGGCAGTCCAATCTCTTCTTCAAAGTCTCAAGTGATGAAGCTCCCACAATTTCCAACGGCAACTTTTGTTCCATGGGTTGATTGTTCTCACTGTCAGAACATTTCTCCTTATTTCTAGGTTGAATCTCTCCTTGTTCAATTTCCACCCATTAGTCCTTGTCTGGCCTTCAGGTGTCTTGGAAAATAGCTTGACCCCCTCCTCTCTGTGACAGCCCCTCAAATATTGGAAGACTGCTATCCTGTCTCCCGTGGTCCTTCTCTTCCCTTCTCCTCCCTTCTCCCTTCTCCTATTCCTACTCCTACTCCCTTCCATTCCTTCCTTTCTTCCTTTCTAAAGCAAAATTAAAAACATGGCTGTTCGCGGCGTCTAGCCTGGACTGAGGGGGTTTTCGATTATTTTAATGGGTTTTAATATTTGTTTATGTATGTATTCTATGTTTTTATTGGTTTGTTTTAATTGTTGTGAGCTGCCCTGAGTCCTATGGAGATAGGGCGGCATATAAGTTATAATAAATAAATAAATAAATAAATAAATAAATAAATAAATAAATAAATAAATAAATAAATAAATAAATAAAATTTGTAATCAAAATGTTATCCACAAAAGGGTAGAATTAAAATTTCTTTTAAAATACCCTTTAAGTTGTTGAAGCAGAAATTAAAGTACTGTAGCAAATGAGCCAAAGGGAGATGATTAAAAAATAATAATTGTTCTGGTGGTTTTACAGAGAGCCATCCTGAACCCCGGTATGTCCTGTCCTTCGAGGTTTTTTTTCCCCAAGGGCTGTTTAAAAAAAGAAAAAGAATTGATTTGACTACCAAAAAAAGGAAAATATACTGAAACACAATAAAAACAAGGAGCCAATAAAAGCAGTATAAAAGAGAAAAAGTAATTACACGGACATCTTGAAATACATATATAGAGAGCAGCAACCATATATCCTTTATTATAAAGGATAGTTCTTTAGTTCAGGAAGCGGTCCTTCAGTATTATTTAATTCTTTTCTTGGTTTCGCTCTTGAATTTTCCTTTGTAAGTTAACTTACATAAACATTTTGTATATAAACATTTTTTTTATCCTCGTGAACCTCTTTCAGATTTGCCTCCTTTTCAGGTGTGTTATTTTTTTCCCAAGAAAATACTGTATATGGTCACTGTAATATGAAGAGGAAACAAAAGGCGTGACTGACTCCGTTTTTGAAGACAAAATTAAAAGTTTTACCAGTTCGTCACTTTCTTCATCGACGTCTAATTCGCTGCAGTTTTTAAACTGTGACACAAGGGGGAGCCATTCTCCCGTCATAAAAAGGAGAAAGGAATCGCTGGAGGAGGCCGGCCTTAGGCTCCTTGGGACTAGTTTAGCGCGGTTACCCCGGCAACTAGCAAAGTTTGCAGTGGCAGCCAATCAAAAGGCAGCAGCCCGGAGTAGAATTTCCCCCTTCCCATCTTCCTCCAAGAAGAGAGAAATTGGGTAAGGCAGTTCCCCTGCAGGGCGGGAGGGCGGCGCTGTTGAGCAGGAGGTGAGCGCCGGCATTGGCAACGGGATTGAGGGCGTCTGAAGTGGGGAAGGGGGTGGGAGGAAGGATGGCAAAATAGTCTTTCCTTCCTTCCTTCTTTCCCCTTTCTCTTTCCTCTTCCTTCCATCATCCATCCATCCTTTCTTTCCTTTCTTCTTTCTTTTGTCCCTTCCCCCTTTCCTTCTGATCTTTCCTTCATCCCTCTTTCTTGCCCACTTCTGCCTTCTCCTTCTATCCACTCTTCCGTCTTCTTTTTGTCTGTCTGTCTTCCTTCCTTCCCTCCCTCTTTCCTTCCTTCCTTCCTTCCCTCCCCTCCTTCCCTCTTTCCTTCTTTCTTTCCCTCCTTCCTTTATTTCCTTCCCTCCCTCCCTCTTTCCTTCCTTCCTTCCCTCCCTCTCTCCCCCTCCCTCTTTCCTCCCTCCCTTCCTCCCTCTTTCCTCCTTCCTCCCTCCCTTCCTCCCTCCCTCCCTCTTTCTTTCCTTCCTTCCTTCCCTCCCTCCCCCTCCCTTTTTCCTTCCTCCCTCCCTCCCTCTTTCCTTCCTTCCTCCTCTTTCCTCCTTCCTCCCTCCCTTCCTCCCTCCCTCTTTCTTTCCTTCCTTCCTTCCCTCCCTCCCCCTCCCTCTTTCCTTCCTCTCTCCCTCCCTTTTTCCTCCTTCCTTCCTTCCCTCCCTCTTTCCTTCCTTCCTTCCTTCCCTCCCTCCCTCTTTCCTTCCTTCCTTCCTTCCTTCCTTCCTTCCTTCCTTCCTTCGTGCAAAACCTAAAAGCAACCCAATTCCTGTTTAAAGGAAGAATTTCTTGTTCTTAACTCAGTTCTTTTCATTCTCTGATGCATTTGAAACGCCTTTGGATTGCTCCTTGGATTAGCAGCATGCAAGCTAAATTATTTGTGAAATCTTACTCTGAACGCAATGAGACAATAAATTATAGTGTGTAGCTCAAATTCCTTTAATTTTAGAGGAACTTTGGTAAGGCTGACCAAACCTGAATGTTTCTCATAAAACAGCTTCCATAATAATAATAATAATAATAAAATATTACATGTCTACATGAAATAAATGCATTGAATACGTTACAGTGTGTTCTAATAAAATGCTGTACTGTTCGTGAACTAATATTTGTAATACGTATGTTATTTTATTAAAGTGTTGCCACATGTTCCATATTTTGGAATTCGTCAGGGGACAATCACACTTGGAGAGGAAACTCCATAACTGTGGTATTTGGGGGCGAGCAAAGATATTACTAGCACATTCCATTCCCTTATTTTTGATTGTCATCTGGAAGAATCCTGATTGCTTTTGACTCAGAACACGATCGTTTCTAATTGGGAAAAAAAAATTTTTTAAAGGGGAGCGCATCTCAATTCCAGAAACAAGGATTTCTGTTTGAGTTTTGGATTGTTCTTTAGCACAAATAAAGAACTGGGAACAACAGCCAAAATTAAAGAGCCAGACTATTCTGAAATCATTAAATGGACGTCTTAAAGACTGAGAAGAAGAACAGAACAGGATAACAGAGCTGGAAGAGACCCTGGAGGTCTTCTAGTCCAACCCCCCCGGAGATCCTATACCAGTGATGGCTAAACTTTTTGCCGTTGCGTGCCAAAAGTGGGGGGAGTGCGGGGGTGTCACACACGTGCGTGCCTACACCCATAATTCAATGCACCCCACCCCCCTGTGCATGCCCACATGACCCCACTGAGTTCCCCCTGCTTTTGGCACGTGATGGCCCAGTAGGCCCGGTAGGCCCATTTTTCACCCTCCTCAGGCTCCAGAGGCTTTATTGGAGCCTAGGGAGGGTGAAAACGGCCCTCCCCACCCCCCTGGAGGCCCTCAGGAGGCCGGAAACAGACTGTTTGCTGACTTCCGGTGGGAACTAGAAAGCCTCTGGAGCCTGGGGAGAGCGAAAAACGGGCCTTCCCTCCCCTGGAGGCCCTCAGGAGGCCAGAAACAGACTGTTTGCTGACTTCCTGTGGGCATGGAAGGCCCAAAATTCAGCTGGCTGGCACGCATACGTGCCGGAGCTGAACTAGGGCAATTCTTGCGTGCCCACCGATATGGCTCATCGTGCCACCGGTGGCACGATGAGCCATATCGGTGGGTCGCCATCACGGTTCGTCATCACAGTACTATACCATTCTGGAAAAATGACTGTCCAGTCTCTTTTTAAAAGCCTCCAGTAATGAAGGAATCGAAAAGAAATCAAAGAATTTTTGAAAAATGCACCTTCTTTCACATATACAAGCCAGAAATACGAATTTGCTTTCTATTTTTTTTTTTATCCCAGATTTCAGCGATTTTAAATCTTCAAAAGCTTGACAGAGTAAAAGTTTTATCTTCTTTCATTTTAGCTTGGATAGAAGGAATTCATTAGTGGGGGGTGGGGAAAATCTGGGTGTTTTGAAGTTATACAAAAACCTGTTTTACATTATAACAGTGTCATCTTTTGTTATTCCTTATTGATATTAACATATCAGTTCTGAATTAACAATTACGTCTTTTGCTCAACTCTTCTGATTAAAGTGGGTTGCAAATGTTTATTCAACCAAAAGCTGTGATAATTAAAGTTTGCACTTGCTAGAGATTTGCTTTCCAAAACTTACCAAAAGGTGCTTTTTCAAAAGGCAACTGGATTTTCTTGGGGTTTTTTTCCCCTTGAATATGTTTCGCTTCTCATCCAAGAAGCTTCTTCAGTTCTGAAAAAGAACGGAAGAAGCTTCTTGGATGAGAAGTGAAAAGTCTTCAAGGAAAAATCGGTCTGGTTGCCGATTGAAAATGCACCTTTGGGACAACTGTAACCTGGATGACTGAGAATCCCCATAAACATTTCCAAAACTTAACTTTCAATTGATAAATAAGCCTTTCTCCTAGAACTGTTATAAAGACAACGAGAAAATCTAGATAAATAAATTATTATTTAGGCTGCTGTCTATACCACATTGTCAGGAAATCAGTATTAATAAACCTACTAGAACAGATTTTTCAGATATCTGTGTAAGATTCTATTGGAATCATCTGCCCACTGTTTACAGTAGTGGCCAAAATTATGGAAACCTTTTGGGAAAAGTGTATTTTCTAAAACTAGTTAATAACACCACTTTTTGGGGGGAGTGGTACCATAAAATTATACATCAATGGAAAGATAATTTAATCAAGAATGTAATGCAATCACTTTTATGAAGGATTTGCTATTAGAATAGCAGTTACAGTATAAAGAAGAAAAGGGAAACATGTAGAAAAAACGAGATGTACAAAAATGATCACCATAGAAAAAACGAGATGTACAAAAATTATCATGTCAGTTAATACTTAGTTGGGTAACCTTTAGCATGAATTACAGCCTTACAATGTCTTCCCATGGAGTGAACCAAGTCTTTTAGTTCTGCAGCTGTTCTAATGTGAAACCAAGATTTGAATGATGGCTTCGATTAACTGGGTTTTATTGCTGAGTCGCTTCTAACTAACAAGTTTCTTTAGTCGGCTCCGTAGATTTTCCATTGGGTTAAGATCTGGGCTATTCCCAGGCCATTCCAGCAGTGGAATAGGATTATCTTGAAACTCTCCCCCAAAAAAGTGGTGTTATTAGCCATCAAACCTCAAAAATACACTTTTCCCAAAAGGTTTCCACAATTTTGGCCACTACTGTATGTAATGTCTTAATTTAATATCTTTCTTGCCCTCTAGATTTGTTTGACCTCATAAAGACAAGCCATGGCAAAGGAAAAGAAGAAAGAGAAGAAGAAAAAAGGGACCTCACAAATACCCAAAGAGCCTAGAACCTATTTTCCAGAAGCCCTATTGGCATTTCAGTATGTATAAATCATAAAAATTTCAAAGTTTTACTTTAGCTCTATTTAGTGAACTGACTGCCTAGTTTGGGGGCAGGGGGATCAGTGATGAAATCCAATTTTTTTTACTACCGGTTCTGTGGGCGTGGCGTGGTGGGCGTGGTGGGGCTTAGTGGGCGTGGCTTGGTGAGCGTGGCTTGGTGGGTGTGGCAGGGGAAGGATACCGCAAAATCTCCATTCCCTCCCCACTCCTGGGGGAAGGATATTACAAAATCTTCCTTCCCACCCACTCTGGGGCCAGCCAGAGGTGGTATTTGCCGGTTCTCCAAACTGCTCAAAATTTCTGCTACCGGTTCTCCAGAACCTGTCAGAACCTGCTGGATTTCACTCCTGAGGGGGATGTAGTAATACTACAACTATTCCCTATCCAGTTCAGGGGTGGTATTCGCTTACTTTCCCTACCAGTTCACAAATGTGAGCATCCAGCATTCTGTGCATGTGGTTTGCCGGTGTGCGCGCCTTCCGTACATGCGCCTAGCCTCAAAAACGTACCTAAATAGGATGGCATAGAGCCAGGGCGGGTGGGTGGGTTGGTGGACCCAGCCGCGATTTCCGCTACTGGTTCGGACGAATCAGTCCGAACCGGCTGAATCCCACCTCTGATCCAGTTGAACTTATAAAATGGCAGGAATAGATCTATAGAGGAAGTCCTTGACTTATGACTGTAATTGAGCCTGGAATTACAGTTAAGTCATGCTTTTATTACCCTTTTTTTTGCCAGTGGTTGTTAAACAAACACTTTGGCCATTAAACAAATGCCATGGTTATCAAAACACATGCAACAGTCCTTAAAGGAACATGATGGTCCTTAAGTGAACCGATTCTATTCAATGGCATTTTTGGTTTTTTTTTTGCCAGAAACTAGAAGTAAATACCAATTATTTACTTTTACAGAATTTTTTTTAAAAAAATATGTTTTTTACTGGAAAAAAAATTTCTTCCAGCAAAAAAAATCATTGTAAATCACAGGATGACCGAATGCCATCAAAAACATCCCATTTTCTGCTGTTTTTAAAAGCTATCAGAATAACAGAGTTGGAGGGGACCTTCGAGGTCTTCTAGTCCAACCCCACTGCGAGATGTCACAATGACTGTGGGATGCTGCAAATAGCCATGAATGCAGGCCGGTTGTCAAAGCATCCAAAATGTGGTCATGTGACTACAGGGAGGGTGGACGGCTATCAGAACTTCGAATGCAGGTAGTCCTTGACATACGACCACAATTGAGCCCAGAATTTATGTTGCTAAGTGAGAAACTTGTTAAGTGACTTTTGCCCCATTTTATGACCTTTCTTGCCACAGCTGTAAACAAATCACTGCAGTTGTTAAATTAGTAGCACGGTTGTTAAGTGAACCTGTTAAGGAATTCGCAGAGTAATCCTTGAGTAGCAAGGGTGTGCACATGAAAGCGATTGAGAGTAGTTACGAATAAACACAGCCAACACAGAGATACACTGAGTTGTGTTTACTTTCAGGAAAGGCACAGTCCAATAAACAGTCCAGGTCATACACATATAAAGCAGGAGATAGCAAAACGACAGTCCAGGGATAATCCAATAACAAAGTCTTCTTACCAGTCGTCGTAGTCATTCACAATAAACAGTTCTTCTGGATTTGCAAACAGTAGCACACAGAGATATCAGAGAGCAAAAACAGCAAAGAGAAACAAACCATGTTTCTAGCTCCCTCTTAAGGAGATTGGCTACAGAACTAACCAATCAGGACACAGTATGATGCAATACAGCAGTCTTACAGCTATATTGAGGATTTATATATTGCCAACCCAACAAGTTGGGTAATAAGTCATTTCCTAAAAGAACCTGGCTTCCCCATTGACTTTGCTTGTCAGAAGGTCACAAAAGGGGATCACATGACGCTGCAACCGTCATAAGTGTGAGTCAGTTGCTTAGCATCCTAATTTTGATTATATGACCTTGGGAATGCTGCAATGGTTGTAAGTGTGAAAAATGGTCATAAGTTCCTTTTTTTCCAATGGTGTTGAAACTTCAAACTAAACAAATTCTTGTGAGGACTACCTGTAGTTGCTATGCTACTGGTTGTAAGTCAAGGACTATCTCTACTTTTTTCAGTGATTGATTATTAGGATGACAGTTGTAACATGTTCCTTCCTATTCATGAATCTTGCCATTCATCTATGCCCTCTTGCAGACCATTTCATTAAATTTTGTCTTCTCCCATCTGCCATTTTTCAGGGTTACTTTATCGTTTGATAGTCAATTAAATTTCTATGCCCAGTAATCATGCTAAGCTTTCCTTGAGCTGTTGGTGAGAATTTTCCTTGATGTATTTCCATTATTTTATTTTATTTTATTTATTTATTTATTTTGTCAAGCACGTATTAGAAAGCAGATATAAGTATAAACATGATTATGAATACATGAAATGGATACGAATAAAAGGAGACATTAGGACAGGGACGGTAGGCACGCTGGTGCTCTTATGCATGCCCCTTACAGACGTCTTAGGAATGGGGTGAGGTCGACAGTAGACAGTCTAAGGTTAAAGTTTTGGGGGTTTGGGGATGAAACCACAGAGTCAGGTAGTGCATTCCAGGCCTCGACCACTCTGTTGCTGAAGTCATATTTTCTGCAATCGAGTCTGGAGCGGTTCACTTTAAGTTTGTATCTATTGTGTGCTGGTGTATTGTTGTGGTTGAAGCTGAAGTAGTCATTGACAGGTAGGACATTGTAGTAGATAATTTTATGTACTACGCTTAGGTCAGACCAAAGGCGGCGTGTCTAAGGCCAAAATTTCAAGTCTGGTGGCATAAGGTATTCTGTTGTGAGCGGAGAAGTGGAGGACTCTCTCGTGAAATATCTCTGGACTCTCTCAATTGTATTAATGTCCGATATGCAGTGCGGGTTCCAAACACATGAGCTGTATTCAAGAATTGGTCTAGCAAATGTTTTGTATGCTCTAGCTAGCAGTATAATATTACCAGAGAAGAAGCTACGCAAGATTAGGTTAACAACTTTTAATGCCTTTTTGGCAATGTTGTTACAGTGGCACTTAGATCATTAGAGATGAGTACTCCAAGGTCCTTGACAGAGTACTCATCTCTAATGATCTAAGTGCCATTAAATCCATTAGGTTTATATCTAATATTTTCTCCAAGAGCTTAGAGCAGGGGTCGGCAACCTTAAACACTCAAAGAGCCACAAAGGTCCTAACTGGAAGGCCCCCGTTCAATTCTGGAGCTGACTGGAAGTCCGGTTCCCCCACCATAGAGTCTCCTCTTAGCATGGCGTCCTTTTTCCTCTACTAGTCCTAACCCTATCAATTGTGGGCTGACCTGAAAGCTCGCCCATAGTGTCTCCTCCTGGAATGCCCTGCTCCCCCCCACAAAATTGTGGTGCCGACTGGCGACAGGGAGCCACAGCAGAGGGATGAAAGAGCCACATGCGGCTCCAGAGCTGCAGGTTGCTAACCCGTGGCTTACACTTATGCATAGAAGGAATAGCGTCATGTAAGCTTCCAATCCAGTCAAAAATAAGATTGACAATTCAAAACCATCTTTATTATGCTAAGTTTAGTCTCTAAGACTGAACCGATGGAACAGAGCGGAAATCTAATCTCAGGAAAGCCAAATTACAAATCGGCAGAATATACATGAAGATAATAAAGGGTTTTGAAGCTAGAGTAAATATTTTAATTTAGCGAGCCAATGTGTATGCAACACTTAAGAGGGGAGTGTTAAAGGGAAAAGGGGAATTATAACATGTGGTTCACACACAGTGATGGAAATTATTTCTCCTATCCAAGATCGCTGGTAGCCTTTATGTAGAGCAGGCAGGAGGGAAAAAATGCACAAAATTTAAACACTGACAGTTAAAAATAGAGCTTGCACTTGATATACAGTAGTCACTGACATTTTTTCATGATGACTTCATCGTTTGGTTACAAATAAATCAACCCATATTATGGGAAATATATTCTTACAGCAGGAAACTTACAGGTTTCACATAAACTGGAATTTTATAAGAGACCCAGACAGAAAAAAAGTTCACTCAAAACTCAACCCATTTTTTTCTAGAACTTTACCTCTTGGTCAAGAATTCTGTGATTATATTTTTTCTAACTATTTTCGCAGCCTGAAAAAGTTTGAAAATTGTTTTTCTATAGTACTTTTGCCTCACTGGGCAAGAGACTCAACAGGCATAGAATCAGGGGTGAAATCCAGCAGGTTCTGACAGGTTCTGGAGAACCAGTAGCAGAAATTTTGAGCAGTTCGGAGAACCGGTAGCGGAAATTTTGAGTAGTTCAGAGAACCGGCAAATATCACCTCTGGCTGGCCCCAGAGTGGGGTGGGAATGGAGATTTTGCAGTATCCTTCCCCTGGAGTGAGGAAGGAATGGGGATTTTGCAGTATCCTTCCTCTGGAGTGAGGTGGGAATGTAGATTTTGCAGTATCCTTCCCCTGCCATGCCACCAAGCCATACAACGCCCACCAAACCACACTCACAGAACCGGTAGTAAAAAAATTTGGATTTCACCACTGCATAGAATGTTGATCTGTAAATAAATAAGCAGAGTCAAAGATCCAACTGAATTGAACCTGGTTAGATTTAGCCCCAGTCTGGACTGGGTTAAAATAATTCCCCAGCTGACCATTAGGTTAACTAATCCTTATCCCTCCATCATCATAATCTTTAAATGACCCCATGATCCTTTGCGGGGTGGAGTCTGGGTTAATGGCCGGATGCTCTTCCTGTTGCCAATGTGGAGTTTTGTTTAGCAGATATATTCTCATTGTGCCAGAGAGAGAAATATCTACCTTTACCCAGGATTTGACTCACAGCCTCCTGATTATGAGGCAAGAGCTCCACCTCTAGGCCACCACACCACTTAATCCTTACCCCTCCATGATCACTCTAAATCCTAGATGGTACACACAAAATAAGGCCCTGCTAGGAATGACATCTCAATTGCCTTTGCTGGCCACTGGATTAATTAATTCTGTCCCCTCCATGATGAAACTCAAAAGTCCATGATCAAACTCAAACTTCATGATCGCTCCAAGTCCTAGATGGTACACACAAAACAAGGCCCTACTAGGAACTACAACCCAGTTGGCAGTTGTGGACTTCAATTTCCAGAATTCCTCAGCCAGTCACTCTGGGAGTTGAAGTCCACAAGTCTTAATGTTGTCAAGTTAGAGGACCTCTGCTTTAGTACACTGAGAAGTGAAAAAGTGGCAGAAAACTGTTCTTCCCATGATTATGTCTACTTTGGAGGCGCATTTCTGATTTATCTTATTTTTTTCCCCATTCTACATAAAACTACCAAGAAATGGGATAGGAACTGCTAGTTGTCAGCTTCTTTGGGATACAATAATGGGAAAACCTGTGAAAATAGCTGTTAAACGCTCGATTAAACCATCACTAAATGTGTGCTTCCAGCTCATGGAGATTAAGCAATTGACGGGAAAATCTGTTTTAATAGACCAGCTGGGAAGACAGAGTAGCCCTTACTCTCAGTGGTCCATTTCAGTCAGAGAGGATGTCAATGCAAATGACCTCATTTTTATCACTTACGGTACCTTCATTTGCATTGTGGAAATGATAAATATGGCGGTAAAATAACCACAAACCAACCCTTGAATGAAACTTGAAGCAAAGAATTAGAAGGTTCAACCTGTTTCCTCCACTTGTGTTCTATCTTTCCTTGCAAAGAGAGCGTGTACTTTCCGAAAGCATGACGGCTTATTTTTTGTGTTTAATTACTTTCAGAATTCAGATAAAGGAAGATACCATTGATCAACTACTGGGTGAAATCAGGCTACTGGAAGCCGAGAATGAGAGAAGCAAAGAAAGAGTAAGCAAGCAAATGAACTTCCTTGAGGTTCAGGAGGGATTCAGTCTTAGTTACGGAACACCTGTTTCAGTGGTGATATTCAGCTGGGTCTATCCGGTTCAGGCAAACCGGTAGTGGTGGCTACAGGAGGCTCCGCCCACCCGCCCGGAGGTCATCACCTCCTGTTTTTGACGCTTTGCGCATGCGCAGAAGATCCTGCGCATGTGCAGAGGTGTCAAGCGTGTGCAAAAGCAAGCATGCATGCTTTAATTTGTGAACCGGTAGCGACGGTAAGTAATTACCACCTCTGACCTGTTTGTAATGTAGGAGAATAGAGGATCAGTTCCTCACGTACCTGCTTTTAAATGTCTAATAATTGTGTCTATTATTAAAGCAATTGATTTTAGATAGTTGTGGAATGTTTAACTGTGGTGTTGGAAGCCCCATTTGTGAGAAAGGTCGCCGTATAAATAAGTGTATGCTAAATAAATAAATAAAGCACAAAGGGCATCCTTTATTTCCCCCAGAATCACCACAGGACAACTGAATGTTGTTCTAAAATAGCTATTGACGTCGGATGGTTTTGCTTGCCCAACACCTGGATAAGTTGCACAATCCTTCGCTTTTTTCAAACCATCAAAAGTACGCCTTCTCTCTCCTGCCACCAGAATCAGCAACTCAAATATGAACAGATCGAACACATCCGAGCCCTGCTGGCGGCCCTGAAGGAGCAGGAGAAAGAGCTCGAAAAAGTAGAAATCGTTACTCGGGATGATGTCGAGAAAGCCATGATGGCCAAATGGCAGTACATCAAAGATCAGGAGAAACTTATCAGAGGTGAGCTGCGCTTCTCCCCAAAAAAGAGGGTGAAAATCTGGGTGCATCTTATACTCCTAATGTAGCTCCGCCCAGCTTCTCAAACGAGGTTTCAGAGGCTGAAAAAAGCCTCAGAAATGAAGCTTCAGAAAAAAAGTCTTCAAACAGAGCTTCAGAAAAAAAGCCTCAGAAATGAAGCTTCAGGAAAAAAGCCTACAAAACAGAGCTTCAGAAAAAAAGCCTCAGAGGGTTTTTTTCTGAAGCTCTGTTTTGGAGGCTTTCAGAGGCAGAAAAAAAAGTTTTTTCTGAAACAGAGCTGAAAAAAAATCAAGACACAGAGCTCACAACCAAGGAACCTGTTGCTAAAATTCACCTCTGGGAACAGCTGATTGGGGGTATTCTGGGAGGCCGATCCACCTGCCAATCAGCTTTTTGCTTATTTTCCTCCCCAAAATCAAAGGTGCGTCTTATACTCCGAAAAATACGGTAAAAACCGCATCATTTGTGGAGGAAGTCAAGATGCAAATGATGTTAATTGGTTTGGAAGTTGGTGTATTGAGGTCCAATATAAATACTGGTGTCCCTGTATTTATCCATACTTTTTATAAAGCAACCACTGTTACTATTACTATAACTGTACTGAAAATGATGCCTTGTTGCTTTGCCCTAGATATGCGTTTCCAGATACATTATGTTGAACAGAAACTTGTCCAAAAACAAACTGAAATTGACTACTGGACCGCCTACAAAAACGTGGGAAGCAGCGAACATGGAAATCAGATTCGGTTCTTGGAACAGGATATTAAAAAGTTGAAGGAAGATCTTGAAGAAATGACAGGTAAGGGTCTGTAAGAGGCCTACTAAGACGTCGGTTTCAAACTATCACATTCAGGTCATGTTGTTCCAAAGGTGTTTTTTCAAAAGGCAACTGGCTTCAAAAATTTTAGCAAGGGATTCTCTGCCCAGTTGCTGGATGGGCGTGGCCATGGTGGGAGTGGCCTAGTTGGACTCTGGAGGCTTTCCTCGAGCCTCTGGGAGGGCAAAAATGGCCTCCCCAGGCTTCAGAGGCCCTTTGCCTTCCCGAACTTCCGGTAGGCCCGTTTTTCATCCTCCCCAAGCCTCCACGCGTGCCCTGCATCCAAAACAGGCTGCATGGGGACTCCTGGGAGGGGAGGGGTGGGGTGGGCGGAGCCAGGCAGGAGTGGGATTTGGGGGTTCTCTGAACTGCATAGAATTTTAGCTAGAGGTTCTCCCGAACCCCTAGCAGCCCACTCCTCAACTGGACTTTCTTTTGCTTGAAGACATTCCGCTTCTCATCCAAGAAACTTCTTCAGTTCTGACTGAGTAGCGGACAATGGAAAGATTTATATCCTTTGCGGCCATCTGCTGTTTGTCTGAGACACTGACGCTCAAACTTGTTGTTTTATTTAAATAAATATATTTAACATTTATAGCCACAGCAGACAAGATAGTGAGGGACACAGGAATATCGTGAGGTAAATCAAGTGGCATACAGAGCATCCTGAAGAAAAAGGCGAGAAAAAAGGGAGACTCCCTGTTCTGACCCAGCTCTCCAAACATGACAAACTCTCTGTAGTTGAAGCAATGATTCCTTTATTAGGAGCACCAGCAGCCCCGGCAAAAAGTTTCTCTTTCACCTCAGGCTAACAAGTCTGTCTGGCAGGGGAGATGAATAGTTGTCTGCCACATCTATTCATCTCCGCCCCCTGCCTTTTAGCCCCAGGGCTAGGGTGGGGCTTCGCTAGCAGTGGTGCCTCTTCCGTTCCAAGGATCAGCCCATAGATTTCCATTGCTCTCCTCTCCTCTCTGCCTTCTGCGCATCCGCACATCAGGCACTGGACCCAGCTGTTCCTCCTCTTCTTAATCAGCCACCTCCAGACCAGGGGTGGGTTCTAAATTTTTTTACTACCGATTCTGTGGGCATGGCTTATTTTGTGGGTGTGGCTTGGAGGTCATGTGACTAGGTGGGAGTGGCTAGCTGGTCAGAGTCATTTCTGGAAGGTCCTCGCACTTACGACCAGTCCTCGCATTTACGACCCGACTCATTTGTTTGCTTTTAACACTGATCAGCTGTAGGACGGCCCTTTGAAGCCCCGCGACAAGAGTTTAAACAGTTTTTTTCCCTCTAGTCATCAGCTGGGACTCAAGAGGCAGCAATAGATTGTGGGGTGGGACCAAATAAAAGGTAAGAATAACATGGGGGGGTGGGGGGGTGGGAGGGCGGGGGGGAGAACCGGTTCGGTGATGTCATATCGTCACCGCTACCGCCTCGGCCGAACCGGATCAAACCGGGAGGAACCCGCCGCTGCTCCAGACCTGGGGGCTGTTGACTCTCCATCTGAGGGCTGACCGATGGCCCAGGCACCGCCTCTGTCTCTCTCTCTCTGCTAGCTCCATTCTCTCTTCCCCCTTGGAGCTCTCAGGTTGCCTTGATGCTGACTCTGACTCCCACACTGCCTTCTCCTCTGATTCAGCTGCTGGAGGGGCCGGCGGCTGACAGCCCACAATACTCCCCCTTTGCACCCAAAGCAACCAATCACAACATAGATTGCCTCAGAAGCCAGCTCTCTCCAATCAAACAGCTACAACGGTGTGCTCTGGCCCATTGTACACATTACTGTTCCAGCGACTAAATTTTAATATCCTAAGAGAAACCTCATCCCACTTGTTTCTGTATTGCCAGTTGGCCGATTCAGTGCATTGTCAAGTGTGAAGTTCCCATTCCTAATTATTTCCAGATTTTAAGTTGGAGAAACTCCGGACAGATAGAACCACAGGTCTGAATCAACATAGCGTCTTCCAGATGTTTCAGGAGCCTGTATGCCTCTTGGCCACGCTGGTGGGAAACTTTGGGAACAGCGGAAAGAAAACATCTGGAAGCACTAGACTAAGTTGAAGAAAGCTTTGTGTGTTGGCCAAAAAGAGCAAAAATTGGCACTTCGTTTTTAGAGAGAGACTGTTCAATTGTTGCTCAAGTAATGCTGAATTATATGGTAACCCAAACTTTAGAGAAACCAGAATTGCTGTCTTTAATTCTGGAATTTATTTATTTATTTTATTTTATTTCTATACTGCCCTTCTCCTGCGGGACTCAGGGCGGTGTACAGCCGAGATAAAACATTGCATATAAAATTTAAAAACAGGAATGCAGTTAGTCCTCGGCTTACAACAGTTCATTTAGGGACTGTTCGAATGGCACAACGGCACTGAAAAAGCGACTTATGACCATTTTTCACACAACCATTGCAGCACCCCCACGGTCACGTGATTTACGTTCGAATGCTTGACAGCTGACTCACATTTATGACGGCTGCAGTGTCCCAGGGTCACATGATCAACTTTTGCAACCTTCCGACAAGCAAAGTCAATGGGGAAGTCAGATTTACTTAACAACCGTGTTACTAACTGTGGCAAGAAATGCTGTAAAATGGGATAAAACTCACTTAACAAGTTTCTCACTTAGAGACATAATTTTTGGGCTCAGTTGTGGTCGTACCGAAGGTGCTTTTTCAGGCAACTGGACTTTCTTGGGGGTTTTTTTTGAAGATGCTTCATGTAGAAGTGGGCTTCACATACTGTAGCAACCGGTTCGCCCAGCATTGGAAATGTGAGCCATCCGTATATATGTGCGGCGTCACAAAATATGGCAATTTTCTCCTGTGCGCCATCCGCACATGTATGTGACGTCAAACAACATGGCAATTTGCTCACACGCACCGTCTGCACATGCATGCAGCGTCAAAAACACAGCGATTGGCAATCACATGATCGCTCGAACTGGTCCAAACCGGCTGAATATCACCTGTGGTTTTGCGTCTCATCCAAGTAGCTTCTTCAGCTCTGACAGGATAGCTGTCATGCCCCTGTCGGAGTCTGAATCCGAAGGGGAAGAGGAACAGCTGACAGAGAGTGAGAGAGTGGATCCGTTGGCTATGGAAGAAACTGGGGAAAGGAAAAGTCAGGCTGGATAAAGCAGAGGAAAGGTAGAACAACGGAGAGGGGGTTCAGATGAAGACCAAGGCCCACCCCCTCCTCATCCTAGGCAGCGCAGGGAGGAACGGAGAAGAGAGCAACGTGGATTGCGTGGCTTACGAGGGAGGAAAGGGCCCCGATTCCCTTCACAAGGCACACCTGGGGATGGAGTTTAAAGGAGAGGCAAATGGGAGGGGCGGTTGTCAGAAACAAATGTTGAGTTCATCGTATTCACTGTTTATCTGAGTTCCTGGCATTCTCCCAACTGGTTTGATTTGCTGCCATGCTTCTTTACTTCTGGAATTCCCTATTTTGCTTGCCCTGCCGGATTAATTACCTTGTCTTGCCTTGTTGGATTTTTTGTTGAAAGTTTTCTGTTTACAACATTTGGGACTGAAGTATTGTCAGCCAAAGACTATTACAGGTTGGTCGAAGAGCTCTCTCTAGGCTGGAGAGTTGAAAGGGACATTGGGGGCACAGTTGGTGATAATAAAGGAACTCATATTGGTTCTCTGGCTGTGTTGCCTTTGTGTCACGCCCTGGGTCATCACAATAGCAGGGAATGGAAGGATTTATGTTCCTTGCATATTTCTTATATTCCTCCATTATGGTCGTAAGTTGAGGACTGCCTGTAATTTACATTCTGGATGGCATCTTAAAAAGGCCATAGACCATAGATATCTTTTCTGTATATTCTGTCTCCTCACCACCCTCTTCTCCCTTTAAGAATTTTTTAGGATTTCTTTGGAGGAAGCAAAGGAAAGAATTGACAAAACCACTTTGAGGCAGATGGAGTTAAAGAAAGAATGGGCCACTGAGGTATGTTTGATTTTGCTATTTCAGATGCTTAGTGGAATCTCCTCATCTGGTTTTTCAGAGTTTGGCTCCAGAGGTAGAATTCACATAATTTACCTACCAGTTCACCCAGCACCGGAAATGTAAGCGTACGCTCCCACCTCTGTGCATGTGCCCGGCCTTCTGCACATGCTTGTGCGTGCGCCTTCCGCACATGTGCCGGGCCTCAAAAACCTGCCTAAATAGGGCAGCATAGAGCTGGGGCGGGGGGGAGGGGGAGAGCGGGTCCACCTACGATTTCCGCTATTGGTTCACCCGAACCGGTCCGAACCAGCTGAATACCACCTCTGGTTGGCCTGATACATTAGAAATTTCCCACAATTCCCCAGTCACACTGATGAATTCTGGGACTTGAAATCTTAACACAGTTGGGAGAAATTAGGTCAAAAAGGATGGCATACAGTTGCTTTGATTTATGACCAGGGGTGAAATGCTCCCGGTTCGGACCGGATCGCCTGATCCGGTAGCGATGGCGGCGGGTGGTTCGGAGAACTGGTAGCAAAAATCCCTGCGCCCTCCCCATGCTCAGCTGAGCCGCGCGATCATCAGAGGCTTTTTTTTTTACATTTAAAAGCATTTTTTCTACAACCTTTTAAAAGTAAAAAAAAGAGATTGTGCGCCACAGCTGATAACCCCCTCCCCTTGTGTGCTGTTCTACTTACCGCATGCCTCCTTTTGGTGCGTGGGGCGCACTGTGCATGCACAGCCAGCAAACCGGTAGTAAACCGGTTCAGATTTTACCACTGCTTATGACCAATCACTTAACAACCGTTTAAGGTTACAATTGACTCAAAAAAAGATACTTACGACCAGTCCTCAAAATTACAATTACCTCACCACCCCTGCAGTCACACAATCACATTTCAGCCACTTAGCAACACAATTCTTTTGTCCTCTTCGCTTACATGTTAAGTTTAGCTTCAGTAAACTTGGTGGGAGAGCCGTGTTTATCTATGGCGGCGAAAATCAGGAGGAATCCATCAGTGCCATTTAATAAAATTTTATTCATAGGCTTATAAAAAAAGCTTATGTCTTTTAAGAACATTTGTTACCTGGAAAAGGTACTACCAAATTCCTTTGAGCTTTTCAGTAGCTGATGTGCCAAGGTGGCGCAGTGGTTAGAGTGCAGTACTGCAGGCTACTTCTGCTGCCTGCCGGCTGCCTGCAATTTAGCCTTTCGAATCTCACCAGGCTCAAGGACAATTCAGCCTTCCATCCTTCCGAGGTGGGTAAAATGAGGACCCAGATTGTTGGGGGCAATAGGCTGACTCTGTAAAACCGCTTAGAGACGGCTGTAAAAGCACTGTGAAGTGGTATATAAGTCTAAGTGCTATTGCTATGTTGTTTAATGCACTAGGGATAATATTGACACTTTATTCTAGAAGACTATGATGCTTTTATACAAATAGTTCTGGATTTATGACTGTTCAAAATTATGACAGGCCTCCCCCAGGTCCAAAGTTTCAACAACTGACCCTCCCACGGTCATGTGATCATATTTGTGATGCTCAGTAACCACATTTTATGACGGTTTCACCAGAAACTGGCCTTTGCTTCGGATTTCAGCAAAACCAGTCCGTAGTGAACCATTAATTCAGTTAATGATTGTGGCGTTCATTTAATGACCGCAGTAGTCACCTTACAACCGCAGTGTTCACTTAACAACAGCTGCAAAAAAAGGTTGTAAAATCAGGTTGGGTGACCCAATTTATGACCATCATGCTTTATGACTATGATGGGCGGGCTCCATTATGGTCATAAATTGAGGACTACCTGTATAACATGTCATTAGCTGCTAAAAGAATCTTCTGGAAAATTAACGGGTGTAGAAAAACATAAAATTGACTTGGTATTGTGTGACATTTTTGACATATGCCTTAGACATATCCTGTCTAAACCTTTGTGTTTCTTGCTTCCTTCAATGTAAAGAATACAATTTTAATTCTGGGGTACTTGGATTATTTTCCCAGAATGCTGTTAAGCACATTGACAAGATCAGCCGCAGGGAGATTAAAGAATACGAATGGCTAAAAGAAGAAGTAAGTTGATTTCTGCAGGACAGAAAGCAAATGGAAAGCAGATCCTTTGGTGGCCAGGAGGTTGAATGGTTGCAGAAAGAAGGCTAAGGGATCAACTGAGCATCGGGGCCCATATTTTGACTATTAAGTTTTGCAAGACAGAAATGAAGGCTAGCAAAATTACTACCACATAGTAAGAGCCATGGTGGTTAGAATGCAGTATTGCAGCATTGCAGGCTAACTCTGCTGACTGCCAGTAGTTCGAATCCAGTATAGGAGGCTGACTTTGCCCACTACCAAGAGTTCGATCCTCAATGGCTCGAGGTTGACTCAGCCTTCCATCCTTCTGAAGTCAGTAAAATGAGGACCCAGATTGTTGGGGGCAAGATGCTGACTGTGTAAACCGTTTAGAGAGGGCTGTGAAGCATTATGAAGCGGTATATAAGTCTAAGTGTCATTGCTATTGCTACCTGAACAACAGTGCCTCAAAATGTTATTTTAAATTGGGTGTACGTTTGTCTAGTTCTCGTTGCTTTTAAAAAATCACCTAAGCAGGAGAGAAACTTATGAGTACAGATAATCCTCAATTTACCACCATTTGTTTAGTAACTGTTCAAAGTTACAACGGCACTGAAAAAAGAGACTTATGACCGGCTTTCACACTTAACGACCATTGCAGCATCCCAATGGTCACGTAATCAAGAATTCAGACTCTTGACAACTGGCATATATTTATGACAGTTGATCTCTCCCAGGATTGTGTGATTACTATTTGTAATCTTCCCAGCCAACTTCGGACAAACAAAGTCAATGGGGAAAGCCAGAGTTGCACTTAACGACTCCACGATTCGCTTAAGAACTACTGCAGGGATTTTGTTTGACATCTGCGGCAAAAAAATATCGCGAAATGGGACACAACTCACTTAAAAAGCATCTTGTTTGGGCCCCGTTGTGGTCGTAAGTCGAGGACTAACTTACTAGCGTGGAAGTCCATCAGGAGATCTCAGGGCTTTCATTGGCTTCCTTGTAATTTTCAAGACGCTTACAGGTAGTCCTCGACTTATAGCAGTGACCGTTCAAACAGCACTGAAAAAAGTGACTTACGACCATTTTTCAGACTTACAACCATTGCAGCATCCCCATGGCCATTGGATTTACATTCAAATGCCTGACATCAACTGACTCACATTTATGACGGCGGCAATGTCCCTGGGTCACGGGATTCCCCTTTTTTGTGAACTGACAAGCAAAAGCCAATGGGGGAAGCCAGATTCACTTAACAACCGGGTTACTAATATAACAACTTCAGTGATTCACTTAACACATGTGGCGAGAAAAATCAAGCAAAACTCAACAGATTTCTCCCTTAGCAACAGTGGTGGGTTCCTCCCGGTTCGGTCCGGTTCAGCCGAGCCGATAGCAGTGACGATATGACGTCACCGAACCGGTTCTCCCCCCCCGCCCTCCCATCCTCCCACCCCCCACATTATTCTTACCTTTTATTTGGTCCCACCCCCAATCTATTGCTGCCTCCTGAGTCCCAGCTGATGACTAGAGGGAAAAAAAACTGTTTAAACTCTTGCCGCGGGGCTTCAAAGGGCCGCCCTACAGCTGATCAGTGTTAAAAGCAAACAAATGAGTCGGGTCGTAAGTGCGAGGACTGGTCGTAAGTGCGAGGACCTTCCAGAAATGACTCTGACCAGCTAGCCACGCCCATCTAGTCACATGACCTCCAAGCCACACCCACAAAATAAGCCACGCCCACAGAACCGGTAGTAAAAAAAATTAGAACTCACCCCTGCTTAGCAACATAAATTTTGGGCTCAGTCGTGGTTGTAAATTGAGGACTACAGCATGTACGGATGTGTTCGTCGGATTACCAAGGCATTAACCCAAGGGAGATTTTTTTCCCTTTTGAACCGTCGTGTAGATCCTGGCCTTGCCTGACGGCTCTACCAGGGGGCCCTTCCAACAGCACCATCTGGATTGTTGAATATTCAGTCCGGCAACATGTAAACATAATCAGTGCTGTGGTTTTGGCTCCTAAGAGTAAAGAATAGGAGGAGGAGTGGGGGGGGCTACTGGCTCCCCTTTTCTCCAGCATCCATCACCTGAGGCAGCTACATCCATCCTTCTGATGGCAGGTTTGGCCAAGATCCCAACATCTCCAGCTAAAGGAGTTTTGGCAGACATACTTACTGTACATAACCTTCCCATCATGGGGGAAGAAATGTTAATGCAGAGTGCAGAAGAAAAGGGGAGCCAAAGTAATTAAGGCAGGAGGTAGACAAAAGAAACTGAAAAGTCAATTAGCAAACTAAAATCATTCTGACTCCCAGTACCATCTCCTATATCTGTCTGGATCTTCTCTCTCCTTGAAAGCCAGTCTGATTTCTGCTAAGTCCCTAGGCCTCTTAATACGGTATGTTTTGTTAATTACCCTATTTTTCGGAGTATAAGACGCACCGGAGTATAAGACACACCGGAGTATAAGACCCAGCTTAGTTTTTGGGGAGGAAAAACAGGGGGGGAAAAATCTGCCTACCAGGTATTCATCTGGCTAGCGTCCTTAGTCTGGTCAGCTTCAGCACATTAGTTTGCTGGTTTTTTTAATCCCCTGCTTGGGGATAAAAAACAGCTTCTAAGGCACAGCTGAGAGGAAGCAGCAATGAGAAAAGCAGGCAAAGCTGGGGCGGGGGGAGGAGATCACTTCACTCGGCTATCGCCTAGTTAGGGCTGAACAAAAGCTTCTAAAGAACAGCTGAGAGTCGGAGCAAAGCATGGAAATCGTTTCACACGCTAGCGCCTCGTTAAAGCACAGCGGAGTCGAGGGAGCAGGCAAAGCTGGGAAGATCGCTCGCTAGTGCCTTGTTAGTACCCGTATTGGCACAAACTGTATCGCTTATACAGTTTTTAAGTAATGTATTCCCACTGCGTTTAACTGTCACTTCCCTATAACAAGGTGAGAGATGTTTGCTGTTATACTCAGCTGTTTTTGCTTCTTTTGACAAATATTCATTCCTTGGACGAGGCCATACTTTCTACCATCATTTACATCAGTGGTGGGTTGCCCCCAGTTCAGACCGGTTCGCAAGAACCGGTAGTAAAACCGGCGGGAGGCTCCGCCCACCGACCTGGACGTTATCATAAGTGATCTGCGCAGAAGTGCACGCACGCTCCTGATGTGAATTGGTAGTAAAGGTAAGTAGAACCCACCCCTGATTTACATATCCTAAACTTAAACGCTCATGGAGACATCCCACATCCTTGTTTTCTTCTTTGTTTAGTATTGGAGCATTCAGCCAAGAGTTCAGATGACCTTCCCGTCTTTTTCTTGCTTTCTTCCTGATTTTTCTACATTCAGCGAGCAACCTTCAACTCCATTCTTGAACAAAACATTGTGCCTTGTGAGCCGACTCATTTTGGAGAGAGAGAGAAAAATGAGGCAACTGTTTTGTTAAGTTATGCGTGTAACTTCTTAGAACTTCAGAATTAGCTTTCCTGTTTTATGGCAGGTTGAAGCTTATCGAAAGGAAGTGGATGCTTTAGAGGAAGCTGTCAATGAACTGGAGAAGGAAAATATCTATCTCATCAACAAACTGTTTGAGCGGAGATTGCAATTTCTTAAAGTACCCAGGTAAAAAAGGCTCCATGTTATGATCTAACTTTAGCTCGCTTAACTGGGTTGTTGACAGACGAGGAATCATCGGTGAAATGCTACCAGTTCGGGCGAACCGGTAATGATAAAAATTACCGGTTTGAGTAAACCGGTAGTAAAAAAAATAAGCTACCAGTTGGTCCGAACTGGTATTTCCAACGATCAGTTGTGCTGCACGATTTAAAATTGCTAGAAACAGGAAATCCTGCTTTTTAGTGAATCTAAATCGCGCGGCACAGCTGTTCTCCCCCCTCGCTGTTCTACTTACCTTCCCAAGCCTCCTTTTTCCACGCAAAGCGTACATTTGGCGTGCACTGCACATGCGTGCACATGTATTTGGTGCACACTGCACATGCGCAGGCAGCAAACCAGTGGCAAACTAGGGAGGATTTCACCACTGCATTGAATGCAATGAGTTATGGTGATTCTTTTATTTATTTTTGATTCATTTTTTTTCCATTTTAGCGCAGCATCCACTTAGTTGTTCAGCATGGGGTGGGAATGAAGAAACGTGACTAATTGTGTAAGCAGGTTAAAAATGCGTTATCTGAGCATTGATAATGTGAGACAATGTATCTGGGAACATGGGCATTGCAATCTCAGCTTCTTCCTGCAAAAACGTTTCCTTTACATTACAAGTAGTCCTCGACGTATAACAACAATTGAGCCCAAAATTTCGCTTGCTAAGCGAGACAGTTGTTAAGTGAGCTTTGTCCCATTTTACAGCCTTTCCTCCTCCCTCCCCACTGTTAAGTGAATCACTGCCGTTGTTAAGTTAGAAACACGGTTGTTAAGTGAACCTGGCTTCCCCATTGACTTTGCTTGTCAGAAGGGCGCAAAAGAGGATCACATGACCCCGGGACACTGCAACCATCATAAATACAAATCACGTGTCTATGAAGATGCTGCAGTGGTCATATGTGTGAAAAATGGTCATAAGTCACATTTTTCAGTGCTGTTGTAATGTCGGTCACTAAATGAATTGTTGTAAGTTGAGGACTACCTGGAATAGGTTTTGTTTTATTTAAAACTCCACAAAATCCTTCTAAGATATAAGAAGAATGTTTTAAACAATGCTCATTATTTGTGCAAGCAGGCATAACCCAATAATCGGCTAAATTTTTCTGGCTATGGACCTAACCATTTTATTTTATTTTTCCCTTTAACCTCACCCCACCCCCAGTAATTACTGAGTAGATATGACCAGTGATGGGTTTCAAATTTTTTTACGACCGGTTCTGTGGGTGTGGCTTGGAAGGCGTGGCTTGGTGGGTGTGGCATGGATTGGTGGGTGTGGCTTGGTGGGCGTGGCCGAGGAAGGATACTGCAAAATCTCCATTCCCACTCCACTCCTGGGGAAGGTTACTGCAAAATCCCCATTTCCTCCCAATCAGCTGGGACTTGGGAGGCAGAGAATAGATGGGAGGGGGGCCAGTCAGAATTTTTACTACCGGTTCTCTGAACTACTCAAAATTTCTGCTACCGGTTCTCCAGAACTGGTCAGAACCTGCTGAAACCCATCTCTGGGTATAACAAAAAGGTGAGACCAACATTTTTAGTTGTTTCCTGCTGCTCCCTTTTTCCAAAGGTAACTTTTGAAAAAAAACTAAATGGATCTTTTGAGAATCTCCAGATATTTTGAATCTAACTCCCATCTGTCCTGATAAATTTTGTGGTTGAAAGCAGGGGAGAAATCCAGCAGGTTCTGACAGGTTCTGGAGAATCGGTAGCGGAAATTTTGAGCAGTTTGGAGAACCGGTAGCAGAAATTTTGAATAGTTCGGAGAACTAGCAATACCACCTCTGGCTGGCCCCAGGGTGGGGTGGGAATGGAGATTTTGCAGTATCCTTCCCCTGCCACGCCCACCAAGCCACGCCCACCAAGCCATGCCACGCCCACCAAGCCACGCCCACCAAGCCATGCCCACAGAACCGGTAGTTTAAAAAAATGGATTTCACCACTGGTTGAAAGAAATAGGTGATCGAAAACCTCTGGAGATTGCAGGTTTCTTCAATAGAAAAGGGGAAACGCGAATGCTTTTTGGTTAGCATTCCTTGACTTTTCGTATTGTAGGAAATTTTTCTTCAGTAAAAAAAGACCAGGGGTGGCTCCAAACTTGGCAACTTTTAAGACTTGTGGACTTCAACTCCCAGAATTCTCCAATCCACATGGCTGGCTAAGGAATTCTGGGAGTTGAAGCCCATAAGACTTAAAGTTGCCAAATTTGGAGACCACTGCTGTAGACCAAGGTTTTTCAAACCCAGAATTTCCCAGAGTTGAAGTTCAATTTAGGGGTAGGGTGGTTTTTTTTTTTGTTTTTTTTTGTATTTTAGAGTTAAGGTTGTTTTTTTCTTTTTAAACCTCCTTTGGATTTCTTGAACTAGTCCCTGCAGTTTTCTTGCCAAGGTTTTTTTGAAAGTGGTTTGCCATTGCTTGCATCCTAGGGCTGAAGGAGAGGGACCGGCCCAAGGTCATCTAACTGGTTTCGTGCCTAAAATGGAACTGGAACTCAGTCCCCCTGTTTCTAGACAGATGCTTTCACCACAACCTGGCTTTCGCCATTGTTTTCTGGTGGGTTACTGTTATGTATTTTGGTGCTATTTTTGCTATGATTTGCATTTTCCAGGAAGCTGTTTCTTACTCAAGGAGCTGGCTTGAAGATTCCTGAAGAAAGCATTGATCAAGAAGAAGGTAGTTATCTCTTTTTGTTGTTGTTGTCTGAATCAGATTGATCTGCCTAAGTCTTGCAGCTGTGATTTATCAAAGAAAGGCACTTGAAGTAGTAGTGGCGAAGTTGGAGAATGAAGCCGCCATCCTGTCTTCAACCATATTTTATTCATTTTATATACTATATTTTTATTTATATCTCGCCTTTATTGTTTTTATAAGTAACTCAAGACAGTATGCATACTTAATCCTCTTTTCTTCTCCTACTTTCCCTACGATAACAACCTTGTGAGGTGAGTTGGGCTGAGAGAGAGGAACTGGCTCAAAGTCACCCAGCTGGCATTCGTGCCTAAGAAGGGACTAGAACTCACCTGTCTCCTGGTGATTGACCCAAATTCACTCACCAGAATTTCATGCCTAAAGTGGGACTAGAACTCACCATCTCTGGGAGATTGGCCCAAAGTCATCCAACTGGCTTTGATGCATAAGGCGGAACTAGAATTCACAATCTCCTGATTTCTAGCCAGGTGCCTTAACCTCTAGACCAGAGGTGTCAAACTCGATTTCATTGAAGGCTGCATCAGGGGTGTGTTTGACCTTGGGTTGGCCCGGGGGGTGTGACCAGGGAGCCAACGGTGGGTTTCACATTTTGTTGCTACCGGTTTGCCGCGCGCGCATGCATGCTTGCTTCACGCACATCTTCTACACATGAGCCCAGCTTTCCGTGCATGCGCTTTGCTCGCACACATGTCTTCTGCGCATGTGCCCGGCCTCAAAACTGTGCCTAAATAGGACGGCATAGAGCCCGGGTGGGTGGGTGGGCAGACCCACCCGCGATCCCTTCTACCGGTTCGCCCAAACTGATACGAACCGGCTGAATAGCACCTCTGCAGGGGGGGTAGCCAGCTTGACATCACTCATGTCAGGGGCTCCTGTGGCCCGAACGCTCTGCCAGCGAAAATGGGCTCCTGAGCTCCGTTTTCTGCTGTGACGGCCTCCTGCAATGCATGTGGCCCTCGCAAGCTCCATTTTTGCTGGCAAAGGCACCGTGGGCTGGTCGTTTGCTTTTTTCAGGGTGGCCCCGTGGATCGAATCTAAGCACCCCACGGGCTGGATCTGGCTCGCGGGCCTTGAGTTTGACACCCCTGCTCTAGACATAACTGATTCGGCAGCTTCCAGATAGTTACAGAATTCCCATTCTTAGCCTGAAATTAAGGCGAGTTTTTCCAAAACGGTCAACATCAACCTGCAAGGGTTGACCCAGGATGATCTCTTTCTTGTGCTTAATATTAATATCATTCATAGTATTATTACTTAAAGGAGTATTTATTACATTATTTTCTTATTTATTTATTTATTTATTTATAATTTAATTTAATTTATATACCGCCCTTCTCCCGAAGGACTCGGGGCGGTGTACAGCCAATTAAAATCACAAGATACAAACAACAGTTTTAAAATAGTTAAAAGTATTAAACAATTTCGGCCCGAATTTAAAACCCAAAATTTAAAACCCCCAATCTAAAATCATTTACATAGATAGCCCTGCCTGGCGGAACAGCAGAGTCTTAAGGGCACAGCGAAACACACGGAGGTCGGAGATCTTGCGTATTTCCGGGGGCAGTTTGTTCCACAGGGCAGGAGCTCCCACAGAGAAGGCCCTTCCCCTGGGTGTTGTCAACCGACATAACTTGGCTGATGGCACCCTGAGGAGACCCTCCCTGTGGGAGCGAGTTGGCCGGTGGGAGGCTACTGGTGGCAGAAGTCGGTCTCGAAGGGGTGAGTTCTACTTACCTTTACTACCAGTTCACAATGGGAGCGTGAGCACCTCTGCGCATGCATAGATCATCCATTATGACATCCGGGTGGGTGGGCGGAACCTCCCGCCGCTTTTACTACCGGTTCGCAAGAACCGGACAGAACCGGGAGCAACCCACCACTGAAATAGCCAGCCAGAAAATTCTGGTCTCTTTTAATGTGCAGCTGTTACTCTTGACTCAGTAATAATACTGTTTCTTTGAATCTATCCATACTGTCTCTATACCGTCTGCAAAATTAGACAATCTTTGGCTGCCCCTCAATTATCTCATCACTGACTGGAATACGGTACGCTAGTATGCTTTGAATGGTTTGATTTCCATGTTTTAATTTTTTAACTGTAATAAAAGATTTATCGATTGAGATGCGTTTTCTTACATGCACTCTCACTTCTTCTGGCAAACAAAAAGGACATTTTGGCATCCTGTACACTCGACTGAATACTGTTCCTTCTTTTTCTGCTTGCATTATCTAAATATTTGTAATATCTAAACGCCTGCCCTGATTACTAAACTTGAAAAAACAAACCTCTCGCGCCCCCCCTCCCCCCAGTTTGAAAACTGAAGGGAAAGAGGTTTTTTTTTTTTGAGAATTGTGACATAGGCAGAGAACTTGGATCAATAGTAGTAATCATGAGAGGGATCTTGGAGTCCTCATGCAGGGGTACCCAACCCCCGGGCCGTGGCCTATTTGGAACCAGGCCACGCGGAGAAGCGTGGAGGAGCACAAAACTGTACCCCAAAGGGTACATCACTTCTGCGGTCTGGTACCCTTCTCCTGCGGCCCCCCCCCCCAGCCAGGCCACAAAGCCACAAAGGTTGGGGACCACTGTCCTAGTGTACGATCACTTAAATATGAGCCAACAGTGTGTGGCAGCAGCCAAAAAAGCCAATGCAGTCCCAGGCTGCATTAATAAGAGGAATAGAATCAAGATCACAGTAAGTGTTAATACCACTTTAAAGAATAGAATAGAATTCTTTATTGGCCAGGTGTGATTGGACACACAAGGAATTTGTCTTGGTGCATACGCTCTCAGTGAACATAAAAGAAAAGATACATTCGTCAAGAATCATAAGGTACAACACTTAATGATAGTCATAGGGAACAAATAAGCAATCAAATCATATTAGGAAACAGTCAATATAAATTGTAAGGATACCAGCAACAAGGTTACAGTCATACAATCATAAGTGGGAGGAGCTGGGTGGTGGGAACGATGAGAAGATTAATAGTAGTGCAGATTTAGTAACTAGTTTGACAGTGTTGTGGGAATTAGTTGTTTAGCAGAGTGATGGCGTTCGGGAAAAAACTGTTCTTATGCCTCGTTGTTCTGGTGTTCAGTGCTCTATAGCGTCGTTTTCAGGGTAGGAGTTGAAACAATTTATGTCCAGGATGCAAGGAGTCTGTAAATATTTTCACAGCCCTCTTTTTGACTCATGCAGCATACTGGTCCTCAGTGGAAGGCAGGTTGGTAGTAATTGTTTTTTCTGAGGTTCTAATGCCTTGGTAAGGCCACACTTGGAATATTGCATCCAGTTTTGGTTGCTGCGATGTAAAAAAAGATGTTGAGACTCTGGAAAGAGTGCAGAGAAGAGCAATGCTGCAGGTCATAGGTTGGTATTTTTTTTAAAAAAATTCACCTGTAAAATCCTTCCCTTCCTTTCTATGGCCTATTTTTCACCAATCTCAAGCTTGTAGGCATTTCTAAGAAAACAAACCCTTCCCATGAATATTTGAAGCCCATCAATCGTAAAAAAGTTAATACTCCTTCAGCAGGAATTCCTTTCAGAAAGAACTAAAATCTAAACGTTTCTTCGCCCCACCCTCCCACTGAGAATAAAGACATCGTTTCCAAAATCCAGTGATGATACAGATATATCATACCAAACAGAGGATCTGAAAATCAGAGCTTGTATATTTTTTTACAGCACGCTACGTGCCTTTTTTTCAAGCTAAGGACCCCGATATGATAAATTTTCTGAGTGGACAGTCACTTCAATATGAACCAGCAGTGTGCTGCAGTTGCCAAAAAAGCCAACCTAATCCTAGGCTGCATTAGCAGTGGGATAGAATCAAGATCACATGAAGTGTTAATACCATTTCATAATGCTTTGGTAAGGCCACACTTGGAGTACTGCATCCAGTTTTGGTCTCCATGATGTAAAAAAGATGTGGAGACTCTAGAAAGAGTGCAGAGAAGAGCAACCAAGATGATTAGGGGACTGGAGGCTGAAATTTACGAAGAACGGTTGCAGGAATCGGGTATGTCTAGTTTAATGAAAAGAAGGATCAGGGGCAGGGGTGAAATCCAACAGGTTCTGACAGGTTCTGGAGAACCGGTAGCGGAAATTTTGAGTAGTTCGAAGGAAATTTCGTGAGGAAATTTTGAGTAGTTGACAAATACCACCTATGGCTGGCCCCAGAGCGGGGTGGGAATGGAGATTTTGCAATATCCTTCTCGCAGGTGTGGGGAGGGAATGGAGATTTTGCAGTATCCTTCCCCTGCCACGCCCACCAAGCCACACCATGCCCGCCATGCCACGCCCGCCACGCCCACAGAACCGGTAGTAAAAAAATTTGGATTTCACCACTGATCAGGGGTGATATGATAGCAGGGTTCCAATATCTAAGGGCCTGCCATAAAGAAGACGAAGGGGTCAATCTATTCTCCAAAACACCTGAAGGCAGGACAAGAAGCAACGGATGGAAACTAATGAAGGAGAGAAGCAACCTAGAACTAAGGAGAAATTTCCTGACAAAATAATTATTAAGTAGAATGACCTGCTTCCAGAAGTTGTGGCTGCTTCATTGCTGAAAGCTTTTAAGAAGAGACCGGTCACCCACTTGTCTGAAATGATACAGGGTCTCCTTCTGGTGCAATGGGTTGGACTAGAACAGGGGTCAGCAACCCGCAGCTCTGGAGCCGCATGTGGCTCTTTCATGCCTCTGCTGTGGCTCCCTTGTTGCTGGTTGGCTCCACAATTGATAGGGCTTTCAGTTAGGACAGATAGAGGAAAAAGGATGCTGCACTAGGAGGAGACTCTATGGTGGGGGAACCGGACTTCCGGTCAACAGAGGAAAAAGGGCGCCACACTAGGATAGGGGAACCGGACCTCCAGTCGGCTCTAGAATTGAACGGGGGCTTTCGGTTAGGACCTTTGTGGCTCTTTGAGTGTTTAAGGTTGCCAACTCCTGGATTAGAAGAACTTCCAATGTCCCTTCCAACTCTGTACTTTCTATGTTTGTTACATTTCTGTAATGAAATGTAAAATGGATTGTGAGGAATACAACCAAAAAATAATAATAATTTATAATTTATTTTATAAAAGCAGAGGAAGAGGTGATGTCAGCAACGGAGCTGGTCATTTCTGTGGACCCAGTGTCGAGCGAAGAGAGAAGGGAATTGGGGAAGTCGTCGATGGATGACTTTGAAGTGGTTTATTTGCGGGGAATGTCCAAAAATGAGTTTCTACCTCCTCTGCTGTATGAAGACACAAATGACTTCAAGGTAAAGATTTATCTTCCTCTGCTAAGATTCGGTGGTGGTGGTGGAGTGGGAGAACTAGATGGGTTGAGAATTATGGAAGTTCAGTCTATCCCTTTTGGACAGACTTGCCTCCAGAAGCTGTGAATGCTCCAGCTCTGAAAGTTTTTAATAAGAGTTTGGACAACCATTTATCTGAAATGGTATAGGGTTTCCTGCCTAAGTAGAGGGTTGGAATAGAAGACCTCCAAGGTCCCTTCCAACGTTCTATTATTCTGGACAAGACTGGATTAGGATTAATAAGAACATCAGCATGTATGTTGTTGGAGATTCAGGTCCAGTAACCCTGACTATTCATCTCTACTGACCATCCCAAGGCCAGAGGACCAGTGTTTTTCAACCTTGGCTACTTTAAGATGGGTGGACTTCAACTCCCAGCATGCAGCATGACTGGGGAAATCTGGGATTGGAACTTGGCTGTTTTAAAGTAGCCAAGTTCGAAAAACACTACAGTAGTGGAAACCTTTTGGGAAAAGTGTATTTTTGAGGTTTGATGGCTAATAACACCACTTTTTTTTGGGAGTTTCAAGATAATCCTATTCTACTGCTGGAATGGCCTGGGAGTAGCCAATGGAAAAATCTATGGAGTCAACTAAAGAAACTTGTTAGTCAGAAGTGACCCAGCAATCAAACCCAGTTAATAGAAGCCATCATTCAATCTTTGTTTCACATGATAACAGCTGCAGAACTAAAAGATTTGGTTCACTCCATGGGAAGACGTTGTAAGGCCATCATTCATGCTAAAGGTTACCCAACTAAAAGAGCCTTGGTGGTACAGGGGTTTAAGGCACCCTGTTATTAAGCTTATTAAGACCAGCTGCCTGCAATTACTGCAGGGTTCGAATCTCGCCAAGGCTCAAGGTTGACTCAGCCTTCCATCCTTTCTAAGGTAGGTGAAATGAGGACCCAGTTTGTGGGGGCAATAAGCTGACTTTGTATAAATATACAAAAAGGATGAAGGCTATTGCTGAGCACATTGTAAGCCGCCCTGAGTCTTCGGAGAAGGGCGGCATATAAATCAAATTTTAAAAAAAACACAAAAAAAACCTAAGTATTAACTGACATGGTAATTTTTGTATATCTCATTTTTTTCTACGCGTTTCACTTTTCTTCTTTATACTGTAACTGCTCTTCTAATAGCTAAACCTTCATAAAAGTTATTGCATTACATTCTTGATTAAATTATCTTTCCATTTATGTATAATTTTATAGGACTACTCCAAAAGAAAAAGTGGTGTTATTAGCTAGTTTTAGAAAATACACTTTTCCCAAAAGGTTTCCACAATTTTGGCCACTACTGTATATTAGATCCATGCCTAAGATGTTAGCAAGGGGCACCTGCCTTCCAGGTCAAGGTAGGTGGTCTTCTACTGCCATAAAAACCCTACAACTTTTATTTTCTTACATACTGTAGAGATTAAAACAAACAGCAGAAAAGATTACCCTTCTACAAGGAACGTATCTTCTACCTCTTTTATTTTTTTCCAAGAATGCTTGAAGGCAACTTAACAAGGCTGACTCAGCTTCGTCTTGCACCCTTCCTAGAATGTCTTCATTATTTGCAATATACAGGTAGTCCTTGACTTATGACAATGGAGTCCAAAATTTCTGTTGTTAACTGAGTTTTGCCCCATTTTACGACCTTTCTTGCCACCGTTGTTAAACTGAATCGTTGCAGTTAGTTAGTAACCTGGTTGTCAAGGGAATCTGGCTTCCCGCATTGACTTTGCTTGTGAGAAGGTCGCAAAAGGGGACCACGTGACCTTGGGCCACAGCAACGGTCATGAATATGAACCAGCTGCCGAGCATCTGAATTTTGATCACTTGATCATGATGGGGAGGCTGTAAAGGTCTTAACTGTGAAAAAAATGGTCGTAAGTCATCTTTTTCAGTGGTGTTATAATTTTGGTCACTAAATGAGCTGTTGTTAAGTCGAGGACTACCTGTATTTCCCCAGTCCTTACTCAGCCTTCTAAACAGTGTGTAAGTTACTAATGACAACCACTGCCTTTTTTTTAATAAAATACTTTATTATCCATATTATTTACACGCATGGGGCATATGCACGTTAAGTATAAGGAGTGGGTTTAGGGCAGGGGTGTCAAACTTAATTTCATTGAGGGCCGCATCAGGACTGTATTTGACTGGGGGGGAGGGAGTAGCCAGGGTGGGCATGGCCACCTTGATATCACTTGTTTCGGGGGCGCCTGTAGTGGCCCAAGCGCTCTGTCAGCAAAAACGGGCTCCCGAGCTCCGTTTTCGGCTGCGACTGCCTCCGGCAACCCTCTACCAGCGAAAACGGGGCTCAAGAGGGCTGCCTGTGGGCCTCCTGAGCTCAGTTTTCACTGGCAGAAGCACCATGGGCTGCCCCTTCACTGTTTCCAGGGTGGCCCCACGGGCCAGATCTAAGCATCCTGCGGCCGGATCCAACCCCTGGGCCTTGAGTTTGACACCCCTGGTTTAGTGGAAATTGGGAGTTATTCAAGCATATTTGAAAAGGACGCAGTGGCTCAGTGGCTAAGATGCTGAGCTTGTCGATCAGAAAGGTCGGCAGTTCGGCGGTTCAAATCCCTAGCGCCGCGTAACGGAGTGAGCTCCCGTCACTTGTCCCGGCTTCTGCCAACCTGGCAGTTCGAAAGCATGTAACATGCAAGTAGAAAAATAGGGACCACCTTTGGTGGGAAGGTCACAGCGTTCCATGCGCCTTTGGTGTTGAGTCATGCCGGCCACATGACCACAGAGATGTCTTTGGACAGCGCTGGCTCTTCGGCTTTGAAACGGAGATGAGCACCGCCCCCTAGAGTCTGGAACAACTAGCATTTATGTGTGCAAGGGGAACTTTTAACGTTACCTTTTACAAGCATATTTATCACCAAATAATCCCATCCTCTTTTGTTCCAAATCAAGGAATATAAGGAGCTGGGTCCTTTGGATGTGAAATTAATGTGCGCCGTGGGTGAAAAGATGCCAGTTCACGAAGACATCAAAGAAATGCCCAGCAAAGCTCAATTGGAAGAGAGATACGACCCAAATGAACCTTCACAGCACATCACTTACCGTATGATTAAATCTGTATTTCCTTAAAAATTGAGGAAGACAAAAGTCCTTTCAGTGACTTTGGAGTGTCTTAAGATTCCCTTTCGGCGCTAGGGGTCGTTGGCTTGCATATATAAAAAAAGGAAGAAGAATTAAAAATATTGGCTGTTGATTGTTGAGGCTTTTTTTTTTTTTTTTTTGCAACTGATCTACAACTTAGAGAGATTTGCGTTGGAGGCACCCGGAAAGAATACATGTTGTATTGTTGAGTTCCTGTCATTTGTTCCCATCAGATATAAACTTGCTTGTTACGGAAATGGAAGTGCATGAATTGTTTATGTCTGGTTGGTAGATGATAACTTCCAATGTAGTTTTTATTCTCTGGGTGGTCTACAAAAAGAGGAAAGCTTTTTCTATCCTTCCCCCCCCCCAAGTTCTCAGCTTTCAAATATTACCGTGTTTTCCCAAAAATAAGACCCTGTCTTATATTTTTTTTTGAACCCTGAAATAAGCGCTTGGCCTTATTGCCATGCGCTCAAAAGCCCGATTGGACTTATTATCAGGGGATGTCTTATTTTGGGAGAAACAGGGTAAGAAAATCCTGCCGTTTTCTAAAAGATGAAATGAAAGGGCTGGATTTCTATACTTGCAGTTGTGTCCCATGTTCCTACTTTTCGGTAGTTTTTGACAAGTGAATAACCAGTCCTAACTATGCTTGACATACTGTATTTTTCAGACGCACCGGAGTATAAGATGCACCAAGATTTCGAAGAGGTAAAGAAAAAAAAAGTTTTTGCCCTCCCCGGGCTCCAGGAGCACTCTGCAGGCCTCCCAAACCCTTTGTGCGTCCTGTTTTTGCAAAAAACGGGATGCGCAGAGGGTTTGGGAGGCCTGCAGAGTGCTCCTGTGGACTGGGGAAGGCAAAAATGTGACGCGTGAGGAGTCTGGGAGGCCAAAAGCAGGCCCATTTTTTGCAAAAACAACCCCATTTTTCACAAAAATGGGGCACACAGAGGGTTTGGGAGGCCTGCAGAGTGCTCCTGGGGGCTGGGGAGGGCAAAAACACAGTTTTTGCAAAAAATGGGCCAGATTTTGGCCTCCCAAACCCCCCACACGTCACGTTTTTGTGAAGTGGTATACCTTTAAATATTTTCATATGGAAAATGATTTCCATCAGAAAAATAGGGAATGACCAAACCTAATTTGAAAGTCACAACGCTCAACAGAATCATTGGAAGTACTAAGTACTTAAAAACCATATTTTAAAGTTTTCCATTAAATGAACTACTCAGAATTCGCAACTCCCAAGTAAAGGTAATCTTCAACTTAACAACCCTTTTGTTTAGTGACCACTTGAAGTTACAACGGCGCTGGAAAAAGTGACTTATGACCATTTTCCCCACAGCATCCCCATGGTTGCGTGATCAAAATTCAGATGCTTGGCAACCGATTCATATTTATGACGGTTGCACCGTCCCTGTGTCATGTGATCCCCTTTTGCGGCCTTGCGACAAGCAAAGTCGAGGGGGGAGCCAGATTCACTTAACAACCGTGTCACTAACTTAACAACTGCAGTGATTCACTTAAGAACTGTGGCAAGAAAGCTCGTAAAATGGGGCAAGACTCACTCAACTGTCTCACTTAGCATTTTAGGCTCAACTGTGGTCATAAGTCAAGGACTAATGGTATTTCTCTAGTACAAAAATTCACATGCATTCATTTTATCAGAATAGACTTAAATAAAGGGACAGGGTGAAGCAACTCTTGCTTCAGTTTATGTTTGCTGATCGCACGACACAAACTGTGCACATCAACAATATAGGCATGACGATGTTAACACAAAATGACACAAAAAACTCCCAGATATCATAACGTTGAGAATTTCACTGTCTCAACAAGATCATTTCGGTTGCAATAAACCTCTTGTCATTTCAGAGTGTTGTCCAAATGGAAATTTTATCCGTCGTTATCAGATTTTTTTTCTGAAATGAAATGGAATCCATTATTAAATCAATGTAAAACCAAGCCAAGAATTGTATTAATTGGGAAAAATCTCCTTTTGAGTTGTATATGGCTGATTCTCAATCATCCAGGTCATCGTTGTCCCAAAGATGCTTTTCCAGAAGGCACCTGGATTTTCTTGGGTTTTTTTCCCCTTGAAAACTGAAGCAGCTTCTCTGATGTGAAGCAAAATGTTTTGAGTTCAATTCCCAGAGACAGGTATCTATGTGATTTTTTTTGTAGTTAGTTATTGCCCAGATCTGGGGTTTCTTGATATTCTCCCATCCAATATAAATTATATTTGAATCTGGCACCTACAGTACATGTTAAGTGCCAAATGTTTTTCCCCCCTCAGAGTAAATTAAAGCTTAGAAAAATCAGGAAAAATAATCGTATATTAGAAAGTAATAGTGCTCAATGCGGAAAGTAGCTATTTCTAAAGAGAACAACTGGGTGGGTTGACCAGTGGCAGGCTTGCGTTTGAGACCTGGTTGCTGCCATGCAGTGGGGCGAGCTCCTGTCACTCACTCCAGCTCCTGGCAACCCAGCTGTTCAAAAGGCCACGTATAGATAGATGGGTACCACTTTGGTGATGTCATGGCCCTGTTGGAGCATGAGTCCGTGGAGGGTGAGCTGGAGCTGACGGAGGTCGAGGGGGTGGCCTTGTTGGCTTCATAGGAACGCGGGGAGGAGCAGGACAAGGCAGCCCCAGGTGTCTTGGGCGGCTTGCCAGCAGGGAAGAATGGGACAGGATGACTGAGAGTGGGTGGGGGGGGGGAAGAGAGGGCAGGCAGTAGAGATGAGGAGCAATGGAGCTCAAGCGCTGAGCAAGGACCGCCCCTCCTGAACCCCGAGCACGGAGAAGCAGGAGCAGCACAGGCCGACCCAAAGACTCGGGAGGAGAGCGTCCCGCACCTCCTCACAAGACACACCTGGAGACTGAGACTTAAGGAGATGCTGTAGGGAGGGGTGCTTATTTAGAATAAGCGCTGAATTCGTAAAGTTTTGTGTGCCATTGCCCACATCTGGAGTTCGCTAGACTTCTTGCCTTCTTGTTACTTTGCCTCACTTGACTTCTTGCCTTGAAGCTGTCATGCTAACGTTTTGCTGGACTACTAGCAGCCAGAGGCTGCTGGAGGTGTGTGTGTGAGTGCTTTGGTCCGTGACTTGCCATAAAAGTGGGAGTGTTTGCAGGAAAGTTGGAGCAATAAAGGGAAGTTCGAACTATCAGCTGGCTGTGTTGCCTCCATGCCTTGTGTTCTGACCTAGGCTTCCTTAGAGATTAAACAACGCAAACTTAGTCCCGGCAAACCTCTTTAATTCATATGGCTGTAAATTACTTTCATTTACAGTTTGCAAGGCTTGATAGAGTCTTTCAGAGGAAGGTTATCAATACCCACCTATCTCACATGGAATGCTGCCCAAGAGCTAATTTCCAGACGCAGGGCAAGGCCAAACTTGGCACAGAGTCACAAACAGTATTTTCAAATCTTGAATCGGCCAGATGAACTAATAGCTTCCTGCAAAAGCTCACATCCTGTTCGCTTCTCTTTTATGTCTTATGGGAGGGGCTAATCATTTCCAAGCCTTACTCCCAAGTTGACCCTGTTTCCTTAATTGTTCTTGTCTCCTGGCAACTCTGCGCATGCGCACACTAGGAACAGGCTCACGTTATTCTTCTGCCTCGCTGAAGTCAGATTAAGGAGACAGCAAAGAATTACCAGACGGTCTTGGCCCCCTCTCTGCCTCCAACTCAGTGCCATCGTCCGAGTCTTCCCTAGACTCCAGGACTGGCCCATGTTGCTCCCCAATCTCCTCACTGTCCGAATCTGCTGCCAGTTCTGCAGGCGGGCCATACCACCTTGCCCTGGGTCATCACAGGTGAGCAACTTAAGGGGAAACACAAAAGAAGCCTCAACTGGGCGTCTCCTGGGGAGCGATGACGTCACCAGTTGATCCCTTCACCACAGAAGTGCTTCGGTGCTTCTGACACAGAAGTCTAGTATAGCTGTCTGTAAGTATTTGCAATAGTTTAGGACTATTCACGAAGACCTCTGTCCAAAAATCAAACACAGTATTACTTGCAGCAGCTGGTGAGAATTTTTCTTCTCACTTACTGAATTTATACAATAAACTAAAAGTTGCTATTTTTGCCCAGCATCCTTACAGAAATAAACTTCACACCCTCACAGATTCATACCGCAACTCAAAAAGGTTTGTGGAAGCTGCACTTTATTTGAAAATCCACCTTTTTTGCTAACATACATTTTTATAACATTTTAAACAAAAATAGAATCTGCAGAGACAATGCAGCAAATATGCTTAATTCATGTACAGAATTGCTTTCATGCCCCAGACTATCCTCCTTTTAAGGCCCCAAATGCCACCTAAACCGATAGGATGTATTTACATATAGCACCGATCCACAGTGCTGTTTTCAAATTCACCAAAGAACAAAAAAGGATTCCTATGCGCTGAGAATCCAGGGCACCAGGAAGCCATCCCGAAACAAGATTCGATGGAGCTTCCCCTGGAGAACTTCATGGTTGAGTTGCCCATTAGCAAAGACCTTACTTTCCCTTCTGAGATTTTCATTCTATTTCTTGGTACATGATTCAAACACAGAAAAGAAGTCGTCTTTTTTTTTTTCCTGCCCCCCCCCCCTCACATAATACACCAGAACTGTCCGTAGTTGGTTGCTTTTGTTTTGTTTTTTCTTTTATACAGAGAAGGAAAGTCTTTGAAAGTGAAAGCAATTCCTCACATTCATTTGGAAAAGGCTGTTATGTCAAGTGTAAGATAAATGGCATGCCAAGCACAAAGCAAGGAAAAGCTTTCTCAAAGCACCGAGGAGGACGCCTGGTCGAAAAAATACCATGCTCCCACCAGTCAGTTGTTCCCCCCCCCCTTCCCCCAATCTTGAGCAGAACTGGCAGCTTCGTCTGTCGATCGCTCTTAATTCCTGGAGGGTATTCCACAAGGGGCATTTTTCGAGACCTTGGAACGTGCCCAATATTCCGCATGGCAGGAGTGTGGATTGAGATTTGTCTAGAAATTGTTCCGGTGGATGGAAAAAAAAAATAAAAAGGAGACGAACTCTAACGGGAGACCCATAGTATACATCGGCGTTCGATTCTCCAGAGAGGAGGAGGCTTTGTGATACATTTGTTATTTTAAACGGATAATCATAAATAAATACAAAACAATAATACATAAAGGAATGTCTATGCGAACGGAATATATAATTCGGTTGGGGGGGGGTTTGTTCTCCTTTTTAAGTTAAAACTTTTCGGCATGGAGTCTAAGGTTGGTGACGAATGGAGAGAGGAGGCTGTAGAATAAAAAGAGTTAGGATTTGATCCTCTAGAGAAAAGCCACTGAAATTAAGGAAAAAACGAGGTGTCCAGCTCTTCATTCCAAAGAGCACTTTCCAGAACACCAATTAGCAGAATAGGTAGCGTCTTTCATAGGTTACCAATCAACAGTTATAAAATCGGGGATGGGAGTTACTAACATGTTAAGTTACCGCGGGAAGGGGGGGGGGAATAGAAAAAAGATCCCACACCAAATTTGTGGCAATTCTTGGCTTTATACCACGCTGCAGGGTGCTGAGATTTCCTTAGGTTGGCCGAGAGACCCGCAATTTCGTTGTGGGCTTTGCATGATTTGAGTCTGTTCTACTGGAGAGCTGGAGAGACTTCCGTTTGGACTGAGCTGCAAAAAAAGGGTTGGTCACTTGAGCACATGTGTCTTTCTGGGATTTTTTTTCTTGCTCCGCTCCGTGTCTGGCATGATTACATAAACTGGATCTGAGAAAAAAAAAAAAGATGAAATCAAGATTAGCTTGTCGATAGAAGAGAATATCCGTAGCTTGTGAACCGTGGGGGTCCTTGGTGCTCGCTGAGCGGGGTTGTTTTCTTGTTGCAAACGTTTCATTACCCAGCTTGGTAACAGCATCAGTTGCTGCACTGATGTAACCTAATTGCATGATGAAACATCTGCAAGAAAGCAATGCTCGGAGCGCACCAAGGAAGGTCACAGACCACCTTAACAATGTTAGCACACAACTCTGTCTTAATTTCTTCTTATGTCATCCCTTTGCTAGCCACATGTTTAAAACCTAAAGGAAGCCTCCAAAGTATCTCTGATGTAGCCAACATCGTTCTACAATCATCATCTCCTATTAACAACCTTATAAGCCATTGCGGGGTGGAGTCTGGGCAACTGAATGGAGCTAGCAGTATGTTTAATGGCCGGATGTCCTTCCTGTCACCAATGCGGAGTTTTTGTTCAGCAGATATATTTTAATTGTGCCCAGAGCAAGAAATATCTGCTTCTACCTAGGATCGAACTCACAGCCTCCTGATTGTGAGGCAAGAGCTCCACCTCTAAGCCACCGCACCAATCCAACATCACTCTACAAGGAAGGATAAATTATTGGAGAGAATTGCCCTATGTCACACAAATGTACAATTGGTTTCTATTCAACAAGGGATGGAGGATGTGGCACAGCCATGACAGATGTTTTATTTATGCCACCCTTCAGCCCAATATGGAATTTAAAATACAGGTGGCAACTTTAACAGATGCAGAAATGGAAGTACAGGCAAAATGGGGCAACTCCTCACAGCACTAGAGAGGGCAACAGAGTCAACTGTAAATTGTAAAATGGCTTTATGGCAACTGCAATACAAACTGGGTCTCTAAAAGTAGTCATTTCCTTTCAAAGGCCATGGTTGAGAGACTTTAGACTTAAAATGTAATGCGAAACAAATCCAAAATCCAAAAAGGTGATGAAAGGGCAAATAAAAAAAAATATACGTTCTTCTGGGAACCCAGTAACACGAGAAAAAGATTTAATACTTGGAGAATGACATTAATACTTGAATCCAGCCATTTACAATCTCTGTGTAGATCTATTTGATATGTACTCAATATACACAACTGGGGAGATTCGGGTCTTTGGGACATGGGGCTCACTTATGACACCCGGGAACGTAGCAAAAGAGGCATCTCAAGATACCAGCCGCTGATTCTGATTCAGAGGTCCCTCCACATCCAACGTACAAACCTGTGTATTTTATTCTTTTCAACCAACATTACATTGTTTTCAGGAGTTTTAGTGGCAATGCTGCTAAAATTTTGCACCCTCGGGAAAGTTTGCTGGAGCTCATCCAATCAAATCATTCAAGCATGCAATTTTACAGAGACCTCCCCAATGTGAACAATATTTTGATGTGATCGTGGCAAGGAGGGCCTCCCCTCTGTGATGACAAATGGGTTGTTTTCTAGCAGCCAACATCCTCCCACCCCCCACCCCCAAAATGAACATGCAATACCTAAAGGATCCTACAAGAAATCCTGCAGGGAGACCTCTGCAAAGGGGTCCTTTCCTGAAGGTCTGTGTGGACTCTGAGTGGATGGGCTGGAGGCGGCAGACAGCTGGGAGAGAAGATGGCAGAAAGGGAAAGGGAGAGAAAGGGAAAGAGAGAGAGAGAGAGAGAGGCCTCAATGACAGAACCAGGAAGGCAGGAAATGTAATGATGGAGAAGGCAGTTAGGAGAAAAGGTAGTTACAGCTGAGGTGGACTGGTTAAAAGGAAAAACAGAAAAAAGAATCATGGCATGAAAAATACCATTTGTGCTCCAGTGGTATGGTAGATGTCAAAAAGTAAAGATAGCAGTAGCAATAGCACTTAGACTTATATACCGCTTCACAGCCCTCTCTAAGCGGTGTACAGAGTCAGCATAATTGCCCCCAACAATCTGGGTCCTCATTTTAACGACTTCGGAAGGATGGAAGACTGAGTCAACCTTGAGCCGGTGAGATTCGAACTGCTGAACTGCATCTAGCAGTCAGCTGAAGTAGCCTGCAGTACTGCAATCTAACCACTGCGCCACCACGGCTCATAGATTTCCCCTAGAAACAGGGAATTCAGTGTTTGGATGTGACTGGCAGAAAATGCTGGCATCTCAGCCACTCACAGGTGGTCCTCGACTTACAACCATTCGTTTAGTGACTGTTCGAAGTTAGAATGGCACCGAAAAAAGAGACACGACTTGGTTTTCACGTTAACGACGGTTGCAGCTTCCCCGTGGTCACGTGATCGAGATTCAGATGCTCGGCAACTGGCGTGTATTTATGACGGTTGCAGTGTCCCAGGGTCATGTGATCATCATTTGCGACCTTCTGACACGCAAAGTCGATGAATGGGGAGGCCAGGTTCACTCAACAACTGGGTTACTAACTTATCAACTGCAGTGATTCACTTAACAACTGTGGCAACCTAGGTTGTAAAATGGGGGCAAAACTCACTTAACAAACATCTCACTTAACAATGGAAAGTTTGGGCTCAATTGTGGTCATAAGTCAAAGACTACCTGTATCAGCAATAAGGGGGCTGATATCAACCTGGCGACGGATTGGTTTTCTATTGTGCTCCTGAGTAAATCCACCGAAAATGGATGTTAAGAATAGCAATAGCACTTAAAGAGTTATATACCGCTTTACAGTGCTTTACAGCCCTCTATAAGCGGCTTACAGAGTCATCATTATTGCCCCCAACAATCTGGGTCCACATTTTACCCACCTCGGAAGGATGGAAGGCCGAGTCAACCTTGAGCCTGGTGAGATTTGAACTGCCAAACTGCAGGCAGCTGGCGGGCAGCAGAAGCAGCCTGCAGTACTGCACTCTAACCACTGAGCCACCGTGGCTCTTATACAATGGAGTTAACAATAAAGCATTGCTTATTTTGCTTTCGTCCCTTCAAGGGGACTATCTGCTCCAGCTCTTGCTTTTTTGGTTTTATATTGAGGATTCTTCACGTCCAGTGGGTAAAATTCTCTATTTAAATCACAGGCAGAGACAGCGTATCAACAAAAGGCCTTTCCAATCACTTCCCACCTTTCACTGTAGCCTAAACTATTCGGCCTACATGTGTGTGTTTGTACAGGGAAAGGAGAATTTAAAAAAAAAAAAAAAAAGAGTTCAGATATAAAATTCTGGAAGGGAAGAAGTTTTTTTAAAAAAAACAAAAAACAGAGCAAGAATTGTGCCTGAAAGATTTGCTGCCAGACAGAATGAGCTGCGTTGGACAATATTTTCATTGCCAAAAGATACAACTCATGATTCCTTCTGGGAATCAAAGGCTGCAAAAGCTGGGTAGAGCTACACTGCACGGAGTCCTCGAGTTATGACTGTACTGGAGCCTGCCCCATTATGGTGGTAAATCCTGACAGCACTCAAGACTTATATACTGCTTCACAGTGCTTTACAGCTTTCTCTAAAGTGGTTTCACAGAGTCAGCGTATTGCCCCCAACAATCTGGGTCCTCATTTTAGCAACCTCAGAAGGATGGAAAGCTGAATCCACCTTGATCCGGTCAGGATCGAACTGCTGGCAGTGGACAGAGTTAGCCTGCAATACTGCATTCTAACTATGGCGCCCCAACGACCTATACGATTTTACGACCCTTTTTTGTGGTAGTTGTTAAGCCAATGCCATGGTCGTAAAACTGGAAGCAAATGCTGGGTTTTCGACAAAAGTGTGATAAAACGCAGTCATGTAACTACAAGATGTTGCAAAATGGCCGTGTATGTAGGCTGCCTGCCCAATGCGCAAAGATCATGTGACCATGGGTGGTTGGGTGTGGAAGCATCAGAACTTTGAATTTGTAAGCACTGGCCCCCCTCCTCCGAGGTCCATTTTTAACTTCAAATGGTCACTAAGCAACTGGTCGTAAGTTGAGGACTACCTGCATCCACTGATATATGTTTATTTTAGGGTTTACACCATAGTTTTCATCAGTTCTCATCACTTTATTAATAAGAATTCAAAAGCCACAAAAAGGGAGGTTAAGGAATACATAAGGAAGAGCCGAGATGGCGCAGTGGTTAGAGTGCAGCACTGCAGGCTACTTCAGCTGACTTGCTAGCTGCAGTTCGGCGGTTCAAATCTCACCGGCTCAAGGTTGACTCAGCCTTCCATCCTTCCGAGATGGGTAAAAATGAAGACCCAGATTGTTGGGGGCAAGAGGCTGACTCTGTAAACTGCTTAGAGAGGGCTGTAAAAGCACTATGAACCGGTATACAAGTCTAAGTGCTGTTGCTATTGCGATATATAGCCCAGAGGACACAACTCTTTACCCAAGAGTAGGCAATACTGGCTAAAAGATAAGGAATCCTATTGGTTTTACTGCAATCTCTGAACCTTGAGGGAATTAAATTAAAATTAAAACCCTTGTTTCCAGATTTGGCACTTCTACATGCCTAAGCCTGCATATGGCTTACTCAGATATATTCTGAGAAACACTTTCAAATGTTAGTCCACTACAGATAACACAACTAGGGTTGGACTAGAAGACTGCCTAAGGTCCCTTCAAAGCCTCTTATTCTATATTCTAAAATACCTCTGTACTTCTCAGATTAACATGTTATTAGATTGGCTGCACAAATTAGGGGAAGGGAATTTTTCTTCCCTGTTACTGTTGTGGACTCTTTTTAAGACAATTCCCCTTATGTTTAAATTCTGTTCAAAACCATAAGTAAATAAATATCAATATGTGAAAGTGCCCGTCTGTTCCATGTCAACTGTCACGACAGAATTTGCTTTCCGCTAAAAATAGATTAGTTATGTTTAGAATATAATCTACAAGTGGGTCCAAGATACTTAAAAAGCTTAGCTAATTCTTCCTACCATGGAAACTGTCTTCCAAACAGCAGCCCTGAATTGGCATTTTTTAAAAAAGTAAATATTTTAGTCATATGTATACACAATAGTTCAGTCACACTGAATGTGGGAAGGTAGAACAAAATTCTATTAAAAGCACTCAGATTCCCACAAATGCCTAAAATATCACTCTGATCCAAGCTTTCCCATAGGATTTTAATTCCTTCCATGTTCTGGTTCCAACACAGGATATCGACTTCATCAGGGGAGTTAAATAAAATTAAACGCATCTGTTCCTTTGGCTTTGATAGTATTAATGCTTGTATGAAGTCTCTTTCATCCAGGCATTTCCCTCAGATGAGGAAACTGCTCAAAGGAAACGAAAGCACGTCAACGTACCTCAACCTGGTTTAAGTTAGCCAAGAAAACCTGGCTCTGACGTCATGCCCTGGGCTAGGGAATGGAGCAGACTTCGCCCATTTGGGCGAAAATGTAGTGTTAAAATAGCACTAGCAACAGCAATAGCACTTAAGACTTATATACCGCTTCATAGTGCTTTTACAGCCCTCTCTAAGCAGTTTACAGAGTCAGCATCTTGTCCCCAACAATCTGGGTCCTCATTTTACTGACCTCGGAAGGATGGAAGGCTGAGTCAACCTTGAGCCGGTGAGATCTGAACTGCCGAACTGCAGGTAGCAAGTCAGCTGAAGTAGCCTGCAGTGCTGCACTCTAACCACTGCGCCACCTCAGCAAAGATAATGGTTTTATTCCTGTCTGGAGCAACCTTGGGAATTTCCAGGAGTGTGGACCTCCGCCTGCTGGCTTTGGAATTCTGGGAATTGAAGTCCTGGAAATTACCTTGAGAACCCACACTGGTCTGGAGGGTTATTGCTCTTTTCTCTTGGTTATAATGTTTTTGACTGTTTTTAATATTCTATAGCATCCAGAGTCTTTAGGGAGTTGCACAGCCTTAGAAGTTTGTCAAATGAATAAACAAGCTTATATTATCCAAAATTACTTGCTTAGAGTTCAGTAATTGACACAACTTCCTTGTGCATTTGCTATAAAGGGAAAGGTGCCCCTCACACATATGTGCTAGTCATTCCCGACTCTAAGGGGCGGTGCTCATCTCCGTTCCAAAGCTGAAGAGCCAGCGAAGACGTCTCTGTGGTCATGTGGCTGGCATGACTCAATGCCAAAGGCGCATGGAACACTGTCACCTTCCCATCAAAGGTGGTCCCTATTTTTCTACTTGCATTTTTTATATGGCTAGGTTGACAAAAATTGGGACAAGTAACGGGAGCTTACCCCGTTACTAGGTGCTAAGTATTCGAACCACTGAACTGACCTTTCGATCAACAAGCTCAGCCACTGAGCCACCACGTCCCTTAAAACAAGCTTAAATTATCCAAAAGTACATGCTTAGAGTTCAGTAATTGACACAACTTCCTTGTGCATTTGCTATAGTTCAGTCTATTTGTTACATGCTCTGCTCTGCTCTGCTCCATTCCTTTCCTTTCCTCTCTTCTCCTCTCCCTAACATAAATTTCCTTATAGCCTGAACATCCCAAAGATGCTTTTTTTCCCCCAACTGGACTTTCTGAACTCCAGAAAGTCCAGTTGCCTCTTGAAAAAAAACATCTTTGGGACAACCGTGACCTGGATGACTGGGAATCTCCATAGACACTTAGCCTGAACAGAAAAAGGTGAACCTTTTGCTGTTAGGAAGCCATCAGTAATTCGTAAATGGCTCTTGCTGTGAAAGCTGACGTTGAGAAGGCTTGGTAGAGCCTTAAGAGAAGCAAGACCTTTATCCAAACACAATGCAAGACAACAAAAACAAGTGGCAAAAGGCTGGGTCAAAAGAGTCATTAGGTGTTAAACCTTGGGGATGTTTTAAATAGAGGACATGATTGTCTAATTGTGCTGTATCTAAGCTTCTGTATTATAAGAGCTTTTTTGAGTAAAACGTCTGTAAGTTTTGACTTTTCTGCTCTTGGCCCCTGAGTGACGGTTGAGATGTTTTCTGTTAGGTTCTGGGTGAAGCTGACAGTAGCAATTACTAAAACTGGTCATGTTTACAGCCTCTTACAAACACCCTTAAATGCAAAAACCTATCTGTCGGTCAGGACCACACACACAGAATAGGAGCTGTACTTTTGTGTCTGGAGAGAAGCAGGTAGATATGGAAGAGAACAGAATGAGAAAACTATGTGGGGGGTTTAATGAAGGAAGAGAGAGGGACATGCCATGAATGGTCCCTTTCAGTTCCATGGTGAACACAAATGGTTAAAGTCCAGGCTCATTCACTCCAGTTGCTCTGGTTAATATATATATAACATAGAGAGTTCGCCTGTGCGTGTAGCTTGACTAACAAAAGACATGCCAACACCAACAGGTGACCCCAAAAGGAACAACTCCTTCTTCAAAACGCTAAGGCAGGCCAAGTAGAGGTGACACCCGGCTAGCAAACAGGCCTTTCACAACAAGCCTTTGTTCCCTCAAAAGAGAAACTCTAATAAATCTGACATCGGTAAAGCCAAGCCAAGAGGAATGAGGAACCACAAATGGTTTCATTCACGGGCAAACCCAGAGAGTGCTTCCGCTGAGGGAGTGCTGCTAATAGCAACAGTTGATTTCCTCGTTCTTAAAGTACACGGCCAAGATCCATCCCAAGCATTCAGGTTCACAAATTCTTCTGCTGCCGTGCCATTCAGGAGTAGAGGGGAAGGAATAGCTCATGACTGAATTCTCCAAAATATGTGCTATCTGTGAAAATACTGCTGGCCTCAAATATTTTGGATAGCCTAAGGACAGTTTTGGTTTGATACTGTAAAGCAGGGGGGTATCCAACCTTGGCAACTTTTAAGACCTGTGGACTTCACCTCAGACCTGTGGACTTCAACTCCCAGAATTCCCTAGGCAGCCATGCTGCCTGGGGAATTCTGGGAGTTGAAGTCCACAAGTTTTAAGGTTGCCAAGGTTGGAGACCCCTGCTGTAAAGCTTTACAGTATCTAATTCCTTCTGAAGATCTAAATAGATACAAACCTTTTCAATGCGCATCGGGATCTCTTATCTTATAAAATCAATTCTCAGGGGGTTTGGCACCTTCCACGTGTTTTCCGAAAGCTTAAGAAAGCAAGTTTGTGGACACAGAGACACCACAGAATTCAGTACCATCTTGATTTCAGAATGCATCCAAGGGGAACATTTTCACGTTCTCGTGTTAAGGGAAGAACAAAAATGGAACATTTCCTTCATTATAAATAAAAAGAAACCCAAAGTGTGCAGTGACATCAGTGACAATGTGAGCACGCTGTAGGCATCCAAACCAGCTTAATGCTTTAAGCCTCAGAAGTGGAAACCTTATACTTCATCTGGACAGTGACACACGTTTCTTTATAACTTTCCTTCTAATGCATCCTCTGGAAACATGTATTATTTATTCATTTTAATAACTCTTTTCGTTCCTCCTCAGCTTCAATTTCTCCGACAGAAAAAAAATACTATTTTTTATTTATGAATTCATTGATGAATTACCTGGGCTCTATTTGTGCAATTATTCTGCCTTTCTTGTACCACGTTCACTGTAACCTCCCCAATAACTTGATTGTCACCTCAAAACTTGCTTCATTAAGACCTCTTTTGAACAACTCTCGTCTCAGATCTTTGGAGTCTTCTGGTGTATAATAAGCTTTCTTGAGATCCATTTGGACAATTCCATCTGGCTCAGAATGAAAGCTGTCTTGGATGTGAAACTAGTTTAACATCTGGAGCAGATACGTCTGCTTGCCACTAACGATTAAAAAACATTTTAACTGATTTCATCCTTCTCAACAGAGGACCTTCCTTGTACTTTCAGGGCTGCAGAGTAGAAATTAAAACTTACCTGTCCTCCTGATATAGGACCAAAAGGATTTGCAGGTCTCATGACAGGTTGGCTGTATATTAAAGTTGGCTGCGTCATTACTCCTCCCATTTGGGATGGCTAAAAATCCAGAATAGCAGAATAGAATTAATGTTATGAAATTAAATCAAAAGGATGAAAGGCCAACCATTATGCTTTCAACCATCATCTTCTGTTAACAAGACAGTAGAATATTTATGAAATAGCAGGATGGGTTAGCCATCAGAGCTACCACAAAGAAGTCACTGGAAAACACTTTGCTGTCATTTTTGCTGGAGGGATTTTCCCGACATAACTGTCCTTTTAGGCAGAGGTCTCCAAACTTGGCCACTTTAAAACTGCTGGACTTCAACTTCCAGAATTCCCATGCTGGCTGGATAATTCTGGGAGTTGAAGTCCACAAGTCTTAAAGTTGCTAAGTTTAGAGACCCCTTATTTTAGGAATGGCCAACAAGAATCTGCTTTGTGTTTCCAAAAAGAGACAAAAAAAAAGAAAAAAAAAAAGCTCCAGCCCAGTTGATATACATAATTCTTTCACCACGTCTGTCGTTGCATCATTTTAAGGTATTCTTATTCAGAAAGCACCCTTTTCATTTCAGTTGTAATAACTGAGCCTGATTGTTAATGTTTCTTACATTACCCATCTGTTTTAAGTTAACTCTAATTTTAACCGTACATTTGTACAAATTCTGGAGCACATCTGGAACGTATTAGAAGACTGGAAGCAAAAGACTCTATTATTTCTTGGGGGTACAATTTGTCTCCCACTTTTCCACCATAATGTGCTCAGAGTAGTTTACCATGAGTGATTTTCCTAGCAAACTGAGATCACAAACCAGGGAAAAAAAAAAAAACAGAATTGAAACAGATTCATCTTGCCCCACTGATTGTGTGGCATCTTGTCACAGAACAGTCTTCTCCCGTAAACACACAGACAAGCACAATGAATATATTGGGAGGGGATGTCTAATAAATTAATGCTCCATAAAGGACTTAAAATACAATTTTTACTGACCATTCCGTATCCCATCATTCCTGTTGGCGTTGTAGCAGGATAAGCCATCACAGGGGGTGCCTAATGGGAAAAGTACACCATTACTTTGTTCTCTTTTTTTAACCTTGTTTTTTTAACGCTAATAATTGTTCTGTACATCTTAAGAATATACACCTAAAATCGTTTGTTTGTGAAGTAAGCAGCAACATAAACCATATAAACTTGATGAATGAGTGGATACATAAATAAATCCCCAAAGAAGAAACGATAAAAGACACAGTTGATTTTATGTTGGTTTTTGTTGTTAACTGTGTCTCTGATATTTTTGAAGGGAGATCGCTGTCCCCAAAGTCTCTTAACAGGGACAAGATAAAAGAACTGTTAATTAACACGATTAATGAACTATTTAATTGACAATACTGTTGTATGACCTCCAAATAACCAGCTGAACCCCAACTGGCAACTACATAATTTATTAGAATAATCAATTACTGATTAAAATAAGCAGTTTGGGAACTGCTGCTCTTTTTAAGCACCAAAGCACAGTTGCAGATACCTGAGATATCTACAGGTTAGAGCTGGTCCAGGTTAATATGGGGATCTCCACAAAGCTGGCAACTCCAACTTACTACCTTAAATTATTAAATTTTAGGTAGGAAATTTACCAAAACATTAACAATGAATCCCTAAAACTGCATGAAAATGAACTCCAAATTTGATGGACTTTAGACAATTATTACATGAATTACCAGGAGCTAGGTATTTGCATAAAGTTCAACAACTATATGCCAGCACACATATATTCTGAGTTTTTTCTCCATGTCACTGCCAGTTAATATTGACAAGGCGTTTTGTAAGATGTATGCCTTTACGTTTATTAGCATTTTAACCTACATAACTTAGGCATGACTATCCTTAATTTTATATTAATTTTGTGACATCTGCTACATTCTATATCATATCTGCTTCTTGAAATCATCCTCTGCAGCAACATATTTTCATATTTAACTGACATTCAGGAAGATTGGGAATTCCCTTCCTCCTTCATGGTTCATTTAAACGAAGTTTCATAATACATCAAAAATATAAAATCCAAAATCCCACAAAATTCTCCATATATATATATATATGCAAGCAACTGTGCTTAAGAGTAACTTAACATATATCACTTCCTCCTCCTCCTTCTGATCAGGAATAATTGATCAATAATAATAATAATGTACTTTTTGGTCAATTATTGGAATTGAGAGCTTTAATGAACTTTAATACAAAAATCCTAGAAAGAGGCCAACTGGCAAGCAGAAAAACACGTGTGTAGTATATACTGGAGTCATTCTGCTATGCAGTTTTCTGAATTTAAAGGACGTGCATGTCATACCCATAATTTTATAAGAAGTTCAACTGTCTAAAAAAGATTTTTCAACAACATAAAAGTGAATGAAGGAAAATCTGTTTTTCCTATGGACTACACTGTTACACAGGATGATGGAATCCAATTGGCTATTGTGTACTATGATTGATGAAATGGCAGTGATTAATATTAACATAGCAAAATACAGTGTATATATAAGCATATACATGGTCATACATTTGCTCATTTTTTAACTGTTTTAAGGTGGTTTAAGATTTTCTTCTCCGTGAAAAGATTATAGGGAAAGACCAATAATGATACGGAAAGTAAAACCAAATGGGCTGAAGGATGATATTCCAAAAGAAAGAGCTGAAGAATTAAAGTTACTATGATTTTTGATGTATGGAAATTCAGTCGTAAGCATCACCTATAGAGCAGATTGAATAAATGAGAAGATAATCTAAAGATAAAAACTTCTATCAGTTGAACTTACCTCAAAAACAGGTAGTGCTCAACTTACAACCATTTGTTTAGTGACTGTTCAAAACGGCATTGAAAAAAGTGACCAATAAGCATTTTTTACACTTACAACTGTTGCAGCATCCCCGTGGTCATGTGATCAAAATTCGGTAAATAACATTATAAATTCTCCCTTCTGTCAAATCTCAATCTCTGGGGATTTCATGGACATCCTTATAATTTTTTTTTTTTAATTTTGATTTATATGCCACCCTTCTCGGGAGACTCAGGATGGCTTACAAGGCGTTAAGCAATAGCCTTCATACTTTTGCATATTTTATACAAAGTCAGCTTATTGCCCCCACAAACTGGGTCCTCAATTTACCTACCTTAGAAAGGATGGAAGGCTGAGTCAACCTTGAGCCTGGTGAGAATTGAACTCGCAGTAATTGCAGGCAGCTGGAAGCTAAATACTACCTTTAACAGTAGCATTAGTCTGCTGCGCCACTCAGGCTCTTATTTTCTGGGCAATAATAAGAAAGTGATTTACTATTTCCTTATTCCTTATATCCTTCTTCCTGAACAAAGTGACTTATGACCATTCTTCACCTTTGTATGACCTTTGTAGCATCCCCACAGTCATGTGATCAAAAAATTTAGACACTTGGCAACTGATTCATATTGATGACGATTGCAGTGTCCCGGGGTCATGTGACCAGCTTTCATGACCTTCTGACAAGCAAGGTCAATGGGGAAGCCAGATTTGCTTAACAACCGTGTTACTAACTTAACAACTGCCGTGATTCACTTAACAGCTGTGGCAAGAAAGGTCGCAAAATGGGGGCAAAACTCACTTAGCACTTGTCTTGCTTAGCAACAGAAATTTTAGGCGCAATTGTGGTCGTAAGTCGAGGACTATCTGTAGGTATTTAAGAATATAAAGTATTTAGAGACTTCATTCTTTAGCTCTTATCAATACTTATGAACAATTAGGCCATTTGTGGATTTTTTTTTTAAAAAAAATTATCATTATTTTTTTTAAGTGGAATGAGATAGCACTGCAGTTCAGACATTTTTTGAATCAACTGAGCCAACATGGGAAATATCACTCCATTCAGTGATATTTTAGAACATATTGGTCTCTCCCTCTTTGAAATCAACTCTATGGTTAAGTGGGAGTGGAAATAAGCTTGTGAGGTTTCATGCAATTATTGGTACGCACAGACGCCTTTTTTCCCCATTTAATTTATTCAAATTCAAATGCATTTAAAAAGGCAATGCAGACGCAACACGCCAGCTAATTGGGCAGCAAACGACAAGAGTTAAAGCAGGAAAATAATTGTGAATATTTCTTCATGCCATTCTTGGCTTCAAAAGGGTGCCCTTAAAATCTGGATGTATTAGAAGCTGCTCAAAATTTCCATCATGCCCAAAGACCTTAACAGAAGTGTGGAGTAGCGGGATTATGAGATTCTGCTGTAGTGGTTAATATCAGCATGCCAATCTGATTGCAAAAAAATAAAATAAAAAAAAGAGGCTTCAGGTTTTGTTCACTTACGTATTGTGGAAAATGCATGCCATTCTGTTTTTTCCCCCGGGAAGAACAATTACACAATGCAATAACACTGGATTAGAAATGATTGCTTACACAACAGAATATACACAAAAAGCATTTTGGTTACAAGTGTGCTTAACGACCCAGAGGACACATTCTTGTAAACCAACAAGAGTTGAGCGACAAAGAAAATTAACAAGATTTGATAAGTCTGTGACAAAAACATATAACGTACCATATTTTTCGGAATATAAGACGATCCAGACTATAAAACGCACCTACCTTTTTTGGTGAGGAAAACAAGAAAAAGAAATCTGCCTCTGCTCCCAGCAATTTTGCCTCATTGCAGCAAACAGCAAATAGCCTGCTTTACTTTCATTTTCGTTTTCAGCATAGCTTGATTAGCACAAGAAAAAAAAAAAATCTGCTCCCAGCAATTTACCTCCTTGTAGCAAGCAGCAGAGGCCCACGCAAAACAGCTGAGAGTCGGGAGGCCGATCCAATCAACTTGTGCTAATTAGGGTGTGCTGAAGCTGAAATACGCTTGTTTCTTCTTGCTGCTTACTGCAAGGAGGTAAACTGCTGGGAGGCAGAGGCCAAAGGGTGGGGGCCAGTGGGTAGGCAGGGCTACGCACCTAAATTTTCACCCCCTTTTAGGGGGGAAAAGGGTGTGTCTTATACTCCAAAAAATACGGTAATCTACTGTAGGCAAGTTTATCACACTTTGTGTATTTCTGACATACTGGACTCCAGTAATTTCTGACAAAACACTGACGAGAAAATGAGACAACATAGTGTTAAAGCAGAAGATTAAAGCAAAACACTACTTTTTCCGATCCCAATAGATCACGAAAACGCAAAACGTTGCATATGATATAACACAAAGTCTAAATCTCCTCAGATTACACCCACACTTCCTAGAAATCTATTTCAAAATTGTCATTCCCATATCTGTGATCTGTAAGAATATTGGGTTGTTTTTTTTTAAAAAAAGACTGGGTTTTAAATTTAAAGTTATTGCACGATTTATTTGGAAGCCTCAGTCTTCATTCAGGTATGAAAAGTTAGGGCAGCGCTAGATGTTGTGATGGTCACAAGGAATTCTTTGTCGTATTAAGTCCTGCAAGAACTGGATCCTGACACAGAGAAGTTGGAAGGGTGCATCACGACTGCTTCCACAGTTAATTCTCTCTTTCTGAAATGGTTTAGAAATATTTCTTGACTAAAAAGTTGGGGAGGTCAAGGGAAACAGATAGGATTAAGAAGGGGAGGTTTCTGCAAACCTCAGTCTTTTTTTTTTTTTTTAAGCAAAACATGCCTGGAAGGTTTTTTCTACTCATTAGATACTATATTGTATTCTTAGAATAAAAACTGCCTTAAGAATATTCAGGTAGAGCTGGTCCTTCCTTAACGGCCACTCTTTCAGAAAGCATTTGAACTTACGACAGCGCTGAACCAGTGATCCTTACAACCAGACATTGCAACAACCCCATGGTAGTGTGATTGTGATCCAGGCCTGGATTTCTGACTGTCAGTCATGTGATTGTGATTTGTGACCTTCCCTGCCAACTCCCCACAAGCAAAGTCAAAAGAAATACCTCCGCCCACTTTTTAAACAAAAAGTAAGACACTGAATGCTGCGCCTTTTAAGACTATGGCTGATGTTAACTTCAAATTGGGTATTTATCAGCCACTATGAAGTGTCTTGAATCTAATCCAAAAGAGAAAATTCCTAATTTGGACATCCTGGTTTTCTAGAGTACGTACCAGAATTCTTGATGATACCTTATATACCCAGAATACAATCAATGCTGCTGGATTTATGGTCTCCCATGATAATGGTCCCCCACCTTTGCGGTTAATGGCCTGGCTGGAGGGCAGGGGGGAGTGAACTGGGCCACATGAGTGGCAGGCTGGCACGCACTGCTCAACTTGGAAGTTGAGCCGCACATGTGCACACACGTATGTCGGCCCAACATTCACGCAAATCAAGCTGCACGCACATGCATGCGTGCTGGCCTGCCAGTTGCACAGCTGAGTTTCGAATAGGCCACGGCCTGGTAGTGGCTTGCGGCCCAGGGATTGGGGACCCCTGCCCTATGACAACTGCTTACCATGGTTGGAGCATTCCAAGCAGTGGTGGGTGCAATTTTGGGCTGCCAGTTGGAACCGCCTGTTAATTTCTTTTCTCCTGGCTGGGTCCAGTTTACATCACTATAAATAGATGTTCAAGGTATTAAAACTCACATGTATTCATGTTAGAAAAGCCACCCCAAAGCATGAGATTTTGCATCCTCTGTCTCTACAGGTAGTCCTTGACTTACAACCATTCGTTCAGTGACGGTTCGAAGTTACAATGGCAACTGAAAAAAGCGACTTATGATCGTTTTTCACTTATCACCACTGCACCCTCCCTATAATCAAGTGATCAAAATTCAGGCGCTTGGCAACTGGTTCATATTTTATGACAGTTGGAGTGTCCTGGGATCATGTCAATCGGCTTTTGCGACCTTCTGCCACACAAAGTCAACAGGGAAGCCAGCTTCACTTTACAACCTTGTTACTAACTTAACAACCACAGTGATTCACTTAACAAATGTGGCAAGAGAGTTTGTAAAATGGGGCAAAACACACTTAACTGTTTCAGTTAACAACAGAAATTTGTGGCTCAATTAAGTCAAGGACTGCTTGTATATTACAACAAGAGGAGGAGGAGGAGGAGGAGGAGGAGGAGGAGAAGGAGAAGGAGAAGGAGAAGGAGAAGAAGAGGAGGAGGAGGAAAGATAGATGGGTAGAGAGCAGAGAAGAAGGGGGGAAGTAAGGTCTGCTCTCAGTCCTGTAGCCCAGCATGGATATTATTGGGGTAGATGGAAGATGCTAAAATATTGGTTGGTCAGTCACAGCTGGCTCATTAGAGTACTCTCCCAATCAGCAACACCATCCTTATCTATACCATTAAAATATGAATCTGGTAAGTCATGTAAAGCTGCTGTGAACATATTTTTAGAAGGAAAAAAACCCTATTAAACAACTCACTTTTTCGCTGTCCCATTTCCAATGCCCAAATCTGTAAACAAAACAAGAAAATCGTTAGGAAAAAAAGTTCATTTCTTTAAAATTTTGACTTTTATATAAGTCCCGTACAAATACTTACTGCCTACAAGGTTGGCTAGAGATGAATCCAAGTCATCTAATACTAACTTATTGGGGGGTGCTTTGCAAGATGGAAGATTCTGGTTCTGAAAAGCCACTGTTGGTTTTAGGAGACCACCTAATTCATCAAAGCCTTAAAAACAAGACATACCATTAAATGTCACAGAAGTTTTTCAATTATCGTATCAGATATCAACACACATTAAAACCTTAGCATGATAGAGATAGTCCTCGACCTATGCCCACAATTGAGCCCCAAATTTTTGTTGCTAAGTGAGACATTTGTTAAGTGAATTTTGTCCATTTTACGACCCTTTTTGCCACATTTGTTAAGTGAAGTTAGTCACAGGGTTATTAAGTGAATATTGGGCTCCTCCACTGACTTTGCTTTTCAAAAAGCTGCAAAAGGTGATCACATGATTCCAGGACACTGTAACCGTCGTAAGTACGAGGCAGTTGCCAAGCATCTGAATTTTGCTCATGTGATCATGGGGATGCCGCAATGGTCATTAAGTGTGAAAAATGGTCATAAAGTCACTTTTTTGAGTGCTGTTGTAACTTTGAACAGTCACTAAATGAACTGTTGTAAGTCAAGGACTATCTGTACAGCTAAAAACACTTCAGGAATTCTGCTTCTATGCTTCAAAGGGGGGTGGGGAGGTAACTAAAATACTGCCATCTTTCTTCTGTAAAATAAAGTTGACAACTCCAGAAATTCTGGGATCAAAACTGAAACAGGAGTAAAAGGAATCTTTACAGCCAAAAAAGTTGATTATACCCTGCAAATTCTTCCAGGATTAGCCTTGGTGAACAACAACAACAAAAATCACTTCGCTGAGGGTGAGAAAATTCATAGATTTCATGAGGTGAAACTCAATCTGCTCATCCTTGGGAAACACAGTATTTAAAAGACTCCTTTTAGGAAAACTCAAAGAGATCTTCATACAGTTGTGTGCCATTTTTCTTTACTCTCTGAACAGGATTAAGGGGCGCTTGGTCCTCTCTGAAGTGGGTTGTTTTCTTCCAGATGTTTCATTACCCAAACTAGGCAACATTATCAGTAATAATGCACACCATTGCACTGATGATGTTACCTAGCTGGGTAATGAAACGCCTGCAAAAAAACAACCCCGTTCAGAAAGTACCAAGAACCTCTCATTTCAACCCCGATCTAAAAATATTCTCCTTTATCACAACAGAGTTAAATAAGGGCTACTTAAAAGACTTACCACCAGAATCCACTGATGCATTTGAACTTTTGTTTCCAAACACAGACTCAAAGTCAACGTTAAGGCCTGCTGATGGCTGCGGTGGGGCAACAGAAGATGGTGTAAACCCTGCCAACAAAAATGGGGGGGGGACCCCCAAAATTTATTTATATGCAATATATATTTATATAAACTCTCAATTTGCAGATAAGAAACATTGCCATAAATTATTGAGAAAATTCAAATGCTGGATGACAAATCAGGAACTGGAGGAAAGTTCCATGATTCAAACAGTGAAAAATTCAGAAAATCATAGATTTTAGCCCTAGAGGTCACTGAGTCAACACTGTGCCCATTTCAGAAATACAAATTAAAATATCCTTAACAGATGGCCAATTCAACCTCTGCTTGATAGCAAAAATAATATGGAAATACTGTATGGGCCATTTTTCGTTATCTAGAAAAGTACAGAAGGAATACATCATTTATTGTTTGACACGTATTCCCTAAAAAGATGACCTGAGATAATCTCCTTCCCTCCCTCCCTTCCTTCCTTCCATATCTGTCTGTCTGTCTGTCATACTAAAATATATTTTTACGTACTTTAAATCAGGGGTCTCCAACCTTGGCAACTTTAAGACTTGTGGGACTTCAACTGTTGAAGTCCACAAGTCTTAAAGTTGCCAAGGTTGGAGACTCCTGGCTTTAAATAATTTTAGCATTACTATTGAGCTGGTGTCATGGTAATTTTCTATTTCAGTTCACAACTTGTAAAACAGTTTTCAAGAATTCCTCTGAATAGTATTCCTGACTTATTTCTATTCTACCGCTGACCAATCCATAAAGATTCCTGTATTTGAATCGCAAGCATTTAAAATGATATTTGGAACCTACATTATATCTACCCAGGGGTGAAATCTACTTACTTTCCTTACCAGTTTGGAAGCGCACACGCCACCCGCGAGTGAAGCATGCGTCACATGTGTGTGCAGACCCTCTGCGCATGCGCAAAACTTTGTGCATGTGCAGAGGGTAAAAAACACATTACTTCCTGATTAAAACCAGGAAGTAACGACACCCGGGCAGGTGGGCGGAGCCTCACGCCGCCATCGCTACGATTCTCTGAACACTTGCCACAATCGCTACCGAATTGCCCGATCCGGTCCAAACCGGGAGCATTTCACCCCTGTATCTACCTCAAACCTTAGGTTTTTAAATTAAGTTCCCACAAGTATTTGTCAGCCATTTAAGCCAAGCATTGTTTTACACTCTGTTTCCATCAAGCAGTCATGCTACATCTTCCATGGATATCCACATATTTTATGACTTGGCTTTTATTAAACCTCTTGCAACAACCATCACCCAAAAAAATTGGGTGGGAACAAGGACCAATTTTTAAAGAAATAACTATGCCATATTTTGTATGCTGAATCTACTGAGATTTCAGCACCAGAACTAAATCAAGGGAGACCATAATGTGAAATAAAAATGCTATGAGTTTGCTGACAATATTAAAAACGAAAATACAGGTAGCCCTCCACTTTACAACCATAATTGAGCCCAAAATTTCTGTCGCTAAGTGAGACATTGGTTAAGTGAGTTTTGTCCCACTTTACAACTTTTGCAACTGTTGTTAAGTGAATCACTACAGTTGCTAAATTAGCAACAAAATCTTAACGGAATCTGGCTTCCCCATTCACTTTGCTTGTCAGGTCACAAAAGGGGATCACATGACTCCACACACTGCAATCGTCATAAATATGAGACAGCTGTCAAGTTTCTGTACTTTGAAAACGTGACCTTGGGGATGCTGCAATGGTCGTGAGAAAAAAACGGCTGTAAGTCACGTTTTTCAGTGCCGTTGTAACTTTGAATGGTCACTAAATGAACTGTTGTAAGTCAAGGACTGTCTGTATATAGAATGCCATGTAAATTGAACTTATTTCCTTTTGTTGCAAGTACAATTTTGGTAAAGCTTTAATGTAAAGAAACCTCCAGGCAAATTTAGAAACCTCCAGGCAAATTTTGCAATAGTGACAACAACAAATGTTTTATTAGAAATAGCAAAGCAAAGGACCGAAAGCAGAGAAGAAAATAAAATTCCATCATGGAAACCGAGAGCTTGTATTGTACATATAACTGGTTAGCTGAATACAAGCCCCTCAAATGTATTATTATTTTTGTAGACCTGGAAGTGGCATACAAGAACTAAAGCTTTACACATAATCATTTTATTTGAAAAAGAAGTCTGAGAAGGTGACACCTTTTTTGGTTAGAAACTGAGATAGTCATAAGAGTATGCCGCAGAGTGCCAAAATGTCAAAAAGGCAAATGCTTGATCCAAAATCTTAAATCGTTAAATGAAAACATAGCAATAAACTCAGGAAATAGAACTTCAGAAAAACAGATTCTGATTTCAGAATTTTATTGCAAGCTTCTGAACTCAAACGTGATGGCTAGTTATTTTTAGGCAGACCAGATAGGCAGAAAAGCGAACCCAGAAAACAGAAAAAAATAAAAATCAGAATCTTCCTTCCAAATCAACCAGTCAGTTTCAATTCCATCTAAAGGTTTGGCCTCTGTTGAAAAAAAATATATATTTCTACTCTTCTACTCCCAATCATAGAAGAGCTTCAAGTTCCTAACTGCGTTTCTTACACCACATTGCAACTGGAGTTAAATTGTACAGCACTGATCAATATTCATATTAGGGATCAGGATAAGAAATGTGGGTGTCCTCCTAGACTCACAGCTAAAATTAGAGCAACATCTGACAGCTGTGGCTAGGGGGACCTTTGCACAGGTTCGCCTGGTGCACCAATTGCGACCCTACTTGGATCGGGAGGCTCTCCTCACAGTCGCTCATGCCCTTGTCACCTCACGGTTAGATTATTGCAACGCGCTCTACATGGGGCTACCCTTGAAAAGTATTCGGAGACTACAGTTGGTCCAGAACGCAGCCACGCGAGCTGTCGTGGGTGCGCCTAGATACACCCACATTACACCAATTCTCCACAAGCTGCACTGGCTCCCTATTGGTCTCCGGTCACAATTCAAGATGTTGGTTATTACCTTTAAAGCCCTACATGGCTCAGGGCCAGGTTATCTTCGAGGCTGCCTTCTACCGCATAGCTCCCAGCGACCGATAAGATCCCACAGAGTTGGTCTCCTCCGGGTGCCGTCAGCTAAACAATGCCGGCTGGCGGGCCCACGGGGGAGGGCCTTCTCTGTGGCTGCCCCAGCTCTCTGGAACCAGTTACCTCCTGAGGTCCGGACCATCCCCACCCTATTGGCCTTCCGGAAAGCGGTGAAGACCTGGCTTTTCTGGCAGGCCTGGGGCCGTTGATCTCGCTCTTGTGATCTGGTGAGATCCGGCCATGAATGGCATGAATGAGTTTTTAATGTTTTTAATGTTTTTAATTTTTAAATGTTTTTTTTATAATGATTTTTTAAAATGTATTGTGAGCTGCCTGAGTCTTCGGAGAGGGGCGGCATATAAATTGAATTAATTAAATTAAATTAAGAAAATAATAGAGTGGGAAACTGTTAGAGGTCTTCTAGTCCAACCCCTTGTACAAGCAGGAGACCCTATACCATTTCAGACAAATGGTGGTCCAATCCCTTCTTAGAAACCTCCAGTGATGTTTAGTTTCCACCCATTGCTTCTTGTCCTGCCTTCAGGTGCTTTGCAGAATAGCTTGACTCCCCCTCTTCTTTGTGGCAGCCCACATTGTAAATTTAAGCCAATTGGCACCAAATTTATTATGTTGGGGGTGTTTTGTAACCTAATAGATTTCCTCATAGTGACGCTTTTGTCTCTCCTATATTCATCCAAGGCTCCCTTTGGAGTCTTACCTTATGCCTTTTATACTCTCTGTGTGTGTTTATGATGTGCATTGTACAACTCTATTCAGCTTTTTCACTTTTTATGTCTGGCATACATTTTATGCTTCTTTTATATGACTGTAGCTCATCCCATTATGCTGGTTTATGGCCATCATAAAGACTGATTGATACTCCCAGTTATTCATTTATCAACACACCATTTAGTCAGAAATGGTAGTAACTGTAAAAGGTTGTTGACTAAGATTCTATAAACAAAATAACAAAGGGCGTTTCCAGAAAATCCAGGATGACAAGATGAACTGTCGAGCTGATTAAAGTGGCTCTTACGTTTGTCAACTCTGGCAAACGTAAGAGCCTGGCCTGGCCAAAGCCATCTTGGAGCTTCAGTGCTGCCACATTGGAGCTGAGAGGGGATTAGAGATAGTTGGGGTTTTGTAGCCAAAATACAATAAATACTTTCTCTTGGGAACCAAGGACGTTCTCACACCTGGCCCGAGGAAGGAGGAGTGAGGTCACCAGGCAACCAGACAGTGTCTTGATTGGACTATGTGACTGACTGTTTGGGGTTGAGGAGAAACTTTTACTTTTAATTAGGTGAAAACGGCGGGAACCTTCAGAGTCGTTTTTCACCAGATCTGTGCCAATATGATATATCCAATAAAAATATTCGAGGAATCCACCTGCCTCAGCGTTTTGCTTGCTATGGGTATATTACTTGGAACCCTGACAATGTTCCTGACACACTTCTATGGGAAAAAAGGGACAAAAAACATCTGCTCCGTTTTGAATTTTCCTAATTTTTCCACGTCTTTGTATGGAATGTTAAACTTCATGTTACTAATACATAAGGAGAATCTAACAGAACATGTAACACCATTGTTGAGTGATAGGAAGCCATCACCCCTTTAGATCCAGAAACGCTAGTAATTCACCACCTCTAGCTACAATAATTGCAACCAGTGCTTTCTGTAATTGGTGATTAATTTCTGATGGGGTTGTGTAAAGAATTCTGGTCCATTCGTACGTGGCAAATTATTTCATGTCCTTAACTGAGGTTTACTAGCATGAACTGCTCATTTTAATTCCCGTTACGTTTTTGAGAGGCTTAGGTCAGCAAACAAACCAAAAATCCAAAGGAAAAATACTTTTCCACAGAACTGTGTGATCCATATGTTATCACAGTGCTGATAACAATTCAAAATGTAACTATATACAGGTTGACTGAGCCTTCCATCCTTCTGAGGTCAGTAAAATGAGGACCGAAATTGTTGGGGGCAATAGGCTGACTCTGTAAACCGCTTAGAGAGGGCTGTAAAGCACTGTGAAGTGGTATATAAGTCTTATTGCTATTGCTATATGTATTTTATTCCAAATGGGATAATGATGTTGTACTAAGCAGCTTCTAACACAACTAGCATCAGTCTGGAAAAAAAACAAACCACCAGACTTTTTCTCAGCATGGTCAGAGTTATTTAAATAGTGCAAACAGTTTCCCACATTCTCCATTTTAAAACTGCTATAAAACCAAAACTGGTATCAACTATGGGAAGGAGCATACTGCTTCCTTTTCAGCCCTAATCAGATAATTGCTTTCATGACAAATGTTGAAATAGATCTATACTAGTCTCCCTTTATTTCTTTGTCAGCAAAAATAAATAAATAAAAATATATTATAAATAAAACTTTTTTTATAAAGGCAGTGGGATTACTTAGGAAAACTATCACCAGAAGAATATCTATGGAGATTTTCAGTCATGCTTGTCCCAAGGGTGCTTATTTCAAGACAACTTGGAATTTTCTTTGTTTTGCTTCAAGACATTTTGCTTCGCCCCCAAGGAGATTCTTTAGTTCTGAAGAAGAACTGAAGAAGTTTCTCGGATGAGAAGCAAAACGTCTTCAAGCAAAACAAAGAAAGTCCAAGGGTTTTTTTTTGGAAAAGCACCTTTTAGGACATCACCAGAAGATTATGATCTATGATTGAACAACAGCGGAAACTAATAGGCAAAACCACCATTTTTACAGTTTGGACAATGATTTATTGCTTTTAAAAAAAGGAAATGAAAAAGCCCTTTGATGTTTAAAGAACATCAACTATTTTCTCCATTTCTTTAAATGTCTTTGAGTCAGTGTTGACTCTTGGCAACTGCCTGAACTTGTCCCTGCAGTTTTTTTGACAAGATTTCAGAAGTGATTTGCCATTGCTTCCTTCCTAGGGCTGAGAGAAAATGACTGGTCCAAGGTTATCCAGCTGGCTTTGTGCCTAAGGCAGGACTAGGATTCATGATTTATTCACTGGAAGGTTTAAAAATGTAGGAATTCTGAAACTGATACAGCTATATTCCTCCGTCTGCATGAGGAACAAAAGTCCGGTGCTCTAAATTTTTTTTACCTACCTCCAAATAGACCAGCTACAGTTGAGGGTTCATTGCAGAAATGGGAAGCATTAGGATAAGCTTGTGGGCCACAAAAAGAATCTGATAGAAGCACATGAAGCAGAAGAGCAAAGGAGGAATGTTATGGAAAAAGAAAAGAAAACAGTGCACACTATTATATGGTTAACCAAATATTCAGACACTAAGTTAAGACTATAACTACATGACATCCAACACAGAGAGACAACCTAGGATCTTCTTAAATAGTAAAGATTTTATTCTATCCAAAGACAGACAGAACGTTAAATGTTAACATTTTATATCTCAAAAATGGGAAAAAGTAAAGTGGGAGAGCTGATTACAAGTAGTCCTCGACTTACAATAGTTTTTTTTTTTTTTAATTTGATTTATATGCCGCCCTTCTCCGAAGACTCAGGGCGGCTTACAATGCGCTAAGCAATAGCCTTCATACTTTTGTATATTTTATACAAAGTCAGCTTATTGCCCCCACAAACTGGGTCCTCATTTCACCTACCTTAGAAAGGATGGAAGGCTGAGTCAACCTTGAGCCTTGGCGAGATTCGAACCCTGCAGTAATTGCAGGCAGCTGGTCTTAATAACCAGCTTAATAACAGGGTGCCTTAAACCACTGTACTACCAAGGCTCTTGCTTAATGACCGTTCAATGGCACTGAAAAATGTGATTTCTGGCCATTTTTCACAGTTATGACCTTTGCCGCATCCCGATGATCATGTGATCAAAATTCAGATGCTTGGCAACTGGTTGATATTTATGATTGTGGCTGTTTCCCAAGGTCATGTGAACCCCTTTTGTGAACCTTCTGACAAGCAAAGTCAATGGGGAAATCAGATTCACTTAGCAACCCGGTTACTAACTTACCAACTGCAGTGATTCACTTAACGACTGTGGCAAGAAAGGTCATAAAATGGGGCAAAACTCACTTAACAAATGTCTTACTTAACAACAAAAATTTGGGGCTCAATTGTGGCCATAAGTCAAGCAGTGGTGGTATTCAGCCGGTTCTATCTAGTTCGGGCAAACTGGTAGCAGCGGTGGTAGACTCCGCCCACCCGTCCGGATGTAATCACATCCCATTTTTGGCAATCTGTGGATGCATGGATGTCCCTGCACATGCGTGGAGGTGGCACATGCACTCACATTTGTGAACCGGTACCAAAGGTAAGTGAATACCACCCCTAAAGTCAAGGTCTACCTGAAGTAGATAATTATATGGGTGTCTCTAGGGGGTCAGGTTAAAAAAAAAATCAGAATGAACCAACACAAAAGTTAAACTGAAAGTCACAGGTTTGGACACAAATGATTTGGGTGTTACATTTCTCAGATCAGATAGCACTGCATCTTACTTAATTTACTGACCAAAGTCACAAAACGATTACGTGCATCGATGAGAACTCATACCTGAGCAGAATATGAAGTGGTATAGATCACTGGGGAACTCTCTATGGTAGGGCCATTTAGGTGTCTGGCACCACAATATTAATGATTGACTGAAGCAAAGCTTAACATCTTCCAGAGGGAAAAAAATCAATGACAAAAACTAACTGATACGGAGTCAAACAGAGAGAAGACAGAAAGGTAGATGGAAAGGAATGTAACGTAACTCTCTCCCATCATTCACTCATCTTTAAAATTCGATCGTACAGATAGTCCTCAGCTTACAAATTTTTGTTAACGACTGTTCTAAGTTACACTGTCACACCACTGGCCACTTGATGGCAATTCAGGTGCTTGTCAAAATGGTTGCTGCATCTTGATCACAATCTGCAATCTCCCCCAGCCGGCTTCTTGATAAACAAAGTCAATTGGGGAAGCTGGGTTCTGGCTTAACAACAGTGTGATTCACTTAACAACCATGTGATTCGTTTAACAACCATGGTAAAAAACGGTCAAGTCATGCTGGGCACGTGATGTCTTGCCGAAAGACCATATTGCTTAGCGGCCTAAATTCCGGTCCCAATTGGGGTCATAAATCGAGGACTACCTGTACTTAAACTAAATCAGGGGTCTCTAAATTTGGCAACTTTTAAAACTGGTGGACTTGAACTCCCAGAAGTCCTCAGCCAGTCAGCTGAGGAATTCTGGGAGTTGAAGTCCACCAATCTTAAAGTTGCCAAGTTTGGAGATCCCTGAATTAAATCATTGTAGATATGATGAAAGTTGTTCAGAAATGGACTCTTTTTTCCCCTTTCTCTACTGAAAGACTTCAGATTTGTCTAAGATTGACTAGTCCCATCAGAGAAAAGAAAAGCCAGCTAGCCAGCTAGTACTTTACCAACAAACATCTCATGAGTTGGTGTCCTAGAAGTGAAAGAAGAAGGATGAACATCAGAGGAGACAGAAAGGTGATCGCTAGATTTTGTGAGGAAAGGATTTAAGTTTGAAATGGCATCGTCGACGGCATCAGGAGTGGATGCGAAAGGATCTGCAACAGTTCAGGTGGAGCAAGAAGGAAAAGGAAGGGGAACCAAATTAGCAGTGCATTAGTATTCAGGAAGAACATAGTAAGCAGATATGACTTAATTGTTTACGGTTCTCAGCTTGCATCCCAGGGGTGGGATTCAGCCGGTTCGGACCAGTTCGGACGAACCAGATGTTAATTTTAATCTGGTTCACCGAACCAATTGTTCCAAGGACTGGCTGACCCCACCCACCTTGCCCCACCCCTCCCAGGAGTCTCCACATGGCCCGCTTTGGATAAGTGCAGGATGCGCACGGAGGCTCTGGGAGGGCGAAAAACGGGTCTACCGGAAGTCCAGAAATGGGCCTGTTTCCAGCCTCTGTTTTTGCCCTCCTGGAGGCTCCAGGAAAGCCTCTGGAGCCTGGGGAGGGCGAAAAACGGGCCTATCGGAAGTACCAGAAGTCCAGAAATGGGCCCATTTCCAGCCTCTGGAGAGCCTCCGGTGCCCGGGGGTGGCTGTTTTCGCTTTCCTGGAGGGTTGATGAAAGCCTCTGGAGCCTGGGGAGGGGAAAAACACACACACACACACACGCTGTGGTGCAGGAGGCCGAGTAGGCCATGCCCCCCCCCCCCAGCAACCAGGCAGTGAACCCATCCCTGTTGCATCCAGATGATACACGGGGCACGTTTGATAGATTAAATTAGTCTGGCTAATGGCATGCAATAAGTCTTCATCCTCGATCTACATCATGGCCTGAATAAAAATCAGCAACTCTTTTATAATGGGCAGAATGGCTGTTATATCTAGTTAAGTGGAATATTAAGCTACAATTATGAGTTTCCAACACTGGTTAGTAGAAGATGTGACCACTCTGGTTTGCATACTATGCATTCATATTAATCAAACACAGGGTACTGTACAGATAGTCCTCGACTTTCAACAGTTCATTTAGTGACTGTCTGAAGTTACAACAGCACTGGAAAAAGTGACTGATGACCATTTTTCACACTTATGACCACTCCAGCATCTCCATGGTCAGGTGATTTTACATTTGGATGCTAGACAACTGGTTCACATTTATGACAGTTGCAGCATCCCAGAGTCCCCTTTTGTGACCTCCTGACAAGCAAAGTCAATGGGGAAGTCAGATTCACTTAACAACTAATTGTTGTTAATTTGCTAATTGCTAATCACTGCAGTGATTCGTTTAAACAAATGTAGCAAGGGAAGTCGAAAATGGGGCAAAACTCACTTAACAAATTTCTCACTTAGCGACACCAATTCTGGGCTCCATTGTGGTCATAAGTTGAGGACTACCCGTACAAGCATTGTCTACTAAACGAAAGCAATTTATTTTGAAAATCAAACATCTTAACAAGTTTACTATTTTGTCTGGGTTTTTTTTTTCATACAGATAAACAGCTATGCTTTTTTTCCCTGAGACTGCATGACTAGCCACCATCGTTGTTCAGTAATTCTGGGAAATGATTTTAAGAGCTGCAAATGGATGCTGTGTTCATAACCCCATGTGCTCTGAATCATGCCTTTTGTCTTCAAATCAAAATAGCTATCCTGATCAAGCTAAATTAGTTAATTTGTTCAGTGTATATATATATACAGGTCTCTTCAGAGTCCGGCTCAGCTCCTGATTACTTCATGAACATATTTTTGTGATTTCCGTGACAACAATATTGAAGTGATTTGCACTGCTCTTTTCGTGCATTTTTTTTTTCAAACTTTCCAGTCTAGTTTATAGCCTAGGGATTTCCTGAGTCTCCCACTCAAGCACTAATCAGGTCTGACCATGCTTAGTTTTTCAAAGTTGATTGAGACTGGCTAGATGTTATCTCCCAGCTGAGCTAGAACACTGCAAAAGTTTCCTTTCGTTGCTATATACAGTTATCTGTTTAACCTAAAAGGTAAAGGTAAAGGTTCCCCTCGCACATATGTGCTAATCATTCCCATCTTCTCTAAGGGGCGGTGCTCATCTCCATTTCAAAGCCGAAGAGCCAGCGCTGTCCGAAGACATCTCCATGGTCATGTGGCCGGCATGACTAAACGCCAAAGGTGCACCGAACACTGTTACCTTCCTACCAAAAGTGGTCCCTATTTTTCCACTTGCATTTTTTACGTGCTTTCGAACTGCTAGGTTGGAAGAAGCTGGGACAAGTAACGGGAGCTCACCCAGTTACGCGGCACTAGGGATTCGAACCGCTGAACTGCCGACCTTTCGATTGACAAGCTCAGCGTCTTAGTCACTGAGCCGTGTCCCTTTATTTAACCTATTTAACCTAGACATTTACTAAAGGCCCTACATGGCTTAGGCCTGGGATATTTGGGGGACCATCTGCAGCCAGCAGCAGCTTCCCATCGCCTGGTGCGTTTCCACAGAGAGGGCCTCCTCAGGGTGCCGTCGGCCAGACAGCGTCGGTTGGCGACCCCCAGGGGGAGGGCTTTCTCTGTAGGCGCACCTACCCTTTGGAATCAACTGCCCCTGGAGCTCCGGGTGGCCCTCGACCTCCGCTCTTTCCGCCACGACCTGAAAACGTGGCTGTTTTGTTTGGCCGGCCTGGACTGATGTGGTTTTAATTCTATTTTAATTTTAACTTGTTAGTCTTAATTGTACTTTTAACTGTTAAATTATAAGATTTGGATTTAATTTTTTAACTTTTTATTAGATGTTTCTTAACTGTTGTGAGCTGCCTTGAGTCTGGCTGGAGATAGGGCGGCATATAAATCTCATAAATCTCATAAATCTCATAAATCTCATAAATCTCATAAATCTCATAAATAAATAAATAAATAAATAAATAAATAAATCCTAAGCAAATCTCAAAAAGCTTCAAAAATGAAGTAAGAAATGGAATCGATCTATATGGTTTCTAAGAGTCAACAGTGACTTGATGGGACTGGATTACCAGTCAATCAATAAATGGAAAGGGAATGCCAGCTCTTCAAGGTGGAGGTACGTGGAAGGAAAGTCCCAGAGTCAACTTGTACTTTGGATTTTTGCCATCTGTGCATGCAATTAATCTTTGTCTACTCTCATATCAGTGTGCTAGATACTGAACTGATATGTCCAACACAAGCACCTTTTGTTTGAAACTGTACGATGGTACTGTTGTCATTCATAAAGTCTATTGTACAACCAGCTTCTATTGTCAGATAGAACACTGATTTGAGTCTTGCCTCTCCTTAAAGATTAACAAATGTACCAATCACTCTGAAGATTAGGGCCCGTTTTATGAACCCTATGAAATATTCTTCTCAGGTGCTGTTAGAAGACACCCTGGTTGAAATGGCAAGTTTCTCTCCATCACAGGCCATCACCATTCATGTTTTCAACATTACCTCTTTCAAATACTTTATACAGCGATCAGAGAACCCTGATATACTATTTGAGATTAGAGGCAAGTAAACCAACAGCTCATTCTGATCCTTAAGGGTTTTCGATACGAATTCCACAGAGCTAATTCATTCATTCAGCGATATTCGTTCCTCCACCTCCTAACATTCTGAGTGGCTCACAGTATAATATTTCTTATTTTATACTGTTGGCTTATAAACTTCGATGGGTTATCAAAAGAATAATAATATCAAAACAAAATAAGCCTCTTTCTAGTCTTTTTAAACTTTGGCCACCTAATGAGAAGGAAGCACTCACTGGAGAAGAGCCTAATGCTGGGAAAGATTGAGAGCAAACAAAGAAGGGGATGACAGAGGATGAGGTGGCTGGATGGAGTCACTGAAGCAGTAGGCGTGAGCTTAAATGGACTCCAGAGGATGGTAAAGGGCAGGAAGGCCTGGAGGAATGTTGTCAATGGGGTTGCGATGGGTCGGACAGGACTTTGCAATTAACAACAACAAAAGTCTTTTTAAAGGCTTGGAGACTAAATGCAGATAACGGAAAAGCAAGCCTCAAGTTGTGAGATTTTTTATCTTTTAGCTTTCTCCACTATGAACAAAATTGCAAATAGCGACCCTTCTAATGCCATCTAGCAAGTATTTCTAACTTTAGCTTCCAACATCTATGGAGATTCTCAGTGATACAGGTCATGGTTGTTCCTAAGGTGCTTTTTTCAAGAGGCAATTGGACTTTCTTTGCTTTTCCTTGAAAACGTTTCGCTTCTCATCCAAGAAGCTTCTTCAGTTCTGACTCAATCTGACTCCATTCACAGGTCAGAACTGAAAGCTTGGATGAGAAGCAAAACATCGTCAAGGAAAAGCAAAGAAAGTCCAGTTGCCTCTTGAAAAAAGCACCTTTGGTTCAGCGCCCAATCACAATTCTCAGAGCAGAAATGAACTCTCCAAAGCTGCCTGTGCCTCTTCCAAAATGGGGGCTCAGGCCCCCAGAGGTTCCTGTTGAATTATACTTTCAGCATGATAGAAAGAAAAAAGGGGAATAATCCCTATTAAATGCATTGAAGAAATTTTAAAATTAATTGAAATAAAATCTATTTTCATCCAGAGCTTCTCCGTTTCTTCCACATACTGCTTTCAAGGCCAAAAGCAACTTTCCGCCAAAAGGCTACACAGCTTTCCCCAAATTTTTGTTTTCCAGGTGAGTTAGACTTCAACTTCCATAATTTTCTGTGAGCATAATCCTAGGTCCATTCTAGCTCAGGATTATGGGGTAGGTGATAGAAGACAAAGCTGAACATGTGCATCAAATGACAGATTGAGTAAAAACCTTACTCTGTGGTTTATCATTTTCTCTAGGAAAATCCTCAGAACTATAATTATGGCCTTCATACAGATTTTCTTCCATGTACTTAACAATTTTAGACAGAGTGCTACATTGGCTATCACAATAAAAGGGGGGGTATTGCTTCAGCCCCCTCCCCTTTTAATGAACAGCTACCATAGAAACATGGTTACTCCGATTCATACCATATAATACACTACAGCTTAAAGCGCATAACAATCTCATTGCAATGTGAAAGGCAGATCAGATAGAAAAGGCAAGCAGGATAAAGAACTGCATTGTTATTTAGGGAAAAAAAAGAAGATAGATTAAAGAGGAAATGAAATCCTAATGTAAGGAGCTTTTAATATTCTCTCTACCTTCCACAATTCCCTTCAAACAGCAAAGCAGCAAATACAAAACAGAATCATGATGTTTACAGTATTTTTTTTTTAATTCTTAAAATTCTACAATATCAATAATGGCAGAAAGCGAAGAGGAACTAAAGAGCCTCTTGATGCGGGTGAAGAAGGAGAGTGCAAAAGTTGGCTTGAAACTCAACATTAAGAAAACTAAGATCATGGCATCCAGCCCTCTCAATTCCTGGCAGATAGATGGGAAAGAAATGGAGGTAGTGACAGATTTTATTTTCCTGGGTTCCAAGATCACCGCAGATGGGGACTGCAGCCAAGAAATTAAAAGACACTTGCTCCTGGGGAGGAAAGCTATGGCAAATCTAAAAAGCAGAGACATCACCCTGCCAACAAAAGTGCATATAGTCAAGGCTATGGTTTTCCCAGTTGCAATGGATGGCTGTGAAAGTTGGACCATAAGGAAGGCTGAGCGCCAAAGAATTGAGGCCTTTGAACTCTGGTGCTGGAGAAGACTCCTGCGAGTCCCTTGGACTGCAAGGCAATCAAACCGGTCAGTCCTAGAGGAGATCAACCCTGACTGCTTTTTGGAAGGCCAGATCCTGAAGATGAAACTCAAATACTTTGGCCACCTAATGAGAAGGAAGGACTCACAGAGAAGAGCCAAATGCTTGGAAAGATTGAGGGCAAAAGAAGAAGGGGACGGCAGAGAACGAGGTGGCTGGATGGAGTCACTGAAGCAGTCGGTGTGAGCTTAAATGGACTCCAGAGGATAGTAGAGGACAGGAAGGCCTGGAGGAAAGTTGTCCGTGGGGTTGCGATGGGTCGGACACGACTTCGTAACTAACAACAACAACAACAAAATCAAGTTCATATTCAAGATTTTATTCTTGCAGAGAATTCTGCTCTTTTTTTTTTTTTTTTACAATGGCTTAGTCTGTTGACTGCATTTTTAATGAGGAAAAACTTTTAAGATTTTCCTGGAAAAGCATTGTGGAAGAGCTACATCTAATTCCTTTACTAGTTGGGAAACAATATGAATGTCACTTTGAATTCCTGATGAAAAGGCAAATGCAAAAAATAAATAAATATGGGACATAATATGTTTACAACAAATGGTTTCACAAATAATAGACTATGTGGCTGAAAAACTTTCATATGAAATAACAGTCCACAAAGAGCCTAAGTTTAGCATCCTAAAATTGGATTTTGAAAGGATCAACCCTTATATAGTATAGGGAACCTTCCTGTTTTTACCGTACTTCGAAGTGTTTCTACAAATAATCTTTTTTCTATTCATAGACTGAACCCAGACTGAAACCTACTTATTACTCTTGTTAAAGCCAATCTAACAGTTCAAGCTCTACTCCCTCTGGTTTGATGCAAAAATGAAGACTAATCATTACTGGGAAACGGAGATGGGAAAGATGGGCGAAAGAAGATACCAGTAACACTTTTATATCTTAGAATAGAATTGTAATGAGCTAAGCGTAACTTCCTTAAAAGTGCCTCTTACGTGCCATTCTCTTGAATTGTTTTATTGAAGTCTGACAGACGCCTTCTCAAATTTTAATCTATAAATGTAGGTATCTAAACACCAACATACATATTCCAGTCTCTGCTTAATCCTGGCTAAATTAAGATCAATCACTTCCTAAAGCACCAGTACAACTGAATCCAGAGCACACAGTTTGGAGACTGGAAATAAGCTGACATGATGCTAGTTTGTTTTTGCTTTTCTTATTAGCTATATATTTTGTCCTGCTATTGAAATCGCACCCGTATTTGCAAATATTGCTCGAAAAACAGAGGCAAATCAGTCGATTATGGACGTTGCTTGAGACTTATACAACACAGCAGCCCAATAAAATAAATAGCAATTCAATAATTGTGATGGAAATTCAAAACAAAACTCATTCTGATCCATGAATTTTTAAGGCTTTAAAGAAATATGTGACCCACACGTTTAGAAGTATTAAAATAATGACTTTTTATCAACCAAATACAGCAGAGATTGTGAATTTTTTTTATCAAGAGTAAGGGTGGCTAAGTAATAATCACAACAAAATCGCTTACCTCCCCAGGTTCCTCCCACTTGTGGTGCGGAGGATATCGGATGCACACCTGGGTGAAAAGCTGGCTGTAAATCAAGCAAGTCATTTGGCAGCTTTGATGAACTACAGAAACAACAACACACACAAGAGCATCGTAAATATTTAAACAACAGTGCCATTGTTCCATTTAAGAACCTCTTCAGAACAGCCCTTGTACTGAACACACCCAGAATGGTGTATGGATACAGAATTCGCTTCCTGAGAAACCAAAATCAGAACTTAAAAGAGGCAGTTTATCCAATTCAAGGAGGCTGCCATGTCCAAAGGAAACTTTCCCTCATACTTCTATGTTACAGAATAGCATCTTAGTATTCCCTCTGGACCAAAAACCCTCTTCCTGCAACGTACTTCAGGGTTGAGGAATGGTGCTGGAGAAACAGGGCCATTATGACCTCTTATTATTTATTCATATCCCACTTTTATTATTATTTTTTTACAAATTACCTGGGGAACCTATCCAATGCACCTTCTGCCTCCTGTTCTGCCTCTACCACAGCAACCCTGTGAGGTGGATTGGGCTGAGAAATTGTGATCAGCCCAAAGTCATCCGGCTGGTTTACAGTTCGTCTGTCTCAAAGTTGCTCTGACACTAGAAAGTGTTGGCGAAACGGGAGTGCCGGAAACCGGAACAGCAACTCCCCGGAGCACACGCGCAAGAGCGCCACAAACCAGAAGCTGAGCTTCCTGGCGTATGCATATGTGCCAGGGAGCTGCTCTTCCAGTTTCTGGCGCTCCTGCATGCGTGAACACCGTCATCAGACCCCGGAAGAGCAACCGGCAACAGCTGGCGTGCCCACAGAGATGGCTCTGCATGTCACTTCTGGCACGCAGGCCATAGATTCGCCGTCACTGCACTAGAAAGAATTTGCCAAATTGGCACTTGGCAAAAGAGCTCTTCTGAATCTTACCTGTTTGAAGAGCTGGGTGTGGAAAAAATATCGATAGCTGGGGTGGTCATTATACTTCCTGCAGCATTAGACACAGGGGATGAGGCTGTGGTTAAAGACGGGTGAGGTTTCTTTGCAAGTTCTTTTAGACGCTGTTCCTAGTGGAAAAATAAAGCCAGAATTAAAAAAAAAAAATCAGGTGATATGATGCTCAAGAACAAGTCATTTTTGGCTTCAATAATACATGAAATAAACAAAGGCCTAAGCAACCTGTTTTTGATCACCACCAGAAACACAACCCTGTTAAAACTCCCCAAGGGATAAGCATGAAATACTGTTCAAGCATACATACATTATTATTGTTCTACACTGGTTTATAATAACCTTGTGCATGAAACTCTTATGGTTTCAAACAGGAGGCTGCAAAACGTTTTCCAACTGTCTCGAGCTCAAAAAGAGGCTGTTATACTTCAGTAGGCTTTTGAATTTTCACAGTTGAAACAGTTTGATGCTAAATGTTTTGCCCACTGCTGTTTCAAAGGACGAGTTTGAAGTGGATATTATAAATACTGCTGCGTTTATACATCATTTCCCAAACAACGCAGTTGCTCCTAAATACTTTTGATATTGAAAATAATCTACCTTGTCGACTGGTATGGAGTTTTTTTTCAAGCTAAGTTCTTGGGAACTTGAACGAGTTCCACAGAATAGAAAAAAAAATCTCTATGAGGGATTAAAGGGGTGTGTGTGTATGTATGTATGTGTGTGCATGCGTGTGTGTGTGTGTGTCTTTCTGCAAAGGAAAAGACTAAGGGGGGGAAAAATCACCTCTCTGCAAGAGGGTAATGGGAAAAAAACTCGACAAGGAATGGGGAAGAGAACTTCAAATGCCTTCAGCCATCTACTCCCATCTCAAAACTGTTCTTGACATCTCATTTATCACAACATCAGTGTTAGCAAGTGCAGGGGCGGGCTGCTGGGGGTTCGAGAGAACCTCTAGCTAAGATTCTGTGCAGTTCGGAGAACCCCCAAATCCCACTTCTGGCTGGCCCTGCCCACCCTGCCCCTCCCAAGAGTCCCCACGCAGCCCGTTTTGGATGCAAGTAAGTGCAGGGCGCGCGGGGAGGCTCGGGGAGGGCAAAAAACAGGCCTACTACAAAATTATTTATAATGACTGGCTGTAAGGATACACCGCAAGGAGAGGGAAAATTGGAGAGAGCTGTTCTTTAGTATCACTACTGGGATAACCCTGCTTTCCATTTCTAAGTCTATTACCAATTTCAAATACTGGTTTACTATCCGTAGTAAGCTACATATGGTTTGTAAATTGGCTTTTGTGTTCTGAGCATGAGAATTTTGGAATATTCCCTCACATATTCCCTTGCTGTTGGTATGCTATTTGAGGATGAGGGAAACTGAAGTCCCAATCATTGACAGTAGGATTTTTCAAAGTGTATTTGATGAGATTTCATGAGAAACTAAAGTAGAGAGTGCAACCAGATTTTTTATCAGTGGCATTTTGCGTTCTGATCAGGTGTCCTGGGCATTAAAAAAAAAAAAAAACTGGTTCCCAAACTTGAAAAGGTATCCATTCAGCCCATTTTTTCTTTTAATCTTTCTGCAATCCAAAGGACATCGAACATACAGAAACTGATTTAAAAAGCAGTGTTTCTCAATCATGGCAACTTTAATTACATGGACTTTAATTCCAAGAATTCCCAGCCAGCCAGTATGAGTTACTCAAGTCCCCGCATCTTAAATTTGCCAAGGTTGAAATGCATTGGTCTAAAGCAAGGGTGCCAAACTCAAGGCCTGCGGACCATATCCAGCCCACAAGGTGCTTAGATATGGCCCATGGGGCTGCCCTGGAAACAGCGAAGGACTGTCCTGCGTGCCTCTGCCAGCAAACAGAGCTTGGGAGGGCCGAAAAAAGACCCCAGGGTGGGCTGCAGGAGCCCCCCCAGCCCCATTTTCACTGACAGAGGGCTATCAAAACAAACTAAAAACAAAACAAAATGAGGAATGCTTCCCCTGTTGCAAATGAGCATCCAGGAACGGACAAGAAAGGAGAAAAGAAGAAAGACATAGAAAAAGAAGGAAAGACGGGAAGAGAGCAAGGAAAGAAAAATAAAGGAAGAGGGGAAGGAAGAAAAAAGGAGAATGAAGAGAGAAGAAAAAAGAAGAAAAGGAAGGAAGGAAGGAAGGAAGGAAGGAAGGAAGGAAGGAAGGAAGGAAGGAAGGAAGGAAGGAAGATTATAATGAGAGGGAGGGTCTGACGGAAGTCCTTAACACTTGGCCACCACAGGTGCCCCTGACATGAGTGACGTCGAGTTGGCTATGCCCCTCCCCAAACAGGTCAAACCCTACCCTGATGCGGCCCTCAATGAAAGGAAGACCCTGGTCTAAAGGAAGAAAAAAACACCAACCTTTAAAGCTTTTAAACGGGCCTGTTCTTCCTCCAGTGCAGCTTGTTTTTCCCTTTCATCGACTTTGGTGAGAGAGAGGCCAGTGCTTGCGAGGGAAGAAACAGCATTGGAAAGCGTAGTGGCCCTAAGAAAATGTGACAATAGGAAACAGACTGTTATATACTGCAGATAGGAAAAAGGGATTCTGCTGTACTTCATTTATTCAGCATTCAAAATGCTGAATAAATGAAGTACCTACTTCATGGGGTACTTATAGTAGGTCCTACCAGATGGACCTACTGTAGCCTAGGCTTTTCTGCCTGAATCCCAAAAGAGATTTATACTCCTGGAGATCTTAATTTTTACAAAGGTTATGAAAGAAGCAACAAACAATGCATTTATTAATATTTCCTTCAAACGCAATGCTGGTACTGAAGTTTAATTACATTTTATACTAGATTAATAGACTGGTTATCGATTAGGCTTTGTTCATTCCCAATTATGTGCCTCACAGGCATGACTTATTCAAGACAACACAAGGCTTCAGGGGGATTAAACAGGGCGATATCACCACTCCACTTTATATACGTTGTTTTGTTTGACTTACATGCAATAAATTATGGAAGTTTTAGTTAGCCATTATGGGGTTGGAGTAACCTGAGGAGACCAGTTTCTTGTACACCCTGAGACATGAACATTCACAGGGTGCATTTCGACCAGTTACTTGCAGTCAAACCTATCCCAAAGATTTACTGCTGTTGGGAACGATGATGAGCCACTTTTTCCTAGAGTGAACAGGGACTATTAATCTTTCTTCCCCTTTTCTACCTCCCCTCGCCCTTTCCCCTTCTCCTAGGAATGTTTTTAATTACCGTATTTTTCGGAGTATACGACGCACCTTTTTGCCCCAAAAAAGAGGGTGAAAATCTGGGTGCATCTTATACTCCGAATGTAGTCCCGCCCAGCTTCTCAAACGGAGGTTTCAGAGGCTGAAAAAAGCATCGGAAAAGAAGCTTCAGAAAAAAAAGCCCCCAAACAGAGCTTCAGGGGCTTTTTTTCTAAAGCTCTGTTTCGGAGGCTTTCAGAGGCAGGAAAAAACGTTTTTTCTGAAATGGAGTTTCAGAAGTTTCAGAGGCAGGAAAAAAAGCCAGAAAAAGCAAGGCACAGAGCTCATAACCAAGGAACCTGTTGCTAAAATTAATCTCTGGGAACAGCTGATTGGAAGTATTCTGGGAGGCTGATCCACCTGCCAATCAGCTTTTTTCTTATTTTCCTCCCCAAAAACTAAGATGCGTCTTATACTCCGGTGCGTCTTATACTCCAAAAATACGGTAACTATTTTGGTCCCAGTAGTGCCAAAGGGGAAAAATCAGAAAGATAAGAATTGTGTCACTCCAAGTGGTAAAGTAGAAATGTCTTATATAAGCGTGTATCAGGAGTTTAGTAAAATAATCAGCAACCAGGGCTCTGAAATAGCGATTACTCTATATCACAAGCAGGAAAGCAATGCTAAATGTTTTGCTTAATAAAGACAATGACTGAAGAATAAAATCAGCCGGAGGTATTTCCTGCAAAAGTCGCTGAATCTTCTCTTCAGGAAGAATTATTCAATGCAGATATAAGCAGACACAAAATTCCACACTGTTTTAAAGGGAAAATAGTATCCAGCACTAACACGCTATTAGCAATTTCGTCTTCGTATCACTATCGATACGGAAGCACAACAGTAAACTATAGCGACCATGTGCAGAAGCTGTTTCTAGACTACACCATTTCAGATGTCCCAAAGGTGTTTTTTCAAAAGGCAAGTGGACTTTCTCTGTTTTTCCTTGAAGACATTTCACTTCTCATCCAAGAAAACTTCTTTAGTTCTTCTTCAGAGAACGGAAGAAGCTTCTTGGATGAGAGGCAAAACATCTTCAATGAAAAACAAAACAATGTCCACTTCCCTTTTGAAAAAGCACCTCTGGGACAACCATGACATCGATATTTGGGAATCTCCATAGACACCATTTCTGAGTTTCTGTTTAAGATGTCCACAAAACCTCTTTATATATACAAACATGAGGACTGAGGCTGGTTTTGCCCTCTAAGGGAGTGTCACATATAATTTTCCATTTGTTGTTACAAAGCAGAGCAGCTGGTGTCAAATTTTGTCAGGCAAAGGAACTGGCTACAAAAATCATCAAAATATACAAAGCATATCCAAAGAAGCTGGCATGCTACCCAATGCCCAGTTGGCTACAAAAAGCCACCGGCACATACCTGCTAGCAGCGGTGGAATCTTTGATTTTCTTTCCTTCCAAAGAGCCCAGGTGCTGTTCTAAAGCATCCAGAAGACTACTTGGTGCCTACAAGACAATTCATCAATTGGTTAGAAAATCCAAAACATTTAATGCCAACCTTCCCAGCCTCAAGTCTGTGGACATTTGTAAATTGTGGTGGTGCAGTGGGTAAAATGCAGTACTGCAGACAAACTCCGCCCACTGCTAGGAGTTCGATCCTGACCGGCTTAAGGTTGACTCAGCCTTCCATCCTTCTGAGGTCAATAAAATGGAGACCCAGATTGTTGGGGGCAATAGGCTGACTCTGTAAACCACTTACAGAGTGCTGTAAAGCACTGGAAAGCGGTGTATAAGTCTAAGTGCTATTGTTGCTGTAAATTCTTGAAGATCTGGGTTGTTCCCTGGGAAATGACAAGCCTGTTGTTATGATTGTGTACTTTTTTATGGTACAGAAATGACCAAAAACGTAACAAAAATAATGGGAAAAAAACATTAAAAGCATTAAAAACCATTTAAAAACCATAAACCCAACCTTCAGGATTATTAGTTGTGTAACCCTATACTTGCTGCCTAATTGTAATTGCAAGATTGGCAGCAGTATGAAGTCATATCATCATCATTCTCCAGTGATTAAAATATATTAAGTAGCATGTAGGATTCCATTATATTGTCAGACACAGATTAAAAAGCGATCATAAATTTAAGAAAAAAGCAGATAAAGTGGTACACTTAAGAACTGGCATTTATTCCATATCCCAAGAATACAATTTTAAAGCCGCTACTACTTTAAGCCAAATCAGTATATTAATTACTGTAAATCTTTTGTCATCTTTCCTTGGTTCTTGGCAATCATGTACTGTACTGAGGTATTTTTCTTAGCTTAATACGAAAATTCAAAATATGATTTACATTCAAGAACACAGCACTTTAAGGAAAAAATTAAAAATAAATATATCCCCACCTCTCTCACCATGGTAACTCTATGTGGCAACAAAGGTTTAAAACAAAACAAAAATATCAATAGCTTAAAGCCACAAAATATAAACCAAGAGCAGGAAAAATGGCAGACAAGAGTAAAAACTATCAAACCCCCCAGCTTATCAAGGATCAACCCTGAGGAATGTAAAAATTGTCTGTGCAAAAGCTGAACCATGGGTAAAACTGCAGATTTTAAACTCACGGTTTTTACACCAAAATACTTCTCCATTCTATAAATATGATGAAAAACCAATACATTAGAAATTACATCAAAATTGTCTTTTTGACAACTCCAGATGGCATGTACAACCAAGATAATAATTAATCATAATGATTCACCTGAGAAAGATCTGGTATGTCTCCTCTGTCTATCCCCACTTGCTGCAAGAAAAAAGAGATTTAATGAGATAAAGGCCCCAGCTACATTTGGCTAAAAACAATGAAGAAAGTTAATTGTTGTTTATAACATCATAAAAGAAGGATGGTTGACACAGTGAACAGAATTAGAGGGGGGGAAATGTTTCAGATGAAGAACCTGTATCTGTAATCCCTATTGTAGTGCACTGCAATATATTACAGTATACTACAATTAATATATAATGTATTATGAAATACAGATAGTCCTTGATTTACGACCACAATTAAACCCAACATTTCTGTTGCTAAGCGAGACAGTTCAGTGAGTTCTGCTCCATTTTATGACCTTTCTTGCCACAGTTGTTAAGTGAATCGCTGCAGTTATTAAGTTAGTACCAGGCTTATTACCTATGAAAATAAAATCTATTACCAGGGAATGCCCATTGTCCCTAGGTGATAACTTAATGGAGGATTATATTATAATATAATAATAGGGAGCACAGGGATTCCCTGAGGGAGCACAGCCATTCCCTTTTCAAACTGGTGCTTCCAGACCCATCATCCACAATCAACACATGGAAACGATGATAGGAACTGCAACTCTGCCTTTAACATCCACAGTCAAAATACACATAGTCCTCCACTTACAATCAGAATGGAGCCCAAAATTTATGTTAAGTGAGAAATGTAAATGAGTTTTGCCCCATTTTACGACTTTTCTGCCACGTTTGTTAAGGGAATCACTGCCGTTTTTGAATTAGTATCCTGGTTGTTAAGTGAATCTGGCTTCCCCATTGACTTTGCTTGTCAGGTGGTCGTAAAAGGGGATCACATAACTGTAGAACACTACAACCGACATAAATATGAGTCAGTTGCCAAGTGTCTGAATTTTGATCATGTGACCATAGAGATGCTGCGATGGCCGTAAGTGTGAAGAATGGTCATAAGTCAGTGCCATTGTAATTCTGGTCACTAAACAAATTGTTGTAAGTTGAGGACTATCTCTAATACACTACAACTACACTACACAACCACTAGTGTACATGCTGACAACTACAAATCTAGTGTAGTCTTGAAAGTTCTACTATCCATTACATTTAATATTTTTAACACAGACTGCATTAAAGGTAAAAAAATATCTTTAACTCATCAAAATAATAAAAAGGTGGACTTTTTGTGAGCATGACAATTTATTTTAAGCAAACAGGCACATTCAGATTAAAAACCCAATGGATCCTGGAGCTATAATACTAGCGGAACTGCGAATGTACACATTTCTTCAGATTGCTGCTCTGAGGTATAACCTACAAAACACTGGGAAGAAATAACAGATGGGGCAAAAAGCATTTTTCTTCTTTTTTCTTTTCTTTTCGTTTCTTTTGCCAAGCCTCTTTTCCAGAGAATGGTTCAACAACTCAGGAAGAACATTTTTTTAAAAAAATTTGATTTATATGCTGCCCTTCTCCAGAGACTCAGGGCAGCTTACAATGCGCTAAGCAATAGCGCATTGAATTATAAAATCCCTGACAATCTGCTTCGCATTCATTAGATTCCCCAATGAAAAAAAATCTTCTGCAAATCCCACCATGCTACCATTAAACAGCAATTGAAACTTCTGTTTTTTTGTTTTTAATGGTGTGGCCCTTTATTGTGGCGGACGGAAGTTTGCAAGCCCCTTCGCTGCCGTTAGGAAGGACGACAAACCATGTTATTCCAATGATGAATTTTCAGTGTGAATGATGGCGCTGACTAACATGTTCATTGTTAAGAGCTTGACCGTAATCATTACTATGATGGTTTACTTCTTCTTGGTCAAAAGCCTTCTCAGTGGCTTGGAAATGGGACATCATGGTTTTGAAAAAGTGAGTTTTGTTCCATTTTACTACCTTTCTTGCCAACGTTTATTAAGTGAATCACCGTGGCTGTTAAGTTAGTCATGCGGTTGTTAAGGGAATCTGGCTTCCCTGTTGACGTTGCTGGTCAGAGGGTTGCAAGAGGGGATCACGTGACCCCAGGACACTGCAACCATCATAAATACGAGTCAGTTGACAAGATTTTGATCTTGTGACCGCGGGGATACTGCAACGGTCATTAAGTGTGAAAAATGATCATAAGTCACTTTTTTCAGTGCCATTGTAACTTTGAATGGTCACTAAATGAACTATTGTAAGTGAAGGGCTAACTGTATAAATAATAAATATGCAAAGAAATTGGTAGGATGGATATTTTTAATTAATTAATTAATTCTGACAAATTGAATCAATTCCTTGGGGTGAAAAAAGACAACTTTTCTCTAGCAATAGAGACTCAGAAAAAATTTAACAAAAGATCTTTTGCAGTTTCACCTTCTGCCTTTCTGGGCTATCACTCAAGAACAGAATTCTAAATAAAATTATTAAGCCTTTTCATTGCAAAAATGGTCCCCGTAAGGAAAAGGGACCTGCAGACAGATACTGCTTTTGACAGCCCATAACTTGGATCTCGGGGAACAGGAGATGGGAGATCAAAACTGTAAGGGGATATGCATTTTATTCTTATCACCCACACCTCCTTTTGTTCTATAAAATTACTTTACTTTACTTCGTTGTCATTGCACCTTGTTCAAGAAAATTAAATGCCATCTTCAGTGTACATTATAACTATAAAAATAAAAACACAAAAGACACATCCTTCACATTCTATATAATTGAATTGGAAACCCGATATTGCATTAATATTGCATTAATATTGCACTATACCATAGAATTCAATATAGTTAGTGCCCTGGGATAGAAGCTATTTTTCAGCCTATTTGACCTTGTTTTTATAATCCTGTACCGTCTGCCAGATGGCAACAGTTTTTTAAAAATGGTGCCCGGGATGAGATGGATCTTTAAGAATGTTTTGAACTTTCTTAAGGCAGTGGGAGCTATAAAGCTCTTCCAAAGAGGGGAGCAGGCAACCAATGATCCTCTGGACAATTTATTTATTTATTTATTTGATTTGATTTGATTTGATTTCTATACCGCCCTACTCCCGAAGGACTCAGGGCGGTGCACAGCCAAACAATAAAATACATACATACAAAATTTAAAAGTGGAATTAAAATCAAATTAAATAGTTTTGGCCCAGACAAATTAAAACCCCAATCAATTTAAAACCAATTTTAAAACTTAAATATATAAAATACTAAAAAATATTAAAAATTAAAAATCTTTTATAAAAGAGGGAGAAAATTAGGCCAGGCCCGCCTGGTGAAATAAAAAGGTCTTTAAAGCGCGACGGAAGGTGCGCAGATCCGGGATCCTCCGTATCTCCGGGGGGAGCTCGTTCCAGATAGTAGGTGCCTCCACAGAGAAGGCTCTCACAGACAATGACATTAACCCGGTGGTAGTTAACAAAATTCTACCAGAAGTTTACATATAACGCCTGAACAGCAGTTACCTCACCCAACCAGTGTAGAGTTATCAAATTTCTTTGCAAAAGAAGCTATGTTCTGATAACAGTCTTCTCATGTAATACAAGTAAAGACAAGGTACTTGGGAGGAATACCAATTGTAAAAGATGCATTCGGTTAACCCAGAGGTCCCCAAACTTGGCAGCTTTAAGACTAGTGTTATTTCTGGGAGTTGAAGTCCACAAGTCTTAAGGCTGCCAAGTTTGAAGACTTCTGGGTTAACATATGATCTTTCCAATAGCTTTGTACCTATCTCAGAGATCAACCGAGTATTTTAAGCAGAGGTGTACAGCTAGCCTTCAACGCATGACCATAATTGAGCCCAACATTTCCGCTGCTAAGCAAGACAGCTATTAAGTGAATTTGGCCCCATTTTATTACTTTTCTTGTCGCAATTGTTTAAGTGAATCATTGCAGCTGTTAAGTTAGTAACGTGGTTGTTAAGTGAATCTGACTTCCCCATTGACTTTGCTTGTCAATGCTTGAAGGTCACAAAAGGAGATCACGTGACCTTGGGACACTGTAACCGTCATAAATACAGGCCTGTTGCCAAGCCTCCTAGTTTTGATCATGTGACCACAGATATGCTGCAATGGCTGTAAGTGTGAAAAACTGTCAGAAATCCATTTCCCCCCCCCCAGTGCTGTCGTAAGTCTGAATGGTCACTAAACAAATGGTTGAGAACCGAGGACTGTCTGTAATCTGACTTCTGATTAACAAAGATTTCTCTTTTTTCCAGTCACAGCTAAAGCTATTCCAAATAAGAGTTTGGCCACGGAGATTAGATTAGATGATGATGAACAGACAGATGCAGCTAAGTAAAAATGGCTATAAGCATTGTTGATTATTATTATTATTGCCTATCTGTACAGATCCAATACAATATATAGTCCTTGATTTATGACTGATTGCTTAGCGACCATTAGAAATTACATCAGACCTAGTTACAACCTGGTTCTGAACTTCCAGCGGTTGGGTTCCGTGACTGAATTTCAGGTGGGCAAACCATGGCCATGTTTAGGACTGACTGCAGCATCCTGTAGTCACATGACCAGGTTTTATAACAGTTCTGCCGAAAACTGGGCTTATTTCCGGGTTTTGGTAAAACTGTACCCAGATGTTTGCTTAACAACTAGTACAAAAAAAGCTCACAGAATCGGGTCAGTTATGTGACCAATCCATTTTAAAACTGTCACGACTTACGACAGCGATCAGCAGGTTCCATTACAGTCGTAGGTTGAGGACTATCAGTAGAAGGTAAAGATTCCAAGGGCTTTTATCCAATAAGGTTGGCATATTAGCAAATAGTATTCTAGTTTTGTAACCAATCTTTTCCTTCATTGTCTTACTTTTTTTTTCTAGACCCTCACTTTAATATTCTATGCTTTTCCATCACAGATTTTTCAGTCTACAAGTTGCCCAGAGAATATGGTAATACAATAATAAATTTTAAAAATGATTCCTACTGTGTAAGAACACTTAGTATTGTACATCAACAGTGTTGGAAAGCAGCCAACTTGAATGAAATATTCACAAAATCTATATCTGCACCAATATTAATCTTCCCAATACTTCCATTGGATTTCTCTTCAGTGTGGTTTAATCTACGCCGGTGTTTTTCAATCTTGGCCATTTCAAGATAGATGGACTTCAACTCCCAGAATTCCCCAGCCAGCCATGGCTAGGGAATTCTGGGAATTGAAGTCAACTTATCTTAAAATGGCCAAGATTGAGAAGCACTGATGTAAGCTTTCAATGAAACGTTTAAACACTCCGTAAATTCTTGACAATAATATCCAGTCAAAATATAGTAAATAATAAACAGTAAGAATATTCTTTATGTACTAAGCAATTTTTACCTCCGCAACTTTGAGAAACTCAGAAATTCTTGCCATTCTAGTCAGAAACTTCTTATATATGTCAAGGGCTTCCTTGCATTGATTCTTTTTCATGTCGAAGTATTTTTCTGTAGAAGAAAATTTTTTAAAATGACAAGTCGTCATGATAATCATCTTGTTTACAGCAAAAAAAAAATGATATATTACACAGTTACAAAGGTAAGAGATGTTCACAACTGTTCACTTTATTAAATTTTAAATGTCACAAACATTTCCTTGCAGTCTGTCAATGTATTATGAAGGTCTGATACACCAACAACAGTCCCAAAATAAGAAAGAGTGGGATGTGAGCTGGAATTAAATTCAAACAGGTAATTACTTAAAATTAGAACTCTAAAAAAGCCTGTGTTTATACTAAATACTAAAATGAAATCCCACAGCATAAATGTATATTTGAGCTGCTCTAAAAACATCACCAAGGTTACCCTTAAATTAAAAATGCTATATATACCGTTTCCCCCAAAATAAGACATCCCCTGATAATAAGCCCAATCAGGCTTTTGAGTGCATGGCAATAAGGCCAAGTGCTTATTTCAGGATTCAAAAAAATATAAGACAAGGTCTTATTTTCGGGAAACACGGTATACATACATACATACATACATGCATATAAAATTGATTTTTTAAAAATTCAAGGCTACATTAAAACTACTTGTTCTAGTTTTTATCATTTGTGTGTGTGACTTGTATCTGTTTATTCCATTTTTTGTCAATCACAACTAACACCCTGGTTTTTAAAACATCAATTTTCAGATCCCTGTTTTGCACCATACAATCTAACATTGGTGGCAAATCATAGGTTCTTTGCAAACACCATCACTTTATCTGCACACTAAACTACATTCACATCTTCAATCAACACAACTCAAGTGAGTGGTTTCTTACACATTTCACATAATTGCATGTGAAAAGGTTTCTTACATATTGATCCAAAAACACGTTAAATAATGAAGGGGACATCTCATACTCTTGCCTTGCTCCCTTCTCCACACTGCTTTCTAAACATTCAATTACATACATGCTTTATTTCCATCATATATGCTCTATTCCATAACCAACATTCAATCCATATTGTCGAATATTCCATAATTCAAGCCTATTCAGGTTGTAATATGCTTTCACTAAATATACAGTATACTTTTATATCTATAAATTTCTGAATGATCAGCTGAAAAGCAGAAATCTGAACTGCACACCCAATGTCTGGTATAGAGTGTAACTGCACTTCTCAAATTGTGTTCATTATCACCTCTTTTACAATTTTAAACAAAATCATGCCTTCCAAAATATGCTTAACTATTTAATTCCTCTGTAGTTTTTCATTCACTTCTACTACCTTCTTGTTTAAGAGAAAAGTAACAGATTTTTTTCAGTAATCAGAAAGAGATTCAGCCTTCGTGCATGTTAAAACAACCCAGACTACTTCTTTCTAGGCAAACCAGAGTAATATAATTTAAAAACAATTTATAACTTAACAAATGTTCTCCAGTTACATTTACACCTCATTATTTTTCAACGTTATTATAATCAATATTTTCACGCTTTTTCATCATTTTAGATATACTAAGTTTTGGTTCTACTCTTCAAAACATTATCATTCTAATGCCAATCTCTAAATGATATATTCCCTCACTTCAGTCATCCCAAATCAATGTGACCACTTTCATTTTAAACGTTTAATGTAACTTGAATTGGGCGGCCAATGAATTTAAATAAATCTTAATTTAAAATGTTAAGAATCCGAATCTTACTCATGTGGCTGGAGGCTCCTTGTTTAGTCCTCTTTGCTGCTTTCAAAACAAAATTTATGTCCGTCAAAATCAATCGCCTATCCTTTTCAAAGAATAAAATGGGATTACTGCAGCTCAGATTTAAGAAAGCTGACTTTGTGAAAAACTAGGCTGCTGTTAAGAATGACTTTCGGAAAATATGAAGATAAAATAATTATGGAAGGGAGTATGGGGATAGTGAGATAACTCATGCACTTCTCTGGTTGTCCATATCTCTTCTGCATGTCTTCTCATACACATAAGGGCAGCCTACAGCCACGATTAAGAATTAAATACCGTACTTTTCAGAGTATAAAACGCACTTTTTCCCCCCCTAAAAGGGGGTGAAAATTTAGGTGTATCTTATACACCACCCACTGGCCCCCAGCCTTTGGTCTCTGCCTCCCAGCAGTTTACCTCCTTGCAGCAAGCAGCAAAAAGAAACGGCTCGTTTCAGCTTCAGCACAGCCTAATCAGCACATGTTGATTGGATCGGCCTCCTGACTCTCAGCTGTTTCAGGCTGCAGGGATTGCCATTGCCTATTGCTGCGCAGGCCTCTGCTGCTTGCTGCAAGGAGGTAAATTGCTGGGAGCAGTTTTTTTTTCTTGTGCTAATCAAGCTATGCTGAAAACAAAAATGAAAGTAAAGCAGGCTGTTTGTTCTATCCAGGCAAAATTCCTGGGAGGCAGAGGCAGATTTCTTTTTCTTGTTTTCTTCACCAAAAAAGGTAGGTGCCTCTATAGTCTGGAGCGTCTTATACTCCGAAAAATACGGTAATATGTCACACATATTATTTACTCTAACCCAAGACTTTTACTTTCGATGTTACCTGATTCCAAGGCAAGATGAACTAATGTGCATTTGGGGTTTTACAACACCAAGAAGCATGCATGTAAAATATATAATTTTACAGTGCTACGCTATGCCTTATTGTACCCTAGACCTGTCCAGCTGCAGAAAATTAATAAGCAAAAAATGTATCAGTTCTACAATAATTCTGAGAATATTAAGAATAGGGCAGGAAGACGCCTTATTTCCTTTATTGTTGCTCTGCATGTACAGGTAGTCCTTGATTTATAACAGGCCAATGTTCCAATAGACATCTCCCCCAAAGGGATTTACAACCCAGGTTTGAAGTTACAAGTTGCTCCCTGCTAATGGTCACATGACTGCATTTTGGACACTCAGCAACCAGTCTATATTTATGGCATCTACAGTGCCCTGCAGTCACACGATCCTGATTTATGATATTTTAGCCAGAACTGGTATTTACTGGTGTTCGGCCATAGGTGAATAATGGGTTTGTTTAACAATGGGTTTGACCATTGCAAAAAAGGTTGCAAGAACAGGTCAGGTCATGAGGTGTCCCATTTTACCACCGTAATTGCCAGGCAAAATTACAGTCATAAGTCAAGGACTACCTGTAGCCTAAAAAGCAGAAACTAGAAATTCAACTTATCAAGAACGAGACAAACTAAAAAACTGTCATATTTTCTAGCCTTCATTTCCTGTTCATATGGAGTTGATTCATAGGGAAGTATGAATTTTGATTATAACATTAAATTCAACACACTGTGTATAGGGTATTCCCTATTAAATGGAAATGTATAACCTGCTTACTCAATTCAGGGTCTTGGCATCTATCCTTAATCAATCCAAGAAACGTAAATTATGACAACAAAACTTGAGTCAAGGTCAAATCTATTGCCAACATTGCCACATTCCATAAATAGGGAACAAAGAGAAAAGTGTAATTTGATTATGTGGTGAATGGTTATAAAGAAAATTATAATTTAAAGAACCGACTGTTTGTGCCAAACTTATTTTGAATCAGCTTGTATTCAGGATTATTTCTGTTTATATGTAAAGAAAGAAAACTCTTAAAAGGCTGATCTGAAATTGTCTTGAAAAACAATGAAAAGGAAATTCACAACTTTAGTAAGTATAAGGAGTAAGTGATTGAGAAAGTTCTTACCCAGCAAATTAATAATTCCTTCATTATATGCTGCAAAAAGTCTAATGGCATCTTTGAAAAGGAGCATAAAGGCTGCATTAATTACACCATTTGTGAGTTCATTGCTGTTGACCTGTAAAAAAAGAAAAGGGAAAAAAAAGAGAAAGAGAGAAGTTAAGCAAATTTGGGGACCGGGGACCGGGGATGGACCCATCCATACTATCTTCTACTTCATATTGCAGATACAGATTTCTTCCCTTGACATTACATATAAACTCATTCAGATAGTCCTTGATTTACAAGTTTTTAGTGACCATTTGAAGTTACAATAGCACTGAAGAAAAGTAGCTTATGACCATTTTTCACACATAATGTCTGTTGCAGCGTCCCCATGGTCATGTGATTTACATTCGGATACTTGACAATGGTATGTATTTATGACGGTTGCAGTGTCCCGGGGTCATATAGTAATAGCACTTAAGACTTATATACAGCTTCACAGTGCTTTACAGCCCGCTCTAAGCGGTTTACAGAGTCAGCCTATTGCCCCCAACAATCTGGATCCTCATTTTATCAACCTTGGAAGGATGGAAGGCTGAGATGGTCAGGATCGAACTGCTGACAGTGGGGAGAGTTAGCCTGCAATACTGCATTCTAACCACTGTGCCACCAGGGCTCATGCTCATACGATCCCCTTTTGCAACCTTCTACAAGCAAAGTCAACGGGGGAAGCCAGATTCACTTAACAACTGTGTTTAATCACTGAAGTGATTCCCTTAACAAATGTGGCAAGAAAAGTCGTAAAATAGGGCAAAACTCACTTAACAAATTACTCACTTAGCAACATAAATCTGGGCCTCAATTGTCCTCTAAAGTCAAGGACTACCTGTATCTGGTAGACACAATCTTACTTGAACCTTCTCCTGAAGAAGAGGTTGAAGCGCATCCATTCACTCTTTGCATTTTTGCAAAGACGAAGATCTTCTCCCACAGTTGCAGTGACGTTCTCAGACAGAGTGGCCCCCAGCACCTCACAATTCCTGAAACACCCTCTGCTCGCGCTACAGAAATTTGGCAGCTTATTTTCAACAGGATGATTTATCCTTAACTTTAGGCACTTTTACTGATGAAAATAAGAAGGCAAACTTCCATTCCCACTGTAGCCCTTCCCAAACTTCACAATTGGGGGGGGGGGATCACATTAAAATATCCTTTCATAAATATTACTCCACATTGGGAAACTGATTTGCAGTTATTCATCCAGAGTAATGCAACTATGTACAATGTAATTATGGAGAGAGAAAAAAAAATCTGCCCCTTTCTCATAAATGTATGTGGTTCTGTCAACATTCTGCTGTAGTAATGGAATGTGTGGGTGACCTTGGGAGAGAGCCAGCTTGGTCTAATGATTAAGGCACCAAGCTAAAAAGTGGGAGATTGTGAGTTCAAGGCCTGCCTTAGTCACGAAAGCCAGCTGAGTGACTTTAGCTCAGTCAGTCTCTCTCAGTCCAACTCACCTCACGGGGTGGTTATTGTGGGGAAATAAGAGGAGGAAGATGTGTTGCATATGTTTGGTGCCTTGGGATTGTTTGTAAAAATAATAAAGGCAAGATACAAACAAACCTTGAGAGGAAGAGATGCTGCCTTGGAATCAATCAGACAAGAGAAAAGGGGAAGCTGCCAAAGGCTTTTAATGCTCAGAGGAAGAAATTGAGGAAGGACCCGCCCTAATTGATCAGGGGGTTAAAAGTTGGTGGCAGGAAGTTTGTACCTTCATACTTGCAAGAGTCTTTTAATGAAGTCTTACAATAAAGTAGATTTAGCCCATCGGGATGCGGTGGCTCAGTGGCTAAGACGCTGAGCTTTTCGATCAAAAGGTCGGCAGTTCAGCGGTTTGAATCCCCTTTGCCGCGTAACGGGGTAAGTTCCCATTACTTGTCCCAGCTTCTGCTTACCTAGCAGTTTGAAAGCAAGTAAAACATGCGAGTAGAAAAATAGGGACCACCTTTGGTGGGAAGGTAACAGCGTTCTGTGCACCTTTGGCGTTTAGTCATGCCGGCCACATGACCACAGAGACATCTTTGGACAGCGCTGGCTCTTCGGCTTTGAAACGGAGATGAGTACCGCCCCTTAGAGTCGGAAACGACTAGCACATATGTGCAAGGTGAACCTTTACCTTTACCTTTACCTTTTAGCCCATCTGGTTGTTTTCTGTGTCATTTAGCTAGGGGAATTGACTGCCATCTAACACTAACTAATGATGGCTTTTTTTCTGGGTTGTTGTTGTTAGTCACGAAGTCGTGTCCGATCAATCGCGACCCCATGGACAATTTTCGTCCAGGCCTTTCTGTCCTCTACCATCCCCCGGAGACCATTTAAGCTCACGCCAACTGCTTCAGTGATTCCATCCTTTTCTGGGTTAGAGGTTAGAAATGGCTATTTTGCCAAGAGAAAATTGAAGCAAGTTTCATTCCCCAATTTCAAATCTGGTTCTAATGAACGAAAGGCAGGCAGAGCACCTAACTGCTAACCTCCAATGTTTCTAGAGTGGTGTTGAATTTGTCAATTTTAAGAAAAGTGGACTTCAATCCCTAGAATTCTGAAAGTTGTAATTCATGCAATTTAAAGTTGTCATACTTGAAAAACGCTGGTCTAAAACAATCACATTCCCCAGCTTTGATCGTTTTCATCTGTACAATTAACAGAAGAACTCAGTGGAACAAAGTCTGGTCTTGTTGTGGCTCGGTTACCGGAGCCTGTGTCATTGGCAGGGGAGGACTCCGAGAGTGAAGGAGAGGAGTTGGCAAGGCCTCCCTCTCCAGGACCCTCCTCTTTGGCAATGCCTTCGGTGTCCACCGAAGGGCAAGAGATAGGGCCGGGGCCAAGCACGTCCATGCAGCCACAGATGGACAGTGATGAGCGTAATGAGTCTTGGCTGGATCCACGCCAGCGTCACAGAGATAAGCGCGCACAACAGAAGAAAAGGCGTGCCCGAGATTAGGCTGAGTCACTGGACCACACCCCACAGGATATAAAAGGGAGTGTGGTGACCAGTCAAACCTTGTGACGAACAAAGCTGAAAGCTTCCACGCCATTCTGCATTGCCGGACTTTCACTATAGACTTTGCTGGATTATCTCTGGACTTGATTAACTCCGTAATTATTGAGCTGTTTCTTTTGATGTATCAGAAGTGGAGAGAAGTTATCTCTACTCTACGTAAATAATAAACTCTTGGCAGGCAGCCACTAAGTTGTTGCCAAGTTCCATTATCATAAGGAAAAGGATTTTGCCGGCTGGTTTGGTCTTTAACTCTTGAACGTCTGTTGGTGTGTGTGCGTGTGGTTGGGGACAGAACAGGTCTTGCTACCTGGGCCTATGAACAGTTCTGGGTCTCTCCTCCATTCAGATATTAAGTTAACCATGTTTAAAGAAGCTGAAACAACTGTAAGAATGAGCCACCTTACATTTTGAAGTTCAAAGCAAGGTATGGATCCTAAACAGTGGTAACAGAAACCATGTTTGAATACATTTCAACCCAGCTAGTTCCAGCAGCGAAGCTGGAAAACTACCTCTCGATACACATAAAAGACAATATACTATTTGTAGGCAAACATAGGTTTTTACTACCTTACGCGAATTTAACAGGGTGTTTAGATATCATTATAAAGAGACAAAAGTTAAGTCAGATTAATTCAGTAAACTGAAAGTGATACAAGATTAATTCTAATCATTTAAAAGTTCCTGTCTAATATTCCTTTATGAGTAGCTAAAATGACTTACGTTGAAATCAAGCAGTGCATCCATCTGGTTTTGAATAATTGGTACAGTTTTTATCAGTTTTTCAGTATTCATTGTCCTCATGACTCCATCAGTTCTATTAAAAAAGAAAATAAAAATGGTTAGATAACTAAATTGATTTGGTGTAATACCTGCCACAGATGTTTCCAGGGTTTAAGACTGCTCTGTTTTTTTTTCAGTTCCTTTTTCTCATGTATGCACATAAAGGTAGCGATTTGGACTGGGTTTAATTCCTGAACTTTTCCCAATAAAACTATTTAGTTATATAGTTTGGGTTTGAATTTCTAATATACACAAACTGGGGGCTAGTTTGGGGTTTTAAGAACCAGATATACTAGTAGATTTTCAAGAATTATCTCCCCGCCCCCAAGTCTAAAGTTTGCACATGTGTTTCCTGATGCCATTTATTTTCAGATCAATTGTGCCAACTACCCGGATCAGTACTAATCATCAACGTTTTTTTACTTTCCCTGAAACAAGTGTTTACTTTCCTTGAAGCAAACACGAGAAAAATGAAAGTGCTTTAGAACTGAGTCACTGCTTAATAGAATACACCACAGCATTTTTTTTTAAAAAAAAAACTGTGTTCATTCTGTATTGATTGTTGTGTATGTGCATTTAAAATTTTCATTAAATAATTTTTTCCAGAGAGCAAAAGCAACACAATTTTTAAACTAAAGCAAAACAGAGAAAAAAATAGAAAAGTGAAAAAGAAATATAGAAGAAAAGAAAAAAAACAATAAGTGGCTTTTAATCTTAACAGCAATAATATGTACATTTATATTTTACTCAATCTCTTTAAGGTTCCATATTAGTTTTTTCCTTTCCATAATCTACCCTTTTAATCAGGAAATTCATAAATCATGAAGTTCAGAAGGATTTCCAGTTGCTACTAAATGCAGTATAAGGAGTCTTCGACTTACGACCACAACTGAGCTCAAAATTTCTGTTGCTAATTGAGACATTTGTTAAGTGAATTTTGCCCCACTTTATGACCTTTCTTGCCAGAGGTGTTGAGTGAATCACTGCAGATTCACTCAACACAATAGTCAATAACATGTCAATAACATGACTCTTAAGTGAAGTTGGCTTCCCCATTGACTTTGCTTATCAGAAAATCAAAAAGCCACTTAATTATTATTTTTCCCCATTATATCAATATGCTCAAAATTATTGTTCCATTTATTTGTTTGTCTCCATTTCTAACTTTAGCAAGAATTATTTGTTTCATTGTATATTAATTTTTGGAGGCTAATTTTACTGTTGGCTTTCACTGCTTGTGTGCTGTTATTGTTTTGTTTTTGAATTGTTGCATATTATCAGGGTAGATTTTTAGCAGAAAAGATATAACAGTTATCTACAATAGTTCTAATGTTTAAATTGTTTAAGCAATTTCTAGACCAGTTTTCAGAAAGGATCAGATCCTTGAAAATTCTTTCACACTCTTTAAATTTTTAGATTCTAAATTATTCTGCATGCTTAAAAGCAGATGCTACAAACAAATGATGGATTCATCCGTGTGAAATACTTACCCTCTTTTTACTTTTGTAAAGTCAAAAGCTACTTGTCTGTAGGAAACTGCTTTCTCATTCAAATATCTGCTATATCTCCTAATAAATGTGGACATATCATATCCTACAGGAAGCAAACAGAAAGCAAGTTATTTCTTATGTGAAACCAGATTAATATTAAAGGGGTACATGATGACATTCAAAGGATTGCCAACTAGTAAATTTATGTATTTGCATCAGTGAGACAATTATCAGCAGCATATATTTTTTGCCATGAACCATGTCAGATATTATGCCTTGAGTTCCCCCACCCCCATTTTGCTTATTGACGTCAAATCTGGAAGTACGAATAGTGGTTTATTGATTAGTTTGAATAAAACTGCAATACATGTAGTCCTCATCTTATAACTGTAATGGACCTGCCTGTTACGGTCATAAGTTGTAACACTTGTAAAGCAGTATCACCGATGTGACCAACTCAATTTTTACATCCTTTTATGTGGCAGTCATTAAGTGACCACTGCAATCATAAAGCAAACTCATTTTTCGCTGTGGGGTAGTTTGCTGAAAACTGGACATGAAAACGTGGCAAAAAAAAAAAAAAGGATCATAAAATACAGTCACATGACTTTGGGATGTTTTAAATGGCTTTAAATATGGACTAGTGCCGAGTAGTCATGTGACCCTGGGGGAAAAAGCTGTTGGAACTTCCATATCAGGTCATAAGTAGCCTGGGGGAGGGGGGGAGCATTCTAAGTTCAAACTGTCACTAAGTGATCAGTCATAAGTCAAGGACCATCTTTATAAAGTCTGCCATCTTTCTCCTTCTCAATGCATTTTATAAAGCAATAATAACAACAACAACAATAATAATAATAATAATGGGTAACTTGGAGCTGCGGCAGTCTTCCTTCATCATCGCTACCTTTATCCAACATTATAATACTTGCCTTCACTCTTTTTAAATTTAACCTTCAAGCTTTCCCAGGATTTTTTCCTACTTTGTGAGCAATTGCTAGAAAGCAAGAAGCTACACTGAAAGCCTTGATAAGTGAAGCAGCAAAAACTTTCCTTGCTGTTTCATGTTGATTTACTGGTTTTGAGATTGGTGCTTTTTACTGGCCGTCATTGAATGTATACTGAACTGAGGGTAGAAAATTAATCTTAAAACTGAGTAGACATACAGGAGAAAATAACCTGAGGCTCTTTTTTGCTTTATGGATTATTTATTTTCATTTATATTCTGCTTTTCTATTCAAACAAGCACTCAAGGTAACTAATAAAGTAAAACATGTAAATGTGTTCTTCATGGGGGGAAAAGGGGGCTTTTAGTCTCTATCATAGTTCCAACTCAGCTTTTCTTGCTGAAGTGTTTCATTGGACAAAAGACGCAAAAGATTTGAGAACTAAAACTGTAAAACATTATTCAGAAAATTAGGGATTGTTTGACACAGATCCAATAATTTACCTTGCAATCCACTTTTGTCCAAGAAATTGCTCAAGTTAAACAATGTGTTTCTGGACGCCAGGTACTGGGTAAAACGCTGGAAGGAATAAAATGAGTTATTCATCTGGAATTGGTACATGGCTCAATATATTTCTCATTGCGAATGGAGTTTAATATTCTGATAATCCAGTATATAAATGCAGTCGGTTCACCAGGTTAAAGAAAACCACTATGAGCCAACAGATTTCTCTGGAAATGAATATTAGAAGAATTACTCGTCTGTAATCCCATAAAAAGTGATGCTGATTGCAAATCTTGTCAGAGTAACTAAAACTTTCTCTGAAAGTAAGAGACACAGCTAATTTGCTTTTAAAACTTGATTGTTTCACCACTGGCCTACTTAGAACAATGCAGACAACTGTATGCATTTAAAGCAAGCCACTTTAGTCATTTAATCAGTCACGATTTAACCATGTGGTTAATGATGCTCATTTCGGATGACTCATATCTAGCCCATTAATTTCTCAAGTCTTGTCTAGCCCACAGCTTCCTGTTTCTTTACTGATAAAGTTCTCACTAATGCCAAACATATGAACTGCATGGTATAAATAAAAGTATAGTATAGAAGTATGAGGTAAGGAGCTAGTTTAATACTCTGGATATATTTCTCAGAATGATATATTGTTCTGTAAATATACTGGTCTGCTCCACCCCTTTTGCTAGGAAAATTATATACCTGAGTCACAAGTTAGTACAGGCAACATTAAATAGGCAAACTGAAAAGCATTGTTTCTGCTCACAGAAGATTATAATTGGAATATTGCTCTGTTTTTAATTGGGACAACTGGAAATTGTTTTTAGTTAAAAGGGTTTAAGGAAACATTATTCTTAAGGAGAATGGAAGCCAAAACTCATGGAAAGGCACAATTCGCATTACACCTCAGATGTTCCGAATACAGGTAGTCCTCAATATCCTACATTAAGGTGCCCATTAATGTGATATGTCATGATGGCCATAAAACAGGTTGGTCATGTGACCAACCCAATTTTATGACCTTTTTTGTGGCATCATTAAATTAACATGGCAGTCATTAAGTGAACCCAGTGTTTGCTACAGCTGTTAATTTTTGGCAAAACCATCATAAAACCCAGTGATGTGATTGCAGGATGCTGCAAATGTGGCCAAGTTGCCGAGCACCCAACATGTAGTCACATGACTGCACAGGGGTGTGTGGGGCATGACCATCAGAACTTCAGAAACACGTTATAATTCCCTTTTTTCAGGTAGGTCATAACTTTGACTGGTCTCTAAGCGAATAGTCGTAAGTGGAGGACTATCTGTAGTGGCATTAAGAGATTTCAGAATTCATCTTTTTTTTTTTTTTTACAGCCAATGAAAATGGAACTAAACATAAAAACTGAGTGGAAGTAGGAATTAACCTAAAGCACTCATGATAAAGTTTTACCAGTTTGGCTTTCAAGATGAGGGTATACTTAAATATCTCCTTATAAAGAGACAAGCGATCCCTTATCAAGAACTATAGATGCATGTATATAGACACAAATATACACCCGGCAGAAATACTTCAAGACTAGGAGTGTACCACACATCTTTTTCTCAGATGAATTTGTATAGAATTATATACATGATTGACATCTCTGGTTAGCTTCCTATTATATATGATACTGCTAAGTCCGTATGTCTTTAGAAATTATGAATGACCAAAATTTTTAAGTTACTTTTTTTCCTGAACCCTGTCCCCTTTTGTTTACCATGGTTTAATCATATAATAACTAACAAGTATCATTTAAAATACAATGTCCTACATTGCAAAGCAATGAAATATTGAAATACAAAGCAAAGAAATATTGGGAACAGATGAGATTGTTATAGGAGATAACAGGAGAACAAATTGAGTTTAAAGCTGAATTATTTTTATTAAGAATAATTAATCAAAGGATAAAGAAGCAACTCCAATATATCATTTTACACATATTAACAGCAGCACGAATTGTTTAGGCTCAATGTTGGAAACTTGAAAATATACCATCCAATGAGATGATTATACATAAGATATTAGAATGTGCCGAGATGTATAAGCTCACTTTAGAAATGAAAGGCAAGAAAGAAACGGAATTTTATTGGTGTGGGATAAGTGGTATAAGTGGTTAGAACAGAGAACAGAGAAACAAAAATGTATAGAAATAAATGTAAATAACTGTAAGACATATGTGATACAGTACTGTTAAAAAATGTTTATTGCTCTGTAAATTGGAAAAATGGGGGGGAAAAAATACAATGTCCTTCAGACTACTTTTTGTCTTGAAACTAGCAGACATGGCACTTTTAAACTGAGGTGCAAACACATTTGCTATATCAAAATACACCAGTCTTCCTTTGTATGTAAATTGGATTGTTATATATTCTGGTATTTTGCTGTGCAACATGTATTTGCTAGCCCTTTCTTTTTATTGTTTTTGAACTATTTCCCCCCCTCCCTGATGGATAATAAAGCCACCAGGGAGAAAGGAAGGACCCACATGTATCTCCAAAGCAATATTCCCCAGCCTAGCAACTGGCCATAATTGCTGGTAATTATAGGAAAAGGGGTGGGGTGGGGGGGTGTCCAGCATGTTTCACAGGCATTAAGTGAAGTTATAAGAGAAGCAGGTGTTACCTCGTTTCCATGAACCATAAGATGGTGAGTTGTGATGAGAGATTTGAAGACTACTACCCAGCTACTGTTGGTTGTCCTTTCAAATAGGCTGTCTGCCAACTGTGGGATGTTTACGTTCATGTCATTTGTACAGAGTATTAAATCTGAAAAAGAAGGAAAATGCATATTTGATATTTCAAGCCAAACAAGCTTCATTCAATTAGGAAAAACTTCTTATTCCTCCAGGGTCCCATGAGCCACTAAGAAGAGCACAACTGGATTTAAACCGTGCCTCTTTCATAGAATACACTCTAGATCCCATGCAAAAGAATTCCTATACAGGTAGACCTTGACTTATGACCACAATTTCCATTGCAAAGTGAAACGTGTTAAGTGAATTTTACTCCATTTTACGACTTTTCCAGCCACAGTTAAGTGAATCATCACAGTTATTAAATTAGTAATACGGTTGTTAAGTGAATCTGGTTTCCCCATTCTTTGCTTGTCAGAAGGTCACAAAAGGGAATCACATGACTGTGGGACACTGCAACCGTCATAAAAGTGAGTTAGTTGTCAAGCATCCAAATGTAAATCGTGTGACCATGGGGATGCTGCAGTGGTCATAAGTGTGAAAAATGGTCATAAGCCACTTTTTCAGTGCTGCTGTAATTTCAAACGGTCACTAAGTGAACTGTTGTAAATCAAGCATTGCCTGTAATAGTAGGAAAACAAAAATTAAGTAAAATCATGAACTGTGTTACCCTAATTTTTACTGCTAAATTAAACTGGCTGATAAAATTCACAGAGAGAAAAATAGGTTTAAAACAGGAAGCTCAACCAGTGGATCATTATCTTCACATAATTTCTCAACACCTTCCTAAAAGACTGTTTAAAGTTTATATCAACAAAGGACCTCTTTTTAGACATCTAACATCTATTATGATAACATCTATCATGCTACTGCTTGTAAAAGTGAATTATTCACTTAGACATCTGCTTAGAAAAGCTTGTGGTTGAAAACTGAGAATTACATTTACAAGAAGGTAGAAGAATTAGAGTTTTTGATCGGTTGTGGAACTATCTTCATGTGGCTAACTGTAGGTCTAAGGAGGCAATCACCTTTTAGAGCCTTGTTAGCAAGTTGATAGTTAGAAAAACAGGTTTCTGGCCCTCTGTCAACATTTAATTTTTAATTTAAATATCTGCCATTCTGGTTCCATACAGCTCCCACGCAAGGCCAGAAAAAGGCACAGCTACCTTAAGGAAGTGCAGACAAATGCAGCAATGCTTCTTTGCTTCAGACCCCAATACTAATGTTTGAAGTATTCGTAACTTCTAGTTTATGAAATTGCTCGACATTAGCCATGGGTATTGGGGCTCTACTAGAACCTGCCTCCACTAAGTAGATGAATAGAGAAAAAGCAGTCTTGACAATTAGGCATAATTAAGATGGTTTATACCAAGACCATTAGGAAGAATTAAGTTACTCTATAACAAGGTTAGAGACTTACAGCCACCGATTTACTTAAGTGATTGAGCTGGTTAAAAATGTTAAAGAAGCATTACAACCATTTAAGACAGTTTTACTGCCAAGTTTAGTTTAATGATTTTAATGTCAGAGAGAAAGGGAGGAGGAGGGAGAGGGGGAGAGGAGGAGGGAGAGGGGGAGAGGAGGAGGAGGAGGGCTCAATAGGAAAAGGAGGAAATATGTATATGCAACTATTTACAGGAAAACCTTATTCTTAGTATCTTATTTGGATGAAATTTCTTTATGTGGAGGATTTTTGTTTCCACAAATGAAGTATTGGAAATATACATTGTCACCACTTCCTGAATGAGACCAAATTGCTTCCTGCCTCTGATTCTCATGACTAAATGCTAGCTTTCGATCTTGGTCAACCACACAATTCATTGAAAAGGCTGGCTTTGTTCATTTATGGAATTTATATCCTGCCTTTTTTCCAAATATGTTCAAAGACTAACCAAACAATGGAGCTCTATTATTAAACACAATTAGATACGTAAACATATTAAAACACAATGAATAAAAAGCAATGTCCAGTACGGCTCAGAACTTTAGCATTCATGTCTGCTTCCACAAAGACTTGCTTAAATAAAAATGCTTTAATATGCAATTAGTTTCCAAAGAGTAATTTAGATTTGACTTTTCAGTTTCCCGTCTTCTTTAGGCCAGTTTATAAGAAAAGTGATTATGAATTAGATTTATAATTTCAATTAAACTAAAGTAAAGTTCATTAGCTTGCAATATAAGGGCTTACAGTAATTCAAAATTAAAATGAATACCTCAAACTCAACCTGCATTTGATTCTATGTCAAGGCACTGTCTAGACATAGCAATTTATGGAATTGTTCTTAAGCAACTGTATATGTTGGCTTTTAAGATAGTCTTTAGTTTAGAACTCAGCTTGCTTAAAAAAAAAAAAAAAAGCATGAGCATGCTTGGGATAAAACCAAGCTTTGGCTGTGCTTGCTGCATATGCCCAAATTGTACCAAAGTTTTTGTGGGTATTATCCTTGCTATTTGCTGGGATTGCTACGTGTGACACAGGTATGGATAACACTGGATTCTAGTCTACATCTTTTCTGTACAAGTACCGTTTTTTTTTTTGGAGTATAAGAGGCACCTACCTTTTTTGGTGAGGAAAAGAAGAAAAAGAAATCTGCCTCTGCCTCTGAGCAATTTTGCCTTGTTGCAGCAAACAACCTGCTTTACTCCCAGGGGGAGGGCCTTCTCTGTGGGGGCACCTACCCTCTGGAATCAGTTGCCCCCAGAGATAAGGAGAATCCAAGACCTCAGCGCCTTCCGCCGTGCCCTTAAAACCCATTTTTTCCAGCAAGCCGGGCTGGCTTAAGAAGAAATTTTAAATGTTTTAATTGGTTTGTGATTTTAAATTTTTGGGCCAAATTTATATATATTTTAATTGTTTTTTAATATTTGTATTTCATGTTCTTAATTCTGGCTGTACACTGCCCTGAGTCCTCAGGGAGAAGGGCGGTATATAAATTGGAAATAAAATAAAATAAAATAAAAATAAATTTTCAGCATAGCTTGATTAGCACAAGGGGGGAAAAAACCTGCTCTAGCAATTTATCTCTTTGCAGCAAGCAGCAGAGCCCTGTACAAAACAGCTGAGAGCAAATCAGCTGAGAGTCAGGAGGCCGAACTAATCAACTTGTGCTAATTAGGCTGTGCTGAAGCTGAAAGGAGCTGTTTTTTCTTGCTCTTTGCTGCAAGGTGGTAAACTGCTGTGAGGCAGAGGCCAAAGGGTGGGGGCCAGTGGGTGGGCGGGGTTACATTCGGTGTATAAGACGCACCCAAATTTTCACCCCCTTTTAGGGGGGGGAAAGGTGTGTCTTATATTCCGAACACAACTGAGCCCAAAATTTATGTTGCTAAGTGAGAGAGCTGTTAAGTGAGTTTTGCCCCATTTTACAATTTTTCTTGCCACGTTTGTTAAGCAAATAGCTGCATTTGTTAAATTAGTAACACCTTTGTTAAGCGAGTCTGGCATCTCCATTGATTTTGCTTGTCAGAAGGCAGAGGTGGGTTTCAGCAGGTTCAGACCAGTTTTGGAGAACCAGTAGCGGAAATTTTGAATAGTTCCAAGAACCAGTAGTAAAAATTCTGACTGGCCCGGTCCCAATCTATTCTCTGCCTCCCAAATCCCAGGTGATTGGGAGGAAATGGGGATTTTGCATTGCAGTATCCTTCCCCTACAGTGGGGTGGGAATGGAGATTTCACAGTATCCTTCCCCTGCCACGCCCACCAAACCACGCCCACAGGACCAGCAGTAAAAAAATTTGAGACCCACCAGTGTCAAGTCAAAAAAGTGATCACATGACCCTGGGACACTGCAACGATCATAAATATGAACCATTTGTCAAGCATCTGAGTATGAAAAATGATTGTAAATCACTTGTTTCAGTGCTGTTGTAACTTTGAACAGTCACTAAATGAACTGTTGTAAGTTGAGGACTACATATATTACTAAAGGCATTTATGTGAGTCATATGTGACTAAAGCTATAAAGAGAAACCATATGAGGTGGCAAAGGTCAATATGTTTAGTTTATTTGATTTGTTTAGTTTATTTGATTTGTATAAATATGTGTAAATAAAAACTGTAGTACTATATAAGTAAGATTGTAATTTGAATGCAATAGGAGTACATTAATTTTATGTAACTGTTTGTTAAGTTTATTGGCCATCTATCTTGCCATGGGCTGCTTAACTTTTAAAAAAATTTTAATTTTAATTTTAAAAAATGACATGAAATATGTTTCTATGAATGTTAAGAGAAAGAGAAAAGATAATAAATCTCAATGAGGATAGTCTTGTAATATGGAGCAACGTTGATGATTATATGCAAGGAAATGAAGGTGTAGATCTAATTGCAATGATGTAATTCGTTGCTGAGGATATATAAAAGGTAAGACTGTTTGCTGATAGTTTTATGATACATGCAGTGAAAGGTGAAAATGGAAGAATCAGAAATGAGCATTTGGCAGAAGCTGTGCGACACTGTGAGAAAAAAGGAAATATGGGGAAAGATTATGCTAAATCCGTGATGGTGAACCTGTGGCATGCGTAGCCATATCAGTGGACATGCCAGCTCAGCTCTGGGGCGCATGCGCGCACCAGCCAGCTGGGCCCCACCAGAAGTAGGGAAACAGGCTGTTTCCTGCCTCCGGAGGGCCTGGGGGGGGGGAAGGGCCCATTTTTCTTTCTTACCTGGCTCCAGACCCTCTCTATTTATCTGGGAAGGGCGAAAACAGCCTTTCCCACTCCCTCGGAGGCCCTCCAAAGACCTGAAACGGCCTGTTTCCCAACTCCCGGTGAGACAGGAAGTGACATTTTTTGCTGTCCCCAGCCTCCAGAGACTCCTAGAGAGGCTCTGGAGGCTGGGGACAGCAAAAAGCATCACTTCATTTGTGTTCGTCATTTGTGTTCGGGCACCTGTGGTGGCCTGAGTGCTCTGCCAGCGAAAACTGCCTCCTGAGCTCCATTTTTGGTTGTGACGGCCTCCTGCAACCTTCTGCCAATGAAAACGGAGCTCAGGAGTGCCGCCTGAGGCACCGCGGGCCGATCCTTTGCTGTTTCTAGGGCAGCCCTGTGGTCCAGATCTAAGCACCCTGTGAGCCA